CTCCAACACGGTGGCTGCTGGTAAGGACGTCTATGCCCTGCTTACCCTCTTCTTTGAACAATTCCCGGAGTACGCCAAGCAAGATTTCCACATTGCCGGAGAGTCTTATGCTGGACACTACATCCCAGTCTTCACGTCAGAGATCCTGTCCCACAAAAAGACCAATATCAACATCAAGTCAGTTCTGATTGGAAACGGCCTTACCGATGGATACACCCAATACGAGTACTACCGACCCATGGCTTGCGGCGATGGTGGCTGGCCAGCCGTCCTTGACCCACAATCCTGCCAGGCCATGGACAATGCGCTTCCGCGCTGCCAGTCTCTGATTGAAAACTGCTACAACAGCGAGAGCGTGTGGTCGTGTGTTCCAGCCAGCATCTACTGCAACAACGCCTTGCTTGCACCCTATCAGCGCACAGGTCAAAACGTGTACGATGTGCGCGGCAAGTGCAAGGACAGCAGCAACTTGTGTTATCCCGAGTTGGGCTGGATCAGCAAATGGCTCAACCAGAAGTCGGTGATGAAAGCCCTTGGCGTGGAGGTTGATGGGTACGATTCCTGCAACTTCGATATCAACCGCAACTTCCTGTTCCAGGGTGACTGGATGCAGCCTTTCCACCGATTGGTTCCAGGCATCATCGAGAAGATCCCCGTGCTTATCTACGCTGGCGATGCAGACTTCATTTGCAACTGGCTCGGCAACAAGGCATGGGCGGAAGCGCTTGAGTACCCCGATCACAAGAAATTTGCCGCGGTCGAGATGGAGGACCTTCGCTTGGACGGCAATGGGCGGAAGATTGGTGAAGTCAAGTCCCATGGAAACTTCACATTCATGAGAATCCATGCAGGTGGTCACATGGTTCCTCTCGACCAACCCGAAGCAAGCCTGGAGTTCTTCAACCGCTGGCTCGCCAAGGAGTGGTTCTAGATAGGTCTTCTCTCACAGTCTTAAGGCGGGGGAAAGTCTAGTTTGCTGTTGGTGGGCAGGCACGCTGTCGGTTGTGTAAGAAATTGACCCTTTACAGTAACGCCCAGCCAGGATGGTCGGCATGGGCCGCGGCGGTTATGTACAGATGACGTTGACACTGTTCCAATGACTTTGTAGGACACTTCTTCTGTGGTGCCACATTATGCACTGTTTGGTTGGAATGGAATACTATACGCCTATTGAAGTTGACTTACTCGCTCAAAACATGGGCCTTCTGTCCTCGTCCCGCAATCCGAGCGCCTCGATCTCAATAGTTCATGCACACCATGAGTGCTTTAGCCAAGGGCGAGAGCGATGCATTGTGCATCTGCTGCATGCAGGCTCTTCCATTATCACGTCGAAGCGCTAGATTGAATGAGATGATGGGTTACCGGTATTGAGGGAGTGGACGATGGCTGATGGAAGAGGGGACGACGACCGCCGTGCCGAGTGCCGTCTATTCTTAGGTGCATCGACGATGGACTGATTGGCAGAGCGGGAGAGCGTCACTCCAATCAACACCTGCATAGCCGCCCAGCTTCGCAGGTCCAGGTGTGCCGCTCTCCATCTCCCACTTGCACCATTCCCTATGCGGATGGCGCGTCGATCGTTCCTGGCGAGCACTGGTCGCTCTAAGCGCCCTCACTCTCCCCTCACTTCGATTTCTGGCATCTCACTGGCCTGGCTTCGCATCCTACTTGTCCTTCTGCATTGCGGCATCACACACATCTTCCCATGTGGCCAACCCGAGCAATGGCTGCCACGGCAAGAAGGGACTGTCGACACTATTGCCTGCGACCACACCGGTCATGCCTATGGCAACCTCTCCACCATGCTGCCGTATCTAAATATTGCCATCCCCTTCCCGTTCTTGCGTCTGCTTTCCTTTCTTCCTTCACGCAAGCAAGTCTTGTTAATTCTGGTCGTGCGGTTTGAGAGCTATTCTTGAAGATTCTTTTTTTGTTGTTACTCCTAATTCTGCAAAGAGATAGTGTCTGGTACACTATTGATCTTGTCAAAGACGTCAACTCACCGTCGCTCGATAATTTCAATATCAACCACCAACCTCCGACGACTTGCGGCATTACGAGCTGTGCTCATACTTGCTGCCTCTCCGACTCCAACACCATCTTTGCAGAGGTGCCTTTCGAAGAAGACTTTTCATCAATCACTTTGAAGGAAACCATCATCGTTGCCGGTCAACGATCATTCTTTCCAGCCCATACCTAATAGCTCTCGCTGTCCAACAAACCGCAGGCCTAACTTGCTGTGCCCTTTCAACAACTTAATCTTTGTCAAGCATCAGTCATCGTTGTTGTCAACAACTTGCATTGTCCATTCCTCAGTTGATTCAACCAAAGCTAATCGAAGATCCCGACACTACTTCCACAGTAGTGTTCAACTGTCGCAACTTGCAACCAACACCAGCCGCGCCCACCACGGCTCAACAACAGTCGACATCTTCTTGGCTTCAGCATCAAGTGTCACTACCTCTATCAACAATCCACGCTGTGTCGTCACGATTGCCGGTCAATCCTCGCACGCTCTAATCGCATCTTTCTCAAACCTTCCTAGATACTCGTATCTGTGCCGGAAGCTCTGCCCGTTCCAGATCTCTGATCTATACGGCAATCACCAACCCACACGTGGACATTGATCTTGGTTCTCCTTGATCTGCATACATCGACCCTGATTTTCTCTCCAGCATTCGCGAAGCATCACTATCTGTTTTAATCGAAGCCGCCTTTCTTTACGACAAACAGCTCTACAGCAGCCTAACGATACCTCACGCATTTCGACGAACCCAAAAGTCTCAACGACGCCGCTTTTTTTGAGTGCAAGTGAGTCTTCTCATGTATCCAGCAAAAAGTCTTCGCATCCAGAACTGACTCGATGCACAGACATACCTAATCATCCCCAGATCCAAATCAAAAACCAAAGGCAAAAAACATCAAAATGTCGTCACCAGCTGTCCAGCTCTCATTCACCCTCCGTACCTCTCCCAACGTCCGCACCGTCCACTTGCTCGGCTCATGGGACAACTACAAGGCTCAACTTCCCTTGTCCGAGGTCAAGGATCCCGCTGCCAAGCCCGGTTCTTGGAAAGGCAACTTTCGCTTCTCAGGTTCCAATGCCCTGAAGCTCGGGTCCCGCTACTGGTACTACTACATCGTTGACGGCTATCACGTTTCCCACGACCCCGCCAAGGAATTCGTGACTGAGAAGACCACTGGCCGCAAGCTCAACATCATCGATGTCCCGGGTGGCGACAAGGACAGCAAGCCCTCGCGACCCACCGTCAAGACTGACGTCGCCACCTCCCGCCACAGCCGCGACATCCCCCAAGGCCGTGCCCTTTCCCCGGGCAAGATCCAACACCCGAAGCCAAGCAAGCCTTACGCCTCCCGTCAACTCCGTGAAGCCGACTACGAGACTTCCCCCGTGGATGACCTCGAAGAACGCTTCGCTGGCTATCGCATCTCCGAGTCATCTGCCTCGCCATCTGAGCTCTCCGACAGCAGTGCCTCCTCTGGCACCGCCTTCTCCCGCTCGTCGCCCTCAAGCATGTCATCCGCCAGTGATCACAGCTGCCGCTGCGAACGCTACGGCGTCACCCGCTCAGGCCAACGCGTCAAGCTCGACTGTGGCGGCAAGCGATGTGGAGGATGGAGCTCCAGCTCCTCGGAGTGCGATTCAAATGACAGCTCAGAAGAATCGAGTGAAGATGAGAGGGAACACCGTGCTCGTGCGCGCAAGGAGGCGGAGAGAAGAGCTGCCGCCGCGCCCAAGTCGAAGAGTAGCAGCCACAACGAGGAGAAGAGGAGGGTTGTCGTTGTAGAGAAGAGACGGAGATAGGTGAAGAAATGAAGAAGGCGGTGATGAGGAGAGAAACTCGTTGTATGAGTGTGGGAGAGGAGAGTTTTTCATTTTCCTTGTTCCGCGCGAACAACATTGACACCACGTCGGCCTAGAGTCACAATCAGACCAACGGCAGGTCAACCACCAGCCACAAGCGCACACATCGAGTCCGATGCAAGTCAAACTTTCCATTGGAAAGCTCCCAGCCTAGGCTGTGTGGCTCGGACCTTCGTCAACGTCGCGGAGAGGGCGTTCATGAGTTGTGAAGGCAATACGAGGAGGAGCACCTGTGAGGGCAGGATGGGGGAAGAAGTAGGAGCCCTGGTGAAGGGTTCGGCAGAGTAGTAGAGGAAGAGAGAAAAAAATCCCTGGCAATGATGTCCATGGAACGGTTGAGCGATCCGCTTCTCTGGGCCACTTCTGGGTTGTACATACACTGCTGACCAGCAACCGCGAGAGTCAAGTTCTGGGCGGCGTCGTCAGATGTGGTCCGGAGATTACCAGACGAATAAATGTTCCATGCTTGCATCACCCTTTGAAATCTGTCCTTGTCGTTTAGTGTGTTCGAGGCTACATTGCTTTTCAGACTTCCAACAGTCACCAAGGTAGGAACGAGTGCAGAGCTTTTCTGGCCAGATGGTGCTGGCCGAAGGTAGGCGTAGGCCAGAGCATACGGGTGACATGTCTGTGCACGGGAGTTCGAGCGTGGCGCCGGATATCCGCCGCTGATCATCGACGTAAACCTTTATCAACTTGTGGCCGGGAGCCGCGGCGATGAACTGGGAGTATAACAACTCGCTTGACCTACAGGTGGTTCGTTACTTATACTGCTCACTCAGTCGACAGTATGTGGTTGATTGTCATATGAACAGTACTTTGAACGTTATTAAGTCTCAAATCCGGTGGGTAAGTACAGAGTGCAATGCACGGGGTCCAAGAACGATGCTTTGGCAAGAGTTCACGCTCGTGCTCGTGTATACTGTTAGCGTGAAAGAAAAGTGACTGAACCTCTTCACCTCTTCACTACCTCACTTACTCACCCCCTTACTCTGTCAGACGGCATGAATCGCAGCCATGACATGACATGCAGAGCGGCAAGCTGACTACCAATTGACTGAATGACTGGTCGGCAGATCCATGGGCCCGGCCCACCACGGTCGTGCACGATCCATCATACTGGCCTTTGCCATTTGTGTCGGTTGTCCTGGAGGCTGCGGTACTGGCGGTTGATGAACGCGAGGAGTCGGTTCTGCATGTCCATGTCCATGTCCATGTCCATACAGTCACCACGCGGCCATACAGCTCGGTCAGACTGCGTGGCAGGATGGCCTTGAACCCGACGCCGTCGTCGTTCTCGTAGGCTTGCTTTCTCTGCCGACCCGCGCCTGTGCCGGGATATGCGCCCGGCCCGGTGAGCGTGCCGACGCGCGTCATGGCCGAGGATGCCATGTTGCACGAGAGGGCAAGGTCGAGGTACGCTTGTGCGGTCTGCGCGTGGATGAGGTCAAGGCGTGTCGTGGTGGTGGTGGTGGTGGTGGTGGTGGTGGTGGCGCGCATGGCGTTGTAAAATGCGAGGGACACGGCGATGGCTCAGCCCCTTGGTGTAGGTGAACCGTCCAGGTGTAGGCCTGCTGAGATTGCAGGTCGATGTGGTCCAAGACGAGGTGTTCTTGCGTGGTCGAACAGGGCGCGCAGGACCCACGACAAGGACGGTCATCGCCGAGGAGAGGTACGTGGTGCGGTACATAATATGTTCGTCCGGCTGGTGCCTTAAGCTTCTCGATAGTCGGGCCGATAGTTCGGCGTACAGATTTCGTGGTGACGGCGTTGACTGGGGTCTCGGTCGTCCTGTTGGACCAGATGACCTCGCCTTCCATGTCGATGTTGTTGTTGTTGATTATATCTGCCGTGCGGGATCACGTAGGGCGTGACGTGCTCCCAGATGGTCATCTTGGACATGTTCACGTACTTGGGCTGGCCTCAGGGCCAGGTCGAACATGTCGAGGGCACACTGACCCACCACATCGAGTCGTCGTTCATGTCGTTGATGCAGTCCAGTCGGTCGGTCTCGACTTTGCCGATCAGCTCGTCAAGGATGTCGACGTTGGTCGGCTTGTTGGCCCAGGTATCGTGCAGGGCCATCGCGGTGTAGCCGTTCGCGACTTGGCCAGTAGGTCAAGCTTCGGATGAGGCCGTCGTCTCGCTTCGACTGCAAGAACACGTCGATGGCTGTTTGGGTAATGGCGAGGATCGAGGCTCCTGGGGGAGGTAGAGAAACGCTCATACTGTGAGTAACGTGTCCGTGTCCGTTTGCTGAGATACGCTGTGTTGGGCTTCTGCATACCACCCGGTATTGCTGAGCCGACTTGGACAGGGCCACGGCCGTATATATCATGGAATTCATGGTTAGTGACAACCGGACGGCTATCTGGCATTGTATCGTCCTGGGGCTCTCTAACGCGAAGGTCATCCACGCTGATGCCAGTGACTTCGGTAGTGACCGAGCAAATGATTCTGGGCGATGACTCTGACGGCCGCACGAGGTCGAGTTTGAAGGCGCCAGTCATGGCATCCGTCCTATCGCCCGAGACACGGGGCATTCACTCAGCATACGAAGTGTCTGTGAAGCCCCAACATGACCAGCTACGACTGATGGAGTGAATTCGTAGACATACCAACACCGACACTCCGCCTACAAACTCCGACACGTGCAGCTGCGAGAGAAGAGGAGGCGCCGTCGAGCAGGATAAAGCCCCGTCCAGCTCTACATACGCCACGCCGATGGGTCAATGTGGTCGACCGGGATGGAGCAGCACGTAACCATTGCCAAAACGGGCGAGTTGGTCGCTCCGGTATCTCCATCTATTGCCGCTTCCGGTGGCGGTGGACCCGGGGGTTATGGAGTCAAATCCTGGTTATGCTGCAACGAAGGTCCTCGGGAAGAGGTCGTTGTCGTCAGAGACACACGCCAGCAAAGCTCCGGATGGCAGGCCGAAGGGCGAAGTCGTGGAAAGATATATAAAGATGGTGCGTCCGATGGCTTTTAGATCAGGGGAACTCGCGTCTTGATCGTTCCCTCCTCAGTCTGTGTATCCTCAAGATCCCTGAGAGCACCCAACATGACGTCCTCCATGTCCACGATCCTCATCTTCGGCGGCACCGGCGGGATAGGCGAGTCCTTCACCCGGGCCTTCCACAAGATGGGCAAAAGAGTCATCACCACGGGCCGCCGCTCCGCCCGGCTCGCGGCGCTGGCTGCAGAGTTGCCCGGTCTCGAGACCTACACCATGGACAACAGCGACATCGCCGGTCTTGCGGGCCACGTGCGGACCATCCTCACCAAGTACCCGGACATCGACACCGTGTGGGTCAACTCTGGCATCCAGTACCAGGGGGACTTCAAGTCGCTGGACGGCTTCTCCGACGAAAAGATCGTCACCGAGTTGAACACCAATCTGACGGCGCCGATCATTCTCGCCCGCCATTTCGTGCCCCATTTGTTGTCGCTGAAGCGGGAGGCGAACTTCCTGATCACGTCCTCGGGCCTGGGATTCGTGCCGATGGCTTTATTCCCGGTCTACTGTCCGACCAAGGCGGGCGTGCATGCCTTCCTCGTCGGGTTGAGGGAGAGTCTTGCGGGCACGAACGTCAATGTCATTGAGATTGCCCCGCCGTATGTGCGCACGGATCTCGACGCCGCGAATCGTCTGGACAAGCTGATCACGCCGATGGAGCTGGACGAATATACGGAGAAGACGCTGGAGATTCTGTCCAAGCCGGCGAGCGAGATCAAGGAGGCCGGCGTTGGATTCGCTGAGCTGGGCGCGCGCAAGTGGCGCGAGGCGTATGATCCGGTCTTGAAGATGAGGCACTCGAGTGGTTGAACTGGACGGACGAGTGGAATCGTCGTGATGCCAGTAAGACTTGGTGCGCGGATGGGATGGGAGGATGGGAGGTGGACAGCGGTCGATTGAGGCTATATGTATATGTGCGTGAACTGGCAATCCAGACAGAGCTGAATAGACAATCAGTCCATGGAGCGAGTCAATAATCATGTCTCTCTCTGTTCTTCCGCATCGTCATCTCGATGCCTCGATTCTGCACGATCGAAGTAGCTTACTGTATCTGCAACTGCACAGGGGTATATGATGGTATGGCCCGATAAATACATGCTCGAAAATTCTGATCTGTCATCTTGGCCCAGAGTGCAGTCAGTCCGCCTCTTTATGCGCTTTTCTTTCTTCGTCCTGCGCGCTGATTCATACATCTACATCCCATTCTGGGCTCCCTATTCAGCCTCCCCTTCCGCAGCATCACCAGCGACCTTCTTCAACGGCACGTTCACGTCGCTCGCAGGCTCGGCATCAGGGTCATGGTCTGGTTCTTGACGTGCTGGTGCTGGTGCTGGTGCCGGCGTGTTCGGTTCAGCCGCCGCTCCATCGCCCAGTGGCTTGTCCGCAACGGTTGGGGCCTTCGACAGCGTTTCTCCTTCCTCGTCCTTCCTTTTTCCCTTCCCGTCCGTTTCATCTTCCTTACTCGCCTCCGGTTTCGCAACCTCCTCCCCATCCTTCTTCTTCTTCTCCTCCTTCGGCTTAGGTGGGGCTGTCGCCGGACTCTCGTCCGGATCATGCACCTCCTGCAACACCGGCGCGGGAGCCACCGGAGCCGGCGCGACCGGCTGGCTCACGACAGGCGCAACCAAGCCCACGGGGACAGGACCACCCACGGGACCCACGGCCACGGCACCGGGCCCGACACGACTCCTGAGCGTCGCGCCACCGGTGCCACCACTAATGCTGTAATGTCCCCCATCGATCGCCCCAGTCATGTACATGTCGGGATTATTGACCGTGTTGTTGCGCACCGCGCGATCATACAGCCTGGTCAACCTGGCGACCTCGCTCCTGACAGTCACGGCCCCAGCGGCGTCCTTCCCGTTGCCGTTGGGGCCCCCACCACCGGTATCAATGTCCTCGTAGCCGTGCACGCCGCGACTGATGCCCAACCACATGACCTCGCTGTTCTCGATCTCGTCGACCACGCGCTCCAGATCGTCGCGGTACATGCGGGCGCGCATGGGCTGGCCGCGGCTCTTCAGGTACGCGACCAGGCCCGCGATGATGGTGTTGAGCGCGCCGAACACGGTGATCAGGATGTGGCTGGACGCGCTGGCCCCGAGGGCCGTCAGCGCCGCGCCCAGCACCACCTGGCTGAGGAGCAGCGTGTTGGACAGCGACGCCGTGCCGTAGTATGTCCAGCGCTGGTTGGCCAGTTGCCGCGTCGCCCGCCCGTACAGTGATTTCGCGGGGATGCGCGACCGTGCCACTTTGGCCCCGTCGGGCGTCGGTTCGAACGATGGCACACCTACCATCATGCAGAACTGGGCGTGCGGGTCGACGGTGGTAGTGGTGGAGGGGTCATCGTCGCGCGCCGGAGTTGAGTTGTAGTTCTGGTTCGGGCCTGGCTGCCATAGTAGAGGCGTACGTTCGCCGAATGCCGGAGACATGTCGTCGGGCGGGTTCTGATCAACGCTGAGTCCTGTGTACCGACAATCTGTCCTTTCTTCAATACGTCTGCCCCTTCAATCGTGAGTCCCTTGCCGTAGGGTAGCGCGCCGATCGGTCCACTCAGCCCAGACAAGACTCCCACGGACTTTATCTCAACAATGGATAATTACCAAAAGGAGTAAAACAGTTGGACCGTCCCTGCTCGACCAGGAAGACCACTCAGTCAGTCAGTCAGGCAGTCCGTCCGTCCGTCCGTTCGTCATTTACCGACATGAACCGGCCAACGTGATCACGATCGACCATTTTACCATGAACGTAAACATAAACGTAAGAGCACAAAGATTAAATATACACAGTATTTACATATGCGCCGTCGAGCTCTCTTCGTGGTCTCCCGATAGGAAAAGGAAAGCAAAGGAAAGGGGGGTCGCGAGGGGACGTGTCAAAGCTCGGGCCGAAGCCGTTCGATAGCGATATGCTACTGTAGGTGGCTAATTAATGAATTACTCCTTACCTCAGTTGATTAACTTCCTGGATGGGAGCTTAGCCGTCTGCTTGGCGCGACGCCCCGTTGATCTTTTCTAGTTGATTATGCCTGAAGAGGAATCGTCACCATTGAGCGTGGCGACCAGCTACGTACTGTAGCTCTCTGTACCGAGGCTCGCGATTCATGGACGTGGTACAGTACGCGTGTGTAAGTAAATGGGTAGATAGGTGGATGGATGGATGAATGGCACGATGACAGTGATACGAGTCTGGATGGAACATACATACATACATACTCCGTGCTATTAGAGAGGCTACAGTACAGGACGAGGCGACAACACCGAAAACGTACTCTGTACTCTGTACTCCTAGGCACGTACCTAGAATACCTAGGTACCATTGCAACGAAAACCATAACCATCTCAGGCTCAACAGTCGACAATCAACACAAATCTCGTCATTCATAAAGCCGTGATTCTCGATTCTCGACTTTCGATTCTCGACTTTCGCAATGCCATACACACAACAATGCATACCGAATAATGCCCATATCCTGTAGAGAAACTCCCAGCTCCGGCGCTCGTACATGCTGCTACAATGCATACCTATATGGTCCCTGCTATCCTCGAGAGCGACGTCGTAATCCTGTGTGTTGTAAGAAACAAAACCCTCTCCTGGGAAAAGGTTGGGCCTTCGCAGTCCATGTCGTCCAGAGCAATCGCAGGCCTTGAAATCGATGGCGCTTCAGATGCGTGAGCCAAAGATGGAGTCTCACCTCTGGGGTTGTGCTGGACTCGTCGCCGGTTCCGTCTGGGGCCAGTCGTCCTCGTCCTCGTCGTCCAATTTCCCTTGAGCACTTTCGATCTGCCGAAGAAGGCAGCGTCTTTTCGATGGCAGTTCCTTGCCTGTCGACGATGGATAAGCCATGTTTGCGCATCGTCTCTTCGCTTGCCTCGTAGAACTTTCTGCCGAGCCTTGCCCACACCAGTTCCATTTCCTTCGCCAGCACTTCTTTCATCTGCCGCTCACGGCTGGAAATGACTTCCTTGTCAATCACAGCCAGTTCCGCCCCATATCCCCGAGAGATCTCGGTCGTGTCCTTCCAGGAGATTCGTTCGTTCATTTCCCTGCTCGCGCGATTCGCCATTGGCTGACCGAGCTGCTGTCTTAGCTTGCTACTTCTCCTCAAGCGCGCTCACTTCGGCCATCATATGCTCCCCAAATTCATGACGGCTTTGTCGAAACGATCTCAGCCATGATACCATCTGCATCTCCAACGCCAGACTCGATAAGCTGCTCGTACCAGTCATCAAGTTCATCGCGATCCAGAGCCTCAAAGTCAACATTGTCATATTTCCTCCTCCTGTCTTCCTTCTTGTTTTTCCTCGGTCGGTTGTCTCTACCAACCAACCCCTGGATGCCAACCACCGATTAACCCTGTTGTTGCCACACTCGATCCGCCCATCCAGTTTGCCTGCGCCCGTGAAGTTGAGCCCAATCCCTGCAACAGGGTTGTCGAGTGGTTCGGGTTGCTACTCAGGCCCCCTCTGACGCTTGGTTTGGTGCCAGATATGCCCGAAGTCGAGCCAATGCCCGCTTTCTTGTACTCGCACTGAGTGCTGCTGTGCACGTGGTACGCGCATCCTCGATCGCGGGCCGGGTCGCCCCAGCGTTCGATTTGCCATTGCCAGATCTTCCGCATGATCAACAGGCTCAAGTCGGCGGTTTCGAAAAGCTTGTCGAAATTCTCCCGATCGCGCACTGCACGTGGATCGTCGGCTGCGGCGGGACTTTTGGTGGCCATCTTGGACGAAGACGGATGATTTTTGGTGAAGTCGTTGTGGTACCACCGCGGGAAAGTCATCATGTGGTACACAAGCTGCTCGATGAAGAAACGCTTGAGGGGTGATTTGGGTGGACCGGTCAGGTGGCAGACGGCGAGGGCTGAATAGTTCGGTCGCGTCGACTCAGGGGAGGTCGGGGCCGCCGAAGTATCTCGGTCCCCCGGTCCAGATGTCAGAGACGAGATCAGACCCAGTCGGCTCGCGTCTCTACTGCTTCCGCTACTGTGTCCACTCATGGTGCAGTGTGTGTGGTTGTGTCCATGCGTGTGCAGGTGATGTTGGTGGGCGACACGATGGCTGGCCCTGACAGCGTCGATGATGCCGTTTTGCAGCTCCTCCATGCCGAACTTGTCCGCCATACAATAGGCGGACGTCATGTCGAGCACGTCCACGCCACCTACGCCAGGTACCAGACTCGGCAGTTTGCCCCGGTAAATCCAGTCGACCACAATCGCAAACGCCTTCGGGTCGTCCTCTGGCAGGTATAGTTCGTTCTTGTCTCCTTCACTGAATCGGTTTTTGGACAGGCATTTCTCCATGAAAGGGGACCGTTCGCAGATGAGGGTGCGGTGGAGGTAGAAGCATTTGCGCTTTGGGCCGACGTGGACGGTAACAATTACCGAAGTGGTGAAGCTGGGTGGTAAGAGATCGTTAGCACGTCTGGTGGACAGAAGATGAAGTTCAGATAGGGGCGGCGAGCAGACTCACTTGTCCACATCATCGTCGCTGTCGTCATCCTCTTCCTCGTCTTGCTCCTCACCGCCGTCCTGCTCTTCCGATGCGTCGCTGTCTTGAGCCTCGTCATTCTCGGTGCTCACACTGGCCGGACTGGCCCCCTCGGTGGTGGTGGTGGTGGTCTTGACAGCCGCCTTCGACGGCCCGTGGGAAGCCTCGCCGCCGGCCGTAGTAGATTGTAATCGAGTCTCGGTGACCTGGACGTCCGTGTCATCGGTGTCCATGACAGGGCGCTTGAGAGCCTCGAGGTTGCGAGTAAAGAGTGCACCAAGCATGAAGGCGAGCGAACGGGGGAGGGCAGCCCTGCGGTCCCAAGGTGGAGTGACGAACAAAATGACCGGTGAGAAGTTGATTCGGGAGATGAACGCCGCGAAGAGAGGGGGGGTTCCGAGTGGGTATGTCAGAGCGGGACCGACGCGCTCACCGTGGCGGCTCTGAGAAGATCGTCCGAGAGAGAGCGTGCGTGCTGTGAAGCCGAAGCTCAACAACTCCGAGTCCGAGCCGGCATTCCGCGGTGGATGGTGCCGCAGTCGACCCGGCTTGTCAGCTCCAACCGCAGAAGTGACTAAATAAAAGAGTATAAGGACTAATTAGCACGTGGGCTTTTGGCTCGATGCTCGGTAAAGTCAAGGCAAGGCAAAACACACGGCGCAGTCAAGAGGGTAGCGTCTCTCATCTACGCAACAGGCAAATCGACTCGAACCTCAACGGAATTGCCCATTTTGACGGAGCGTGTACTCCGTATGCAGTACTGGCAGGCTCAATCAGGCTTCAGCGAGGCCCATGGCGCATTATGTCGGTACGAGTAGTATAACACTGCTACTCCTGCGAAGCCCGACTCAGCATCCCCGAGCCTCGACCTATACTGTTACACTTGTATACAGCCTGAAACGCAAACCCAAGTCTTCCAAGGCTGCTCCAAGAAACCAAGTACAGTAAAGCGTATCAACCCTCGCTGTCCTTCGCCGCCTTGACCATCCGGGCCTGCTTAGGTGGATTCCAGTAATGCTTCAACTTCCAAGGAATGTCCACCACGCGAATCTAGCGCTTCCTCGGTACCCCAATATTCGGCCCTGGAGCTTGCTCTTCGAGCTCCGCCGGCGTCATGCCATGGTGTTGGTGATCGGCCTCGTTGTACCCTGGTGGTGCTGGGGGCAGTTGCAGCGGCGGCGGCCCTGCCCCGTCAAAATCACCTTTTCGGACTCTCTCCCTTTCTAATTCGCGCCTTAATTCTTCGTTCACCGCATCTCGTTCTTCGAGACGCTTTCTCGCGCCGCTTCGATCCAGCAGTCGCGCTTCCCTCTCAGCCTTCAACCGTCTTTCAAGCTCTCGGAGGCGATGGATCCATTTTTCTTGTCCTTGGCCACCACCGCCGCTTCCTGCCGTGATACTCGCGATATCCGAGCCTGAAGCTGTGCTCGGTGGCGCCGGAGGCGCCTCTCTCGGTGGGGGCGGCAATGAAAAGTTGCCGTTGGCCGGCGCATTGAACGGGCCGGCGGGGATCATGAGGCCGCCTCGATCCATCGGCTGGGTGTAGCCCGAGTGTCGGCTTGAAATCGAGTTGGACCGGAGCGAGCCCACATCGCCACCCATACTGGCCAGGTGTTCCACAATGCCCGTGGAATGGTGGCGCTGCAGTTCCATGCCTCGACTCCGCCTCATGCTTGACGAGCGAGGCGGCACACCGGCAGAGCCGTTCACCGCGCCATCGACCTGCCCGGGTGCCTCGGTCGACATGATGCTGGCTGAGTAACCGGATGCTCGACTCTCGTTCCTGTCCCGTCGGTGGTGCAGGTTATGGTGCGCTTGTTGCTGCTGGAGAAGCTGAAGCTCGGCCTTCAGTAACCTGTTCTCGCCCTTGAGCTTGCTGATTTCTGGCGTTCTGGTTGACTTGGGCGTTCGAGGGGCGTGGTCCATTCGAGTCTCCATTTCCGACATCTTGATCTTCATCTGTTCCCAGCTCTCCTCGATCCGCTCGAGCTTGCGGGTTCGGACTTCCAATGTCTGCTCGAGCGCCTGGTATTCTTTGTACAGCTCACGCTCCACACGCTTGATCTTGTCTCGGAACGTAGACAGAGTACCCTCAACCTGCTTGGCGGCCAAGAGCAGGTTCCTGCTGAACCCGGGCCAGAAGAGCATGTTGCCAATGACTTCCTGAGAGGGCAAGTTGCCATTGATCAGACTGTTGTTGTGAGCCCAGTCGGGTCCACACATAGCAGACAGCCTCTTCCACAGGTTCAGCAGAATCTGATTCCGCTCCGACAACTGTTCTTTGAGTTGATTCTCCATCTGTGTCATTCGCTTCCTGTCGGTCTGGCGCAGTCCTTCCAGCTCCGCGATCCTGGCAGACGCGGACGTCAGGGCACGAGTAGTCGAGTTATGACCCTTGTAGGTCTTCTCAAAGTCCAACTTATCTTGACGTCTGCCCGCCTTTTCACGCTCATATGCGTCGGCCAACTTTCTGCACTCATGGCTCGTAGATTCGAGCAAGGCGTCACGATCCTGGAGCAAATTCTCCGTCTGCTCCAGCCTCGCCCGCACAGATTGGAGATCCATGGTAGTCTGATCCAGCTCCCGCCGCATCTTGGTCACCGCGCTGATCAAGCTCGACCTAGAACTGTTAGGATCCCCGATGATATTCCGCAGACTCTCCTCCAGCTCGGACAGCCGTTCCTGGTATGACTTGGCCTCGATATCACGAACAGACAATGCTTTGCGCACTTTCCGAAGTTCGTCCTTGGCCCCCGAGGCTTCACGGTTGAGGTCATTGATGACGCGCTGCACTTCCTGCTTCTCCTGACTCGCCACTGCGTCGCGTTGTGTACGTTCCTCGTTGATCCGCCGTTCGAGTTCCCTGCTCTTGTCTCGTTCCGATTCCAGGTTAAGGTGGACTTTCTTGAGCAGGGACTCCAGGTCGCCAATCTTGATCTTGTCAGCGTCTTGCTCTTCGCGGAGGAAGGCAATTTCATTATGACTGCTCTCTTGTTGGACCGTGAGGCGTTGTACTTTGGTCTCCGCCTCAGAGAGAGACTTTTCAAGGCTCTCCAGCTCACGGTTAGCATCGTCGAGCTCGCCCTTGACCGACTGATATCGTGCCAGGTTTTGCTGTGCGTCGTCTTCGAGGCGCACAAGACCCTCGGCAGCGGATCGCATCTCAGCCTGCAGAGCTTTGACATTCTCCACCTGCGCCTTGAGCTCCTCCTCAAGCTCCGAGCATTCCTTGACCTTGGCATCGAGCTCATCCCCCAGACCGTCAATCTCTTCCTGAGCTTCAGCCTTCAATTGTTGGAAAGCATGATCTTGTTCTTCAGCGTCACGCAGCGCATTATCTCGCTCTTGCGTAAGGAGGGCAAGCTCTTCGTTGAACTGATCTGCATCTGCTTGGGCTTGAGCATCGACCGCGTCCAGCTCAGCAAGTGCCTCATCGAATTGACTTTGGAGATCCTGGTTTTCAAGTTTCAGCTGAGACACCTCGTCACGTAGCTCGTTGATCCTCGTCTCGAGCGTTTCCCGTTCCTGATCGCTCAACCGAGACATCCTTGTGCCGTTGCTGGCGCGCGAATGAGACCTCGCCCTGGAGGCTGAACGATCAAGAATGCTGTCACCGGCCACAGATCGCAGTCCACCCATCCGCCCAAGCTTGAGGTCCTCAATCTCCTGGTACAAGCGCTCCTTCTCCTTGTTCCGCGAAGTCAAAGTCGAGGCCTGCGCGCCGATCATCTTCTGCAGCTCCGAGACTTCATGTCTCAACCTGTCAATCTCTGCATCTTTGGCGGTTGTTGCTTCAACACTGCTAGACCTCGAAACAACCGAGCCCCCAATCTTGATCTTGCGTGAGCCAGATTTGCCGGATGCGAAGGTGTCGTTCCTGAGTTTGGCAATTTCTTCTCGGAGGCGCTTGTTGTCTTCCTCGGACTGCTCGCGGGCGATGGTCTCTGCTTCAAGCATGTCCTTCCACATATCGCGTTCCTCTCTCGAGCCCACGTCGGACGCAGCGGCGCGAGTATCACCCAGGGACTTGACCATCTCCGCTAGTCGCCGCTTCTCGGTTTCTTTCGCAATGTTCTCTTGGCGGAGTTTCTCGATCTCGATTTCGTTGACCTCGACACGCTCACGGAGGTAGAGGACTTCCTCCTCCGCTGTCGGACTCCTTTCCTCATCTGTCGCATATCCCTGGTCGGCATTGGGCGAGTCTCGAGCACCGCTTGTTTCCTCGAGTTTCTTCTGCAGATCTCGAACCTGCTTCCGTAAATTATGATTATCCTTTTCTAAGCGCAGTCGGTCAGACTTCAGCTGGACATTTTCTGTAATCATTTCCTTAATGCCGTCTTCCGACCGCTTCTGCAATGCCTGATCCAGGAAGTGGATCTTCATCTTCAGGTCGAAATTCTCCTTGCCCAGCTTTTCCACCGTGCTTCTGTGTTCCTTCAGTGTCAGGCCTCTCTTAGGTCCTGGTGTCAGACCAATGATTGTGTTGCTCTTTTCAGGCGACATGCTTCGCTCTTGGCGGTATTGCCGTGCAAATGTGCCCGGGACCTCCAGGTCGCGGACGTTATTCGCGATAACTGTGTCGCTGGGCATATTGAAGTTGTAGACCGAGGCGCGAGGCGTATTGTATCCTCCGGCCTTGTTAGAATTGGGACTTTCTTCTTGCAAGGTACCCAAGTCACTGGTGCTGACCTGTCTCTGCGCCCGAGGTTCATCGTCGCTCATACCTGAAATGCCAGACATCATGCTTCCCAGACTGGCTTGCCTCGAGATTGTGTTCCGGGCTTTGCGGCGGTCGGTCGAGTCAGGCAGTGCACCACCGGACTGCAGAGCGAAATCAGCACCAATCGTTGCATCACTAGCGTCTGTATTGGAGCTGGCCATCGAATCGTACGACAGGCGGGCCTGGGACGATCTTTTGTGCAGATACCCGGGCCGTCGGTGCTTAGGCTTGTTTTCGGCACCCTCTTGCACGCCGTCGGCAGCGTCTGGTACCTCGAGATACTGTGTCTCGTTCTTCCGCGGGGTGGCGTCATTGTCACCCTCGACGTTGGTTGAGGTCTTGCCGTTTCTGGTCCGATCTGCCGTCTCATTCGCGGTCTCATACCCCCCCATCGTGGCAAGGGATTGTACGCGAGAAAGCGTTCGGGCGGCGGCGGCGGCGGTGGGAGAGGAGGACATGCTCTCGAGCGCTGAGGTGGATGTCGGTTGAGGCGTCGAGCGGCCACTCCCACGCGTGTTACGAAACTCTTGCTGTTCCGGTGCAGGCGTCTTGTAAGCCCCGGGTGGGGTCTTTGGGGATGAGACGGGCCTTGCTTCCGCGTAGTTTTCGGTATCTTCAGAGGGGTATGATCTCTGGATGGGAAGTGGCTTCTTGCGCACCGCGACATTGTCGTTGACAACGCCGAACAGGTGCGTGTCGTCTGCACCAGTCGTCTGGGAGTCCCGCTCCACCAATGGAGAGTGGTCGGGCAGGAAGCTGGACTCGTGATCCTGTAGTTTCTTGTTCATTTCACTTTCGTCGAAGGTGTGGTTTGCCGGCAGATCGAGATTGGTGTGCTCGTCAATGGGCTGCAGCAGACTGCTGGGGTCTCCGAATGCGGGCAGGAGCGAGGATGGTTCGTCCTTGTCCGGTGTGTGGTGCGAATCATCGTGGCCGCTCTCAACGGATGCCACGTCGTCGTCATCCTCCTCTTGGTCAAACCCGCCCGGTACTCGCGACGACCGCCGCTCGGTGCGCGGCCGGTCGCTCAAGATCGACGAGGACATGGTAAACATGGGCACGGCGGGGGTGCACTATTGTCCTGACCCAATGCGCAGGGGTTGGCCGAGTTGATGCGAGCCTTCGGATGATCGTGTCGCGGACATCGGGGTGGAGGGGACACGCGCAATGACCGAATCGTCGAGTTGCGCGTCTTGTCAACACTGCTGAACCAGGTTGATGGACCAGAGTCTGTGTGCAGAGTGGTGTCGTGATAGTTGAGCGAGTGTCTGGCTACTACGAGTCCCCCGTCTCAGTCACAGGATCGTCACAGTGCTTCACTTTCACCACTTTTGTTCAGTCTGTTGCCCCTTCCGCGAGAGGCTTGACGCCAGGCCCGATCCGGAGCAGGCCATAACATCGGGCAGGGGCGTCACGCACCCGTCAACGGGGGTTGGGAGGCTAGCCGGGTTTCGCAGGAATCATTTCGTATGACGGCACGACGCTGCTGATATTTCCCCGTGCATGACTCGGTCATATGAGTCATTTGAAAGGCGTCCTGCCCGTCAGACACCGGCGTTGGTGGTTTCAGGAGCTTAAGCGAGCACGCTGGCGGGACTCGGCCGTCGACCATTGTCACACACTGCTCCAGCCGGCAGTCTACTGGATACCGCGTACGGAGTATACACAGTAGACAAGCAGACGTCGACAGGTCATTCGTTCGTACTCGGTAGTTCCGACATGACATGGATTCCTTATGTTATACATACACCCAGGTAACTATACCCATATCTCCTCGCTCGCTCGTTGCCTCAATCGTGAATCATAAGTCGTCTACTAGTGGTACACATGAACGAGGTGCAGGGGACGCGATACTGCAATGCCAATGTCAGAACACCCCCAGCAGAGCATTGGCCGCCTCGGTCCTCATCCTCGAGTCCGCCTCGGCCCTTTGCGCCTCTTCCTCCTCTTTCCGCATACAATAGATCTTCTCCTTCATGGCGTGGGCGTTTTGGAGCGTGTCAATGTACGTGCGGAACTTGACAATCTCACGCAGCAAGTAACTGCTTTTCTTCTCCCAGTTGTTCATGGCTTTGTTCGCGTTGGGGTGCTTGGCCGTGTAGGCGAGAAGCATCAGACTTCGCAGGTCATTGTGCTTCTGCAACTCCTCTTCCACGTTCGTCACATACGCCTGAAGCGCGCGAAGCTGGTCCACCTCCATCAACTGAGAAGCAAACATGGACTGTTGCGGCGGCGACCAGTCGCTAATGTGGACCTTATCCCCGGGTAGCTTCGGCCGTACACCACCGACGTGGTCCATGGAGCTGCGCATTGACATCTGCGTACTCGGCCGAGGACTCACCACTCCAGCACGTCCGCCGTTGATTTCGGGCGAGGCCAGGGCCCGGTTAACGACGTTGTCGCTCCAGCCGTACTCCATATTGCTAATGCCACCCATCATCGGCTCCTTGGACAGTCTAGCACTCCAAAAGTTGGCCGTTGACACGAACTCCTTGACGATATCGGGAGTGCCGACGGAGAACAGGTGGACAGCTCCTGTCGGCAGGCTGAGCGCCCAGACATACGGCCGGGCCTTGGAGTAGCCGGGCGGTGGCAGTGAGCTGGCAATGGTATGTCGAAGAGTGAACTTCCACAGCTCTTCGGCATTGTCCTGCCAGTTGCCTCCACCAACCACCGCCGGCTTCGGAGCTCGGGCCTTATTGCGCAGAGACTTGGCCGTCATAGAGAACGAGAAAAGTCTCATGTATCCTTTCTCGATGACCGCAAAACAGTCGTTCCAGTTCCTATCCTTCGACCTCTTATCGACACCCTCGAGGTGACACTTGTGCTTCAAGATACCTTCTTTGGCCCACGGCGCGCCGCAGAGCTCCAGCGACTCGTCCTCGAGCAGCGAACCTGCTTTCGGTCCGTCTTCGATAGGCAGATCCAACTGGTCTTCCCGAATGATGGCTTGGCTCAGTGCGCTGGCAAAGCCGATCGAGGACTGGTAGTCGGCATGGGTAGCTTCGGTGCCGAAGGAATCCACCGACATGGACGTGAGCGTCTTTCCGAGCGAGACTTTGCTCCATGTGCTCGACAATGACGGACTCCAAGCCGAGGACTCGTCGATGCTGGTTCTACTAGAGTTAAAGCCAGGAGCCGAAGGTAATCGTGGTCGGGATCTTGTCTTCGATACGAACCGAGCGCCGAGGGACTTGCTTTCGCCTGCAAATCGGCCACGATTGGTGTCGGAATGGGCTTTGCTGAGCACGCTCGGGGTACGGCGCAGCATGTTGGTCCCAATCGTCAAGAAGTTGTTGGACAGGTTGAGATGGGCGTTAGGCTCAATTTGAGCGCCAGAAAGGGGCAAAGGCTCTTGGGAAATGGAGTTGTAGAAAGACTTCAGGACCGACTCTATCTGCATTTCCCAGACTCTGTTGGCTGCAAGACCCGTGGCAGATTCGTGAGACTCAGGCGGTGGCGGTTCCGGACGGCTTGATTGATCGGGTGGACGCTGCAAGTCGGAAGACGCACTGGCTGTATCGTCATGGGATGATGAGTTCGCACGTTTCGGGCCCCGCGAGCCCTGATCGGTTTCCAGTTCCTGGACTCCACGCTTGATTGTGTTCATGGCGTTGCGCACGAACTGAGCCTTCGTCATCTTCTGTACAATGTCCGCCAAGTGGAGATCCGTGTTGAGCAATAAGAGCGCATACACGATAGAATGCACCACATCTGTCTTCTTGTTAGCAATTTCCCCTAGCCAAGCGGATTGCAAGCCTTACCACTGGACTTGAAATTGTGCGATGGGTTGCATTCACACCATCGCTGGGCAAAAGCAGTCAAGACACGGTCAATGACTTGGCTCTCGCCCTTGAGAGTGATATTGTCACACAGTCCTCGGAGCGAGTCGAGAATATCCTGATTTTTCCAATCGAAAAGCTCCATGAACGCTTTTCGCACATAGCCTCTGTCGACACCGGCGTCTCCGAGCCAAGCTCCTGCGGCAGATGGGTCCACTTCATCATCTGTATGTTCGTATATATTTTGAGCTTTTCTTTTGTAGTCTGGGACCTCGCTCAAAGAATCAGTCGGCGCCATCGAATTGAAAGACGGCGGAGACCTGGCGAGTTCCCCATCAGGGGTTTCGACGATCAGTGGCGTGCTGGGTGCCGATCTGTATTCCTCCCCAACATCAGATGTTGAAACAAATGGCGAGCCTTTCACGGGCTTTCGGGGGATCTCCAGGGTGTTCTGCCGCCGAGCGGAGAAGGGTTTAGGGCCTGGATCCGTATCCGCTGGGGCAGATGCCGGTGCAATAAAGGATGAAGTCGGCGAAACCGTGTCAGATATCCATGATCCTTGTCTCGTGGTCGCAGATCTCGGATTGGACAATGGGCTCGGCAGTGAGGTTGCGGAGGCTGTTTGCTCAAGCTTGAGATCGTTCACACTATGTCTGAGGCGCAGTTCACGTCGCTCATGGTCAGATGGGGTATCGAACGGTCGTTTCATTGGCTCCTCAGCACTGCTGCTGTCCGCAAAAAAGGAGTCTTGGTGCGGTATGAGGAGAGTGGAAGTCGGTTTGGTGTTGGATCTCAAGGTCTTGTTGCTCCTGTTGCTGCTGTGAGACTCGTTTCGACTGTGACCTGCCTTGGGGCGTGTCCCAGCTTGACTCGGCAAGCCGAACGCGGGCGGCGATAGAGTGGGTGTATAGAAGCCCTGCATAGAGTTGGTGCGGACATGGCCATGAGGTCGACCATGGCCTGTTGCGGACGTCGGAGGATCAGCCAGATACGGTCCCATAAACGCTCTCAGGCTGCTAACCGGGCTCGTACCGTCGACAGGCTGGGTTTCCGCCGGCACCTCTGCATTCAAGGTCAAAGGGAGAGGTGGCGGCACAGCGTGAGAGATCGACTTCTTCCTCCTACGGAAGAAGGCAGAAGACTTTTTAGCAAGGACTGGCTGGTTCTCTTTGTTCGCCGAGGCATCGGTGGATGTCCGACGAACGGGCCGGTGCATCTTGCCTGGCGGTGTGGTGGGATGATGGGAGCTGTCTTCTTGCACTGGAGTGGCGCGCCCATGGTACGATTTTGTCAGAACATTGTGTACTGACTGGGGCTCGACCGTCGGGTTCTTCGATCCAAAGACACGACGAAAAAACCCGGGTCTAGGTGCTGCAATGGGCTCGCTCAGTGAGGCCATGCTAGGCTTGTGGTCTGTGGCATGGAAGCTGGGTACGCTTTTCATGGAAGGCAGCTGAGGCACAGAGTCCGTTCTCGTCGCATTGGGCCCCGTTGGCGGCATCCGGCCTTTCTTCACGTACGCACTCTTGGATGATTTGGTGCTGTTCTTGCGGACCAAGGGACTGGGAGGTTCACCCTTCTGAGCCTCAGGTCCAGGGTAGATCACCGGGGTGGGTGCTTGACCATCGCCATTGACGCCGGGTTTGCTGGTGCGTACCTCTCGTTGTCTGGAGCCAAAGTCGAAGCTCCTTGACCGTCGGTTCCCAGGGCCTCCCAGTCGACCTGTCATGCTAGCCAAGTGGCCAAGATCGATGCTTGACGAGTTACTGCTATGATCGCTTTTGCCGCCACCAGACACATTCTTCCTCCTCCTCGGGTGCCGCGGCTGCATGGCCCTCTGTGAATCGTAGACCTTCGCCCTTGTAGACTCTTCATCTTCACCAAATATGCTAGGCAGCCTCTGCAGATCTTTCTGGTATCGCACGCTGCTTCGTAGGGGTATTCGCGGCATGGTCTGAGGGAGCTGCGGCGCAGCCCTCAGGTGTTGGACGTCGTTTTCCGACGAGGTCGAGGAAGAAAATGTATGGCCTCTTCCCCGGCCCCGGACTCTTGTGCTGGTGTCATAGCTATTGCTGCGCGGGGTAAAAGGCGCGTCGTCGAATGCACCGCCAGAGAAATGATCCAGGGAGAGCACCAGGTTGTCGACCATCGAAGCCCGAAGGATGTGGTTCCTCGACAGTGATAGGTCATGGGGATCCTCGACATCCTCGTGATCCTCCATCTTGGGTGATTCGGCAAGAAACGTGCCTGGACCTGTCATTTGTTTGCTCTCTTGTGCCCCGTGTAGTTGGCGCAGCGGTCGAGCCGGAAATACAGGAGATGTTGGGAGGGAGGCTGGCTGTGGGTTCTGGCGCTCGTTCGCCGTGAGCTGCTTCGACGACTGACGGCGAGGGCTCTTTGGTTTTTTGGGAGATGGAATGCTCGGCGGGGCGTCCATTGTTTATTCGAATCCCAGATCCTCGCGTCAGACCGCGGTGTCGATCCCGAGAGCGAAGCGATGCGCGTTGGTGTCTGAGACAGCTAACCCCTCGACTCGACTGGAGTTGTCGCACGACTTGCCGTCGGTTGGAGAGCGTCGCAGCGCATCCCAATCTGTGCTGGGAAATAAACAGTGGGCAAAGACAGAGTAAATGAGACCGAAGTGGATTTGAGGATCTTCGCCCCGTGCAGCTGTTGGTTTTGGGCGGATGTTCAACGCTCTAACGGACAACACATCAACCAGCGTGCCAGCGTGAAAGACGGTGGGTCGGGCGTGGATAGGGGCACTAGGGGCACTAAGGGGCACCTCCATCTGCACGTCTTAGGCAGGGATCAGGACTCCTTGCTGCACCCCTGGACCACTAGCTGCCTGGGTGAGGTACCCCCCCGAATCTTCACCAGGAGACGATAAGCACCATACTACGGAGTCCATAGTACGGAATATAGCACCAAGGCCATTATGTCTGTGCTTGCAATAGAGCACAACGCACCGAGTTGCAGCAATCTTGATAAAGATTCCATGATTCATTGAGATCCAGGCACTGCTTCGATTAGGCCTGAGTGCCACCTGAGACATGATTTACTAGCCACAGCTGTCATGAACTCATCATACTCGTTGCATCGCTACGATCAGATGCGACGCCACGAAAATACTGGGTACGACTGATATCGCTCGCCTTCACGCGTCTTTCACATCGTCATTCAGGGCTGACGCTCTTTTATCGAGATTATTCAACCGCTTCATGAGAACAGGATCTTGGCCTTTTACCCCTGGACGTTGCAGTGGACCGCAGGATGACCACAGGCTAATGCAGGTCCGACAAGCTGGGCCATCCCCGCTACTGAACGCCACGCCCGCCTGAGGACGCTCAAATCGGGTCCCATAGCCGGGGATGGGCTAAGCACTCTTCGGCCGTCTTTCCATTCAAGTCCGTATCCGATCAGCCGACGCGCTGTCATGGCTCATCGCATTGTCGACCTAATTGCTTCGGCCACGAATAAGATCCAATCGAATCGTGAGAGAAAGAGACTTGTTTGACATCAATGGACTGAGATCTTGGGAAGTGTCAGTATCCTCGTAGCAGATAGGGATCCATCATTGGGCGTACTCGGCTAGGTAGAGATATTGTCATCAGTCACTGTGATGCTCAGTCCAAGGATCGAACCTGTGAAGATTGAGGCTCGCGTAAGATCTCTGCTGTAAGCGATCATTCGAAGCGCCAACTGGTCTCTGACTCTTCGCGCCGCCGAACCTGCTCCAGGCCATGGTTTTCTGGGTGCCGCTGTCCGTGGATGCGTATGCCGACGGTTGCTCATCCCTTGACGCCCAGGAACAGCCACCTCGTCCCCACTGTCGTAAGATTGATATTCAAAATCGTACACACCAACCAAATCACGATCCAGGCCAACATAGGACTCAACAACAGCTGAGTATGATGCAGGAAATGCAAAGCGTTATACCCTAAAAACGTGATTAGACTCCAGTATAATCCCGCTCCTAGATACAGCAGATTCGCAAAGAACGTAGATGCGTGATTCTGATGGTTGAGAACGGGCATGAGGATGTACTGGATGATGTACAGGAGGACGTAGGGAGGAAAGAACGCCCGGATAGAAACATCGAAACAGTATCCGAATTCAAGAACTTCAGCGCCACGCGTTCCCCCGGGGGGTCCGAAGAGGCCTTGTTGCCGTCTGCGGCCTGGGAGGCCTGCGATGCCGGGACCCAGCAGTCTGCCGACGAGGTAATATGCGATCGCTGAGACGAGGAGTGAGCCAGCGAGAAAGTGGATGACCACGAACATCGAGGCCAGTTTGACGACCGAACCGAAGGATGGTGTGTAAGCGAGGGACCAGGCAAACGAAGTGAGTAGCAGGAAGAAGGATAGCAGGTAGGTAAATGATGGATCTGGTCGATGCCACGTATTTCTCGTCTCTGCGATACGATCGTGAGTATGCAGCATAACTATATGCAATTTGTCCGGTCCTTCAACTCACGTTTATGATAGTATATCGACTTGAACACCTTCTTGGGCGCGATCAATAGATGTGTCATCTCCCAGACGGCCATTTCAAAATCCATTTGAGGGAACTTGAACAGTCTGTCCGCACCAAATGTCAGCGACCGACTCATCGACGGGTGAAACTGTATGGTTTGCTAACCGTTTGAAGAATCGAGGCATGCGCATGTCAGAACGCCCTGTGGCCGTGGCGCCAAAGTGAGGTCCGCCATATTGACGAGGAGTCGAAATGCGAGGGCTGCTCATCGGATAGAATTGATTAAGGAAGACGTAGACATCCGACAAGAGTTGAGACGGGAAAGTCGCGATGCGGATGACGGGCATAATTTACAGTTCAACGCAGGCGTGGCATGTTGCAGGGAAAGTTCGCGCCGAATTTGGCGGTCGGTGCCGCCGCTTTTGACTCGACATTTACTCGCCTTGACATTGCTTGTTTTTTTCGGCCTCTCTTTCCCTCTCTTCTTCTCGCGCTCAGATTGCATGATGGAGGACACCTCAGTCCTGCGCCCGCTGTGTTATTCTGTCCCAGGATAATCATGCCATAACAACAGGCTGACTATTTTACTTATTGCTCACGTTCGTCCATTGGGACTCCCTCGCGGTCTCATCTGACCTGTTCGTCCCGGTCTCCATCCGATGAGATGATATTCAAGATCATGGACCTCCGATCCCAACGCAACAGCTCCGAGATACTTGCCGGCCAGACCCAATATCGTGTCTTTCACAGAGAGAAGAACTCATACCTTCAGTCACCAATGTCATGGCTTTCCAGTTCCGAGGAATGTCGTGGGGAAGATGGTAGATATGGTTCAGACGATCTTACCAGCCCATCCAGCGTAGTAGCAAAGACACCTCAGCGGTGCAGCAAAATCAATAGTAGAAGCTTGCATTTGGCAAGCTCGACGTCTTCCAAGCGTTGTTTCAAGGCGAATCCGAAGGCCAATCTGGTCGCGGGGATCTTACGGGCGAGGCTATTCTGACAAAGAAAAAAGCATTCCGAGTGTTCTTCAGCCCAAGCCGTTCCACAGCATGATGATCGAGACGGACCAGCGAAGATGCGCTAGTCCTGCTAAAGTCCCCATGGCATGTTTCCCATGAAAGACGCAACATGGTGGCCGAAAGACGCAACATGGTGCCGAAAGTAGCAGCAAGGCCGCAGGAGCCTACCTAGGTAACGATTTCAATCAATGGGTTTGTCAGCTCGATCGGCTCAGATACGATATTCGATGGGTGGACGAGGAAGCAGGTTAGCATGAATCGGCCGCGGTCGATCCATATATGGTTAGAAAATAAAGCCCTCTTTCATACAATTGGCGGCTGTTGAACCTGCCGCCGGGGCTCTAGGCTCTTCGATACGAGGTAAAGAGCAGGCCTGATGGTTTGTTCACCAACGTTTCAGGCGATGATGGCAGATCGCCCATATCACAACATGGGTGCAACACGTTCGCCAGTGTGTAATCACGTCCTCATTTGGCAATTATCGGACCAGGAGGGAAATAAATGCACGTCTGGGGAGTCCGTGAACTCAATCGTCGCTTGTGCAATCTGCGCGCTGCCATGACAAATTGACCAGTGCCGTCGTCTGCCCCATGAGGGAGGGCATATGGACCCTGAAGCACGCTGGAGTTGGATGTATATAGGGAGGCAACGAGCCGAGCAGATAAGAGAAAGCCCGCCATCATCGACAGCAGCCTCAGTAACCACCACAAACCAACCTCGAGCGACATAATCAATAGCATTCAAGTACAAGGTCGCCCTGCGCAACCATTCGAACCCAGCAGTAATGGCTCCTCCCGACAATTCAAAGCCATTTATCCCTCTGTCCGGGAGCGGCTCGGACGGCTACTCGAGAAACGGCCGCGCCACAGCGACCTGCTTCTGCGGAGCCGTGCAGCTCGAAGTCCCGACTACGAAACCCGGATTAGTCGAGACCTTCGTCTGCAACTGCTATGACTGCCGCAAGATCACAGCATCCATGTTTGCCTCCAATTTCGTCGTCGACGACCGGTACATCACCTACATCCGCGGCAGGGAGAACTTGACGGCTTTTGCCCAATCGAAGACGATCGCCACAGGAAACACAATGACGAATTACTTCTGTAAGACTTGTGGAACGCTCATGAACCGCGTCAGTTCGGGATATCCTGGGAAGAGTGTCCTTCGAATCGGTACCGTGGATGACTTCAGCTTGCACGAGACGGCGTTGAAGCCGCGAGTGGAACAATATGCCAAAAATCGGGTGGAATGGCTCGCTGGTGGGCGTGGTCTTGAGCAGCATGAAGGCGCGTTCTTCTAAACAGCATTGGAGGTGTGAGTCTGACGAGCATGTCCAGCAGGTGCCCTCAGCCTCTCAGGTAGACGGGTATATCAATCAAGCCTATGAGGCAGCGGCCTCCTCCAACTTCTGCAGTGAGCGGCGACCCAGCCGGCGAAGATCGTCCCTCTCATGCTCGTATATCCTGTAGTCACCACCAACGCAGGGCTCCAACAGTGAACGCGCTACACTTTGCCCCCCCGAACGTGCGGGTGTCTTAGAAGGCGCGTCCCATTCAGCCATTGCCCGCTTGAGAGTAGCCCTAAGGGCAATGAAAGTTTCCTGCACATCTTTGATATGAAAGCAAGACTTTCCAAGATCGTTGATCGGGTTAGCTGGGTCCTGGAGAGTCATCAGATGGCTCATGCTCGTTGGGGACCGTCTTCGAGTTCTACCCTTGAACGTGACATGACTTTGGAGCGGCGTTTCTGGCCCATCGCTTGCGTCGTCTGCCTCCTCGTCGCAACCTGAGCCCCGTCCAACGCTTTTAGAGAACAGCTCCAGGGGTTCAGTTGAGATACCATGGGTGGAAAAATCAATGTCCGAGTAGAAGTCTAGGAAGAAGAGGAACTGGCCGCCCAAATCTGCCGGGTGAAATCTGGCCTCGGAGAACTTGAGCGTCGCGACGATCATTTGCAGCAGCGGATAAGAAGTAATCCCTCCACCGCTGCCTATAGTAAGTCCGCGCATTTGCAGAAGTTGTTTCAATACTTTGAACAAGCCTTTTAAACTTGGGTATTCCCTCAACGACGCTTTGACGTATTCCCGGCTGTCGTATGTCCGTGGCGTTGACTGGATCTGGATGGGAAGCCCTGTCGGCTTGTGGCGGCAAAGCAAGATGGGTACTCGAGCTTGTTTAAGGTAGTAATGGGTTTCGATACGACGAGAAACAGACTGGTTGCTTTCTTTGGACGGCTTTCGCAGAGCCTTGTAGATTTTTTTAAGAACCCTGAACGGAGCTTCCTGCGCCGGATCATCCAGAATGGCACATTGCTCTGGACTGGCGACATTGATATCAAGGTCAGACAAGGGATCAGCCAGGTTTGTGGCACGAGAGCCAATGACATCGACAATTAACCCAGCGTCAATGTCCTTGATGCAGTCGATGATGTCGTTCAGAGCATCGCTGGCCGCGCGTTGCTCTTCTTCCGACGGAGAGCTATATTTCTCAAATGCGCGAATTTCATCAGTGAGTCGATCGATGGCTGCTGAGGGAGCGAGCGAGTCTGTGCTATCCAGGTGCCGGAGCCACGGAAGGCGATAATGCAAGGGCGGATTCTTCTCAGTGTCCTTTATGCGCCATAATGCGTCCAAATCGCGATTGGTGCCTCGCAAAGCGGTAATGGGAGGAAGATCAACCCTCTTGAAAAGTCCAATGTCCTTCCGTGGAACTTTGACCTTTAGGGCAGGTAGTCCTCCGTCTCGATCTTTTATCCAGACCGACTCACCCTTTTTATAGATCTTCCGCACCACTGGTTCTCGATTTGCCTCGCGATGAGCACGAAGGGTATTTTCTAGACTCTTTATGTCGATGTTGGCCTCGGTGGTAAAGGTTGTAGGGCGATCTGGAATGGAGGTATGGATGTGAGCAGAACATGCTCTAGGACCGGCCAGGCTGCAATGCTGGCCGAAGGTGCGGGATTTAACACGAGCATATTGGCAGCAGAGGTTGCTCGCAGCTTCATAACGTCGTGTGTACGGACTGCGATGGATAATGAGCTGGTTTGGTGGCATGCAGCATAGGAGCGGCGCAGACAGAGACTTCTGCAGAAATGTTGGACGACAATGGAAAAACAGGTCGGAGTTCAGTTACGGAGAGCCAAATTGTTCACACAGGTTGCAGATGTGCTGCAAGATCAGCAGAGCAATCAGGAACGCGTGGAACTGTGTGATCGACCTCGTTTGTCGCAAGTCACAGCACTGAGATCGCAGATCGAACACATGCGGCTTGAAAATGCACGTGACTGGCTTCTTCCTGGCAAAATGCTGGCGGCTCCCAATCGAGCCCCGCGGCAAAGCGGCTGAACTTGATTCGTCACCCACCAGCTGCGCGCTTGGCTTGCGCCTAACACGTAGCTGCGCTCAATTCTACCCACTACGAGCACGGAGTACATAAGCCAGCCCATTATCCCGAACTTTTCCCTGGCTGAAGAACAATACCGGCCCAATACAGCTGTTAACGAATGAGAGCTTGCGCACTTCTAACCAAGCTGGTCCAGCAGTCTGAGCACACTGTCGGCTTTGCGGATACCCTTGGCTAGGAAAGCTGGACAGAGAGACGGGTCCAACGACAGCCCCAGAGGATCCAGCTCCGTTGGACATCTACAGTAGAAAGAGCGGCGACAGCATGTGCAACATCTTACGACCTTTTCTCAGCTTCTAAAGCTCCTCAGACCCAACAGTTCATGCCCATCTTGTACTCGTAGGAGTACAGAGTACACTGTGAGTGAAACCGGGCAGGTCTCCACTTCGACCGTGCTCCTCTCGTGACTGCGAGAAGCATATGACGAAGCTGCAGGCGCCGGGGTTGCCTTCCGAGAACAGCTGCAGGCGAGCTCGAACTTAGTTAACGGTCGCTGGCTCTTTCCAACAAATTACAAGTATCATATGCACATCACCCTCGTTCGACGCTTGTGCCTGGGCTGAGAAGTTTCGCGACCTCTCCAAAAAGGTACCTACATTTCCATCTCGTTCTGCCTTCAACCTTCCGTCATTTCTGCTTCAGACCCTGTGTTGTTATTGATATTTTCTCCTCACTACCCCACCTGCATGACCAGAAGGCCATTACGCACCTCACTCGCTCACCGATTCCTAGATCGACATCCATATTTCGGAGTACAGGTGATTGACTGATCTGGGATTTAGCGACGTCCATCTCTAATCGTAGACTATTGCTTTTATTCTTCCCACTTCGATACAGTCGTCATGGTTAGCCACCCCGGCGGACCCCAGGAGGTCCTACGACAGCAGGACGAGCCTCCAAGCCAGCAAGCGAACTTCACAAGCGAGCCCGAAAAGATGTCAGAACAAGAACGGCCGACAACATCCTATTTCGCCCTACCCGGGAAGCAGGGCGTTGAAGACCACGTCACTCCCGACTCACCTATTGACGTTGCGAAGGGTGCACGGTCAAAGCATGAGATCCTGCGGCGACTCAGCCTGGTTGATTCCAAGGGCGCCGAGGCCCTCGAGGTCGACCCGCGAACAGCATATCCCGGTCTTCGCTTGAGCGGAAATGTCATCAGCGCAACTTTCTGCATCCCCTACCAAGTGACTCATGGCGGTAATGGGGACTGGACCCTCTCGAACCGCCGTGGAACGTCTGCTCTCTTCGACTCCTTCGCCCATCTGTCATCCGAAAGGACGCCTTGGAATCACACTCTGGTGGGTTGGACAGGAGAGATTCGTACCGAGCAACAGGAAAAGGCCATCAGTATACTACAGGCCGACGCAGCAAAGGCAATGGCTGCTGCCCAACTTCCTCATCCTCTCAACAAGTATGCCGCCCCGTACCCGGTCAACGGAGCCTCACCGGCTCCTCACGTTCCGCATCCTGATCATCTTAGCCTAACACGGGCCGACCGTAGCCGTCTCGAGAAGATTCTGTCGCAACATCCAGACGGACAAGTGCTTCCTGTGTGGCTGCCAGAGAACCAAGGAGATGAGGGAGGCGAGTTCATCTTCAAAGATCAAAGCCGATGGCGCAAGTACGCCGAACACGAGCTTTACACTCTGTTCCACTATAGACAACATGGTCCGGACGATGGCCGCGCAGAGAAGACTTCATGGAACGACTATGTGCGGATGAACCAAGGCTTTGCTGATCGGATTTTGCAGATCTATCAACCAGGGGACATCATTTGGATCCACGACTACCACCTGATGATGCTGCCCAGCATGCTACGTCAACGAATACCCAACATCTACATCGGCTTCTTCCTGCACATCCCATTCCCTAGTAGCGAATACATGCGCTGTCTGCCCAGGAGAAAGGACATCCTGACGGGCGCGCTTGGTGCAACGATGATCGGTTTTCAATCCTACAGTTTTTCTCGGCACTTCAACTCGTGCTGCAAGAGAATATTGGGCTTCGAATCAAGCTCTGCAGGCGTGGACGCATATGGAGCACACGTCGCTGTGGATGTTTTTCCCATCGGCATTGATGTGGCCACGGTGCAGAAGCAGGCATTCGGAGACCCGGTCATAGAAAAGAACATGAAGGCGCTGAAGAAAATGTACGCTGGCAAAAAGATCATTGTTGGACGCGACAGGCTGGACACGGTCAGGGGCGTGGCCCAGAAACTCATGGCTTTTGAGATGTTTTTGGAGAGGTACCCCGCGTGGCGCGACAAAGTGGTTCTGATCCAGGTGACCAGTCCGACTAGCGTTTTGGAGGACAAGGTGGACGGCGCACACAAGATTGAGCACAAGATTTCAAATCTGGTGTCACGGATCAACGGGGAGTACGGATCCCTGAGCCACTCTCCGGTCCAACACTATCCGCAGTACTTGTCTTCTCAGGAATACTTCGCCCTGCTCAGAGTAGCCGACGTCGGACTTATCACTAGCGTCAGAGACGGGATGAACACGACCAGCTTGGAGTATGTCATCTGCCAGAAGAACAACCACGGGCCACTAATTTTATCGGAATTCTCCGGCACTGCTGCCAGTCTGGGCAATGCTATACACATCAATCCGTGGGATCTAGGTGGTGTGGCAGACGCTTTAAAGAAAGCCCTGGAAATGCCGGCCGCCCAGAAGCAAGCCGACCATGAAAAGCTCTACAGCTATGTGACAACCCATACTGTAGCGACCTGGTCGAACAGCTTTCTCAAGAGATTGCTCACCAACCTTACGTCCTTCAGTCAGTCAGACCTCACCCCGGCGCTCGATCGCAACGCCATGATTCGGCAATACCACAACGCCAAGAAGCGACTCTTCATGTTCGATTACGACGGCACGCTCACGCCCATTGTGAAAGATCCGAATGCAGCTATCCCCTCCGACAAAGTCATCCGCGCACTGAAAGCCCTAGCGGCCGATCCCCGGAACCACGTCTGGATTATTAGCGGCCGTGACGCTAACTTCTTGCAAAGCTTCTTTGGACACATTGACGAGTTGGGTCTCAGCGCCGAACATGGCTGCTTTTTGCGGCGTCCAGGGTCAGAGACTTGGACCAACCTGACCGAGAAAATGGACATGGCATGGCAAAAGGAAGTTATGGATGTGTTCAGCCACTACACAGAACGGACCCAAGGGTCGTGGATCGAGCGCAAGCGTGTGGCACTCACCTGGCATTATCGACAAGCAGATCCAGACTTCGGTTCTTTTCAGGCAAAAGAGTGTAGGAAGGAGCTGGAGGAGAAGGTGATGAGGAACTGGGAGGTTGAGGTGATGAGCGGCAAGGCCAATCTGGAGGTTAGACCGCAATTTGTCAACAAGGGGTATATTGCAACGAGGTTGATCAACGAGTATGGCTATTCCAAGGGCGAGCCGCCAGAGTTTGTACTCTGCTTGGGTGACGATCAGACCGATGAAGGTGAGTTGGCAGCGGCGACGCCGTGATATGCGCTGTCCTAACGTCCCACACAGATATGTTCCGCGCCCTTCTCAAAACCGATTTGCCGAAAGAACACGTCTTTGCGTGTACAGTCGGTGCGAGTAGCAAGCGAACACTGGCGACATGGCATCTCCTCGAGCCAAGCGACGTCATCGCAAGTATTAACGCCCTCAACAAGTCCGAGAACCTGTGAGTATAGATCGACCGAGACTGGTGGCAGGTTTGTGGTTTGTTGTGGTAAGATGAGTGAGCGGTAATGAACTTGGACCACCGAGACGGAGTCTACAAGAATACGCAAGCGTTATATCCGTACAAATATGAGCATAAGATGTGGCGACCAGGATGGCGAGCACTCACGAATAGACAATGCATTGCAGGGTTGGGTTGGTTAGCGGAAGGTAGACGTGGGTAGCAGTGAACGGAGCCCTCAGGATGGGCAGGTATCTGTGGGATCTGTTGCGGCTTTTTACCCGCTTGAATTGGGCTTAAGTCAATTATTGTGTACGAGTTTCTCCACGACGACCATCCGTGCCATCGCACTTCTCCCCATCAATGCGTCGAAGCACCTAAACGCGTGCAATTTGTCAAACACACCTGCTCGTCTATCTCTCACGAGGGATTCGATCCCATGAAGAGTCGAACCTCGGCACCAACGTGGAAGCTGTCACAGCTTGTTTCTGGAACTTCCTCGCTCTAGCAAGTCGGCACGATTGATGCTCTGCGACCAGCTTCTGCTTATCAGGCACCCGGTCCAGGGAGGTACAGAAATGGCTGACGGAGTGATTGTCGGGCTTCCGCCAGCCTCATGCGGGGGATGAATTACAGGGTTCTGGGCGGATTCACGCGCTAGACATTCTTCTATGTATATATATATTATTTGCTTGCGACCTGCAGAGTTCCCTTTCCTCGCGTCTCTCCTTGCTCTTGATTTGGAGTTCTTACCAAAAAGCAATGGTTGAGTGATACTTTGACCAGCAGTTCCATGTCGGAGGACACTAAAGCACAGCAATGACCGATCTGATTGGAATGGAGCGCCTGGAGGGATCGAAAATAGCCCAGATCGATGAGCTGAATCTCAAGCCTGACGCTGACGCTGAAAATCCTGGAGTCGTCCCATCAAAGAACCTCTCGCATGCTCGGTCCAATGACTCTGTCGACCCGGGTCCAGCGCCTGATGGAGGCTTGAGAGCCTGGTCGATCGCCTGTGCAGCACATCTGATCATTTTCAACGCCTGGGGTTTCGTGAACAGCTACGGGTTATTTCAGACCTACTATGTCCAGGTGATGAAGATAGGCGGTGAGAGTTCGGTGGCGTGGATTGGCACCACTCAAGTGTTCGTTTTATTTGGCATGGGCACCTGGACCGGGAGAGCTCTGGATGCTGGCTTCTTCAGGAGCCAATATATCGTGGGGAGCATTATTTCTGTCACCGGGCTGTTCCTGCTCAGCCTGTGCAAGAGCTTCTGGCAGATCTTTCTCGCTCAGACACTCTGTGTTGGCTTCGGTTATGGATTGAGCTTTGTACCCACCTTGGCCCTGGTGAGCACCTACTTCGATAAGAAGCGGTCCACGGCGCTGGCTGTGGCCGTGACTGGATCATGCACAGGGGGGCTTGTGTTCCCAGCTATTGCGGAGACGATGCTCCCCAGGGTCGGATTTCCCTGGGCGATGCGCACGATAGCTTTTGTGCAGTTGGCCTGTGTCATTGCAGCTGGTCTCGTCCTGAAGGTGAATCTTCAAATGTAGATGATGGTGGCCAATGCTGATGACCCTAACAGCCTCGTCTGCCGCCACGGAGGTCGGGTCCGATTGTGGAATGGTCGGCCTTCAAAGAGGCGCCGTACACGCTGTATCTGATCGGGTCTTTCCTGTACTTCTGGTCCGTTTACGTCGGTTGGTTTGTGAGTTACCCCATCTCTTCATAAGGACATACGGACGGTTTGAGATACACCCTTTCCAGATCAAGATCTGGCGCGGCCCTCACGAGGAGCTTCGGCCAAGTCTGAGCCTCTCCTGGGTTGGCCTGCCTGCAGCGAGAAGCGATAAATGTGTGACTCACGAAGCGGGCGGTCCAAGGCGCCGGGTGTGCTTCTGGTCACTATCACCCCTCGCCTTTGTTCACGCGTTTCTTACTGACGTGGGTTTTGGGACGACAATAGTTTATTGGCACCTTTGCCAGGAACGCTTTGGGCGCCACTCAAGCCACCAGCATCAACCTTCTGATGGTCTTGAACGGCGTAGGCGTTGTTGGGCGAATGCTACCGGCTTATGTTGCCCAAAGATGGGTCGGAGGACTCAACTTGATGATACCGCTGGCTATCGTGGCCAGCATCATCCTTTACTGTTGGATCGCTGTCGACTCTATGAGTGGGCTATGGGTCTTTGCCGTCACATATGGAATCGTTGCTCATGGACTTCAATCGCTGTTCCCCATTGTGCTTGCAAACTTGACAAAAGACCCCAGTAAGGCAGGCGTTCGAAGTGGCATGGGATTTACAATTGTGGTGAGTCAAACCTCCGTCTATACTGGGGTGAGTGACGGCTCACCATGCCGAACCAGGGCCTCGCAGTTCTGACTGGATCTCCCATCGCGGGAGCCCTGATTGAAACTAATGGTGGCAGGTTCATTGGGTTGCAGCTGTTCTCTGCGACGACCATGGTAGCAGCTGCTGCAGTGCTGCTGCTGGTTAGATGGGTCGCGGTTGGATGGACACGAGAAAAGCTGTGAAAGCTTTTTGCGTGCTTCTTGCCTCAAGTGCCAGACTGCAATTGATTTACTGATCGTGGTCGCTGCGGATCTCACTTCTTCTCCTGGCTTTCCGAAGTCACTTTAACCTCTTCGTCTCTACACCACGAACCTTGTTCGTCGTCCTTTTGGCCTTTTGGATTTCCTTTTGGCCTCAGTCCTGGTTCACCGCGGCGTCACTTTCACTTCACTTTGATTGGCCAGTCCGGCTCCAGTGACAACTCACAGTCACCGATGTTTGCATGCTTCCCTCCTGTGACATTCTTATTTCTGTCCTTCCTTGGTATCTTCTCAAATTACCCTCAAGCATAAGGGTGATTCCGCTAGCCGTCGCCGCTTGTGCTCGAGAGATTGTGTCGTCGTATGTTGCCTATCTCTAACTACGTCATCCGTGACTGCGGTTGGGCACGAAGAAACCCACTGATCAGTTTTGGTTGCAACCTCGAAATCCACCGCTCTTTGTCCCAGTCACATGTCTACAGGTCTTGTAAAGAGAGACACCGCTAATTGCGCCTTCTAGCACGATCAGACTGTCGAATCTACTCTATCTTTTCAGCGAAATTTTCCCACCCCGCGAGCAATCGTGCTGTCCCTCGATTTTACCCCTCGCCCCACCAGATCACGCGCGTCAAGATGGCACCACGTGGACGAGGAGGAAAGTTCTCAAAGCCTACCAGAGGAGGTACTGACCGCAATCCCACCAGCACAACGTACTATAAGTGACTGACCTGTATCGCAGGTGGCAAGCATTTCTCCCGCGACCTGCAACCGCTAGACAAAGAAGGCAACCAGATGGGTATGTGGCGCGAACCAGGAGAAAAGGCAGCGTCCTCGGAGGAGGATGAGGACGAGGACGAAGAATCCTCAGAAGAAGAATCTTCAGATGGTGACGGGGAGTCCTCTGCTGCGCCCAAAGAAGGCGGTCAAGAGTTGACTCGAGAACAACGCAAAGAAATAGCCCGTAAGAAGAAGCTCCAGGCCATCGCCAAGAAGAATCAAAAGGTCGCGGCGCCAGGAGACCTGCCAAGCAGCTCCGAGGAGGAGGAAGAGGAAGAGGACGATGACATGCCGGCAAATCCCAACCACACACAGAAGGCTCGGTCGATGGCACGAGCAGCGACTGGGACAAGTGGCGAGGCACCGAAGAAGGGTGACGGCGAGAATCTCAGTAGACGTGAACGAGAAGCCCTTGCCGCACAACAGGCCAAAGAGCGATATCAGAAATTGCATGCTGAGGGCAAGACCGACGAAGCACGGGCCGATCTTGCACGGCTGAAGCTGATCAGAGAGCAACGTGAACAGGCCGCCGCACGCAAGCAAGCTGAGAAAGAAGAGCGAGACGCACGGGAGAAGGAGAAGAATGATCGAGAAACCAAGTTGAGAGAGGCGGCCATGGGTGGTGGCGGAGCCAAGGCTGCCAAAAAAGGCAAGAAATGAGACAGCACTCTCTAGCCCGAATGAGCTCGATGTGTATGCGCGTTGGAATGTGGATATGCGTGATGAGGTACGAGAAGCATATTTTACGTCTCACGGAGCTGAAGATAGCATGGCCAGCGGATTATCTGGGTTTTGCATTAGCGAAAGGTGGCTGCATAGAGCGGATATGGTGGAAGACAGACACGACGTGAGCATGATTCGAACGAAGCGGAAGTTGAAGCTGGGGTTTAGGAAATACTGCGCCCTGCGAGTCGAACCTTCAATTACTGACCAGGAGAGAGTCTCTTTTCTCTCTTTGATACATTGGCGCGCCGACACCATCGCTTGACGTCGTTTAGCCCCGTTCCCAGCAAGATCGGTACCAGCATCAGTAAGAACAAGTCGACTTTGAACAATTCTGTATGGGGTATCTTTCAACATGGGGCAAGCACAACGAAACCCAGACCTCTCGAACCAAATGCCCTTGGTTGTGCACAATCTCAGTGTCCCAACTGTGATCATTGAAGTAGCACAGCCGCCGTTATTCTGACGGGCTCAGGAGCGGCGCCCGAACGCGCCTCCATGCCCGCCCCTACCGCCTTCCCCTCCCCCGGGATACCACTCCGGAAACAGGTCCCTGGACGAATACATGCTCGCTCTCAGCTTATATTCGTTCCCCCCACTGATGTCCAAGTAAGTGTAGGCATCGATCTTGTAGTAGATGGTTCTCAAGGATCCGGCACTTTCCCCTGCCGCGCTGGGTCCCTCTAGTAGACCGAGGTCCTTGATTGCGCCAAGAACACGGCGCACGTCCGCCTCGTCCGCGAAATCGGCCGTATAAATGCAGATGAGCCGTTGGGCGGCGTCGCCCCGTGCCGAGCCTTGTGGTTCGTCGACGCCACCAGCGTCCGACGCAGCAGCGGCCGTCGCGACTTTGGCACTGGTACCTAGTTTGCCGGCCCAGACGGCATGGGCGACGGACTCCCACACCTGGTCGACGTGTCCTTCCGTGGGGAAGAGCATCCATTTTCCCTGGATGACGCCGTTGGATCGGGCAAGCTCGCGAATCGAGGATTCCACAGCGAGACGGTCGGGGCGGAGCATCCGCGTGATCACGCCGGGTGGTTTGCCCGGGTTGGCGGTCTCAACGTCTTCTTTGCGGGCGAGGAAGTCTTCCAGGAGGCGGGTTCCGCGTTGTTTGAAGGTGGCGAGGTCTTCGGACGGGCGAGAGCGAGGGTGGCGCGGGAACGGGTTGCAGATCCAGATCCAGTGGTCTTGCGCGTCGGTTGCCGTTGCCGTTGAGGGGGGAAGGCGGGCGAGGAATTCGGAGACAGATTCGTCGAGTTGTTTGGCGGATGGGTGGCCTTCGTGGTAGTTCTGCGGCTTCGATTTCGGTCCCGCTGCTGGTTGTTGCTCTTCGGCGGCGGAATGGGACGCAGGGGTTCTCGTGGCGAGGTCCGTCATCTCGGTGTCGGAATCTTCATCTTTCGTCGTGGACTTCTGGTTCTTGGTGGCATCGTCGTCGTCGTCGTCGTCGTCGTCGTCGTCGTCGTCGTTATCGATGCCGTGTTTCTTCTTCAAAGCAGCTTCGCTTTCCTTCCTCGCTTTCTCTTCGAGACGGAGCTTGGCGGCTTTTGCGAGCGCTTTCCTGCCCTTGGCGGCGATGACCTGGGCATTCCAGTCGTGGATGGCCCAGTACTTCTTCGCATCGAATGACTCGGCGAGTTGGTTGTATAGTGCCTTGGTTTCAGAGCTGCCTGAATGGTTGAAAAAAGTCAGAATGTCGGATGTTGAATGTTGTCCCTACTACATACGGCAGCCAGGGCGCGACCTGAAAGTCGATCCCGACACCACATCGCGAGGTCGACTTACCGTGAAAATCTGATTCATCACTGAACAAGTCATCCGGGATGGAGACGTCGTGATCGTGATCGTGATCTGATGCTATGGTCGAGGATACGGAGCTGGTGGTGGCGGGTTTCTGCCGTGCCATGGTGAACGAGGACTAGAGCAATCGCTGAACGCTTATCGTGAAATGTGCACAGGGAGAAAGACAATCATGTACATTCAAAGTCCGGACACAGAACCGCCAGGACGAACGCAGAAAAGAAGAAATACGACACTGGACTACATGGTGGGAGGATGCGATACATAGGCACACGAAGGAAGATACAAGCGTTGCCTGCAATCGTCGCGACCAAACTACTGTACTTCAGCAAACAATCAAATCAGGCTGAAACGCTAGGTTCTAGGCCTCCCGACAGGGGGGTGCGCAGAGGTGGCAGACTTCATTGTATGTGACAAAATCCATTGCCAGGCCACAGATTCTGATCTGCTGTTGTAATAGAGGAGGTTGCTTGCAGCAGTGTCTTCAGAGCTTCTGGCTGGAAGTACCAGAACATATTTGTCTTCAGTCATGTGTGCAGAGGCATTTGCTCCAGACTTCTGACGACTGTCGTGCCGTGGAGTACTGCTATGTTCTCGACAACCGTCCGCAACCCAACCACGCGCGTGTCTTTTCTGAACGTGGGCTTTTGTCAATGCTTTCGAGGCAGAACCCTCTCAATTAACACGGAGGAGGACGTGGTGGACGTGGGCTTCATCTCAAAGGACTGGCAGTATGCAGATGCCAGTATCACGTGAATGCCAAGGCACTAGCTTTGTCAGCCGCTGAGCTAGCACGTTACGAGTTAGACGCCTGATCTCGCCAGGACTTTCCCTGCTTGGCCACCGAAAACTGCTTCCCCACATCGTCGATCTCGTCTCCCAGCGTTTTGCTCGTTGCAGAGCCACGCAGGAAAATATTACACAGTACAGCTCTGCTTGCCGGGTCCCTTGGTAGTACGAGTACGTGCCGATTTTCTTGTCAATGAGGGCCTTTATCTCTGCCATCTTCCGTCTTGAATAACTGCTCTAGACGGCGCAGTGACTCGATCAACCATCTATATCAGGTACACCTATTCAGGACGAATGACATGAGTCACGCGCACACAGTTTGAGTTCAACAGGGCTTCTGGACACACGCAGCAACTAATCCAGCCTCGTTTCGGGAGAGGGAAGACAGACACTTTCGCTGTCAGAGTCAGCGTCAGCGTCAGCGCTCCTCGCCATCGGATCTGGTCGACACTTCTGCTTGAAATAGCAGCGGCGGAATATCGCTACCAGATGCTCTTTACGGGCCCGCTGCAAGGAAGATCAAGACATGGACACTTCCTGCGTCAATCTGACTACCCATACCAGATTTCGACCACACGTATCCTAAATCTGATCGTGACGAGCCATACTCACAGTCGAAGCATTTCGACGAACCGGCGCGTCGAGGACAGCATAATCTTTGACATTGTTCCCAAGACCACTACTCACCATTTGAAGGAACACCAAGATTACTCATCCGCCATCCCTGAGAGCGTCCTCCGTGCTCTGGCCGCGACACGATGGCTCCTACAAAGACCGACTTCTCCACCCCCGACATTCCCCAGTCTGCGGCGACATTCTACGCCTCGGCCCGCACACTCATCAACGCGCCCGCCAGCTTGGTTTTCCGCACCCTCCGCAACACCGAGACCTGGAAGGACTGGAACAGATGGTGTCCGCGCGTGACCATCACAGACCAACCCGACGACGAAGATGATGCCACTCTCGCCGAAATCGAAGAACTCGTGCGGAACACCAGCATTGCCGTGAACTTCGACAGTGATATTACAGACGGGGCGGTCATGTCAGGACCCGAGCCTTCGAGTGCGTACCACCGGAAAAGTAAGAGTGGAAGTACGAATGGAGCGGGCGCGGGAAGTCCGCGCCCACCTGGGAGCAGAGGGTCCGCGGGCCTTGACCGGCCAAGCAGTCCTCCGCCCGTGACGAGACAGCGGCTCGCCAGTAACGCGAGCCGCTTGTCCGGCATGTCGCAAACCAGCCCAGACGCGTCGCGCTCCAACTCAACAGCCAACGCCAACGCCAACGGCGCCGAGCCTGCACGCCGCCTCTCTGCGGCACAAGTATACCAAGCCGCAGGCGAATCGCGGCGCGGCTCCCTCCCCAACAGCGTGGCATCCCCTCCGGCAAATACGAACGGCGGCACAGATGCAGGCAAAGGAGGCACGGGTGTCCTCCTCCCTGCACCCAACAACCCGGCGCGCCTGATGCCCGCGCCGGCCAACACGGAGAGCACGGCGATCGCGCGCCGCAAGTCGACCGCCACGAGCCGCAACCGGCGCCAACTGCACATCAACGCCCTGTACGGCGAGCCCAGCGTGCGCATCCAGCTCGGCACCAAGATGACGCTGCACCTGAAGATGAAGCTGCCAGCGAGCCAAGAATTCAGCGACCGCGCCGTCCTCGTCACCGAGGTCTCTCGCCCGGACGACCCCCTGGAGCACGACGTGCCCATCACGGAGCTGGGCAAGAGCGTCATCCTCCGCACGCAGACCCACACGGATTCCATCTCGGGCGTGTATCGTCTCGTGTGGACCAGTGTCGCGTCGTACAACCCGCCCAAGAGCTATCCTCGGTTCTTACTCTTCACGCAGCGCGTCCATGAGATTCGACCGACGGTCGACGGCGCGGGCCAGGACATCTGCGAGTACTGGGACTGGGAGTGTCAGCGGGGGATCATGGCCAAGAAGAACGCAAAGACAAAGCCGTACATGGAGGAACGGATGGCCGAGTGGGGGACCCGATTGGGCGAGTTCTGCGAGAGTATGGGCGGCGCGGTGGAGAGGAGGGATTTCGTCGGTCAAGGATGAGGAGTGTCGGGAGCGAAGTGGTCCCCTGGGGAAATGCTTCGTCTGGTGGGGGGGAACCAAGCAGGGTGTTTGAGCGTGTAGGCGCTTGCAGGGCCGGTAGAGGTCAATTACAGTGACGACCAGTATCTGCATACGTGAAATTTGGTCCACAGAAGGGGAAGATGACGAGGACGAGGACGAGCGGGAACTGGACTGGACTGGGCCGAGTTGATGAGGACTGGGCCGAATTGAACCGATGACTGAAATGAAATGAAGTGCTACGCTGCGCTATTGCTATGATATGAAGTGCTGTGTGATGCATGCTATACCAATAATACAGATAATATGCCCGAATTTGCTCGAGATTGCTGATTGAGCCGGAGCTGGAGCTCGAGCTCGAGCTGATCCCCCGAGATGATATGGAACAAGTCCGCAAGCAAGATTTGGAAAAGCCCGACGAGGAAGTGGGATCATTGCGGTAATGTACTATAATAGGAGAACGAGGGGGGGAGGAGAATGAGACACCATCGCATCCCCCCGGCATCCTTCCTAAGGTCAGACTCAGACTCGGACTCGGACGGCATCGCGGTCCTTATGAGACAATGCGACCCGGGCACTGTCACAAGGAGCAACAAACTCACGCGTCACTTGCAAAACGTTGTGGCCCACCACTATGGATGACTTTGGTGACTCTTTGAGTGGGAGTCGGAGTGGTCTTTGATATATATCCCCAGGACTCCGTGGCTAGAAGATGCTCGACCATCGAGATACATGTATAGATATATATACATTGCGCTATAATAAACCTGCTTTTGCCATCTGCGTCTGCGTCTGCATATGCATCGGCCGATAAAGGACACAACAACAACAGGCCGAAACTACTCTCCATCACTATTCCTTGAAGTCGGCCTCGGTCTCGGAGATGATGTTTCCGATTTGAGAATCCGAGAGATCAAACGCCCATTCTTCCGCTGGGTCGCGGTCGGGATTGCCCAGGATTTTGGGGACTTCGCCGGTCATCATGGCTTCGAGGAAGGCTTTGCCCCATTTGGCACTGATGCGCACACGTCAGTCAAGCACTGCCTTCGGGGGTGTATAGGATTTTGTTGGAATGGCAAGGAAATGACCGACCTGGTCCAATTGTTGACAATCTTCATGACCGAGACGTTCTTCTCCTCCCTTTCTTTCTCGCTCATCAAGAGCACCTCCTTGATCTTCTCTGCAAATCGCGGTTTGTCCCAGGGGTTCATGATGACCATAGACGAAGGCGGTAAGATCTTTGCCGCTCCGACATAGCTGGACACCATGAGGACGCCTTTCTTCTGCTCCTGGCAAGCCGCGTACTCGTAGCTCACGAGATTCAGTCCATCTCGCACGGATGAGATGACGCACGCGTCCGCAACGGCGTAGAGAGCCGCCAGCTGTTCCGGTTTCACCGACCTATAAAGATAATGGATTGGGGTATGCCTGAAGGTGGCTAATGTGCCCATCTAGAGTCAGCGCGCTCGAGTGAGGAGCTATTCAGCATTGCTTGCAACGTACCGTGTCTGCCATTGATGCGGCCCACAAGTCGTTCGACCTCCTCGCGCAGCTTTCGGTACGCGTCCACCTCTGCCCGGGTCGGGATGGCCAATTGCACCAGAACCACCTTACCCACCCACTCCGGATTGTCAGTCAGAAAGCGATCGAATGCTAGCAGCTTCTGTGGAACACCCTTGATGTAGTCGAGCCGATCGACGCCCAGGAGGACCTTCTGGTCCTTGAACTCTTCCTGCAAGGCCTGGAGCTCCTTCCTCGCTGCATCTGTTTGCAGTTTTTCCCGCCACTCGTCTGCTTCAATGCCAAGAGGAAACCCGTGCACGAGCACCCGCCGTCCATCCCAGTGCAGATCACTCGGTGACTTGGACACACCAGGCAGGACAATCCGTGCGCTGTCCAAGAAGTCCTTTGCATACTGGTTGGTGTGGAAGCCGATCACATCACACAGAAGCAGGCTGCGACAGATCTCCTCGCGGAAGGGCAAAATGGTAAAGTAATCCTCGGTCGGAAAGGGAGTGTGGAGGAAGAAACCTATCTTGAGGCCCTTTTTCTTCTTCAGCCGCTCTCTCAGGATGCCGGGGAGGAGAAGCAGATGATAGTCGTGCACCCAGATCAGGTCATTGTCCTCCACATAGGGGACAATGTTGTCGGCAAAGGTCTCGTTGACTTCTTGGTAGGCGTTCGACCAATTTTCGTCCGATTCGGCCTTCTCCGGCATGCGATGTAGCAGTGGCCAGAGGATTGAGTCTGTTCTCGTGTTAGCTGTAGCCCCACGGAGAGGTGGGTGACATGAGTCCAAGTATATGACGAACTTGAAAAGCCGTTGTAGTGCTGCTGGGCAAGGCCTTCGTTGAGAAAGATGGGGATAGCATTGAAGTTGTCCAGAAGATGCCGCCGCACGCCATCCTTGTCGTTACGATGAACGTCAATGCCCGGCCAGCCGAACCACTTGAAGTCGACGACTTTGGAAAGCCCTTTCAGTCCGGACACCAGTCCGCCGGAGGAGATGCTGTAGTCGAACTCGCCATTGTCCTTGGCTTTGATCGACAGCGGTAGCCGGTTGGCCACGACGAGGACGCGTCCCTCAAACTCCGGGTCGATGCCATCCACGTTGTCTGACGCCGGCATGGTGTTGTTTCTGTCTGATTCTAGTTGTCACGATGCCGGGATGGATTAAAGTTGGAGAAGAACACCGGGCTGGCACAAAATGCATCGAGACTGTGAGTGAAAGATTTGTTATAGCAGCCAGGGCCAAGAATGATGTCAGAATAAACAGCACGCACACGCAAACGAGTATTGGTGTTCAGGCCGAATTGTGGGTTCGCTGGCATATGACGAGGAGCCTCCACCGCCCGAAGAGTTACGGATGGCAAGGATGGCCGTCAGCAGCGCAGAAGTTGGGGTCTCCGGACAGTCGACCTGCCCACGTTGCAGCCACAATGCTTCCTAACGGCTACATCCTTTGATCGAGCGCGAAGCGAAGTCGTTTTTCAGCCAGTAGCGTCCTCGCCACGATCATAATGTGTGGGCGGAACAGGTTGTTGGCCGAGGTCTTGAACCAGTGATTTGGAGAGCTGAATGCGAGTGGGCGAATTTGATAGACGAGGCACTCCGCCTTCCCGGATCTCTTCTCCTCCCTTTGACGCAACAGGCGCCCTCTCGAGGAGCAGTTGCATCGCTGGAAAGGCAGACCATCGATGGCCGTGAGGAAATTTATTCCGTCCACTTAGAAACTATTACGCAAGCCCAAGGCCGCGACTGGCGTGTTCTCGTCGTACTGGCGGGGCTGGTGGTGGTGCCTGTACTTCTCCCCGGTATGTCCCGGAGCGCCTGGCAAGGCTGCCGACCAGCCTGGTCACATGAGGCTTGGTACCGCACAGCGCACACAGAAGATGTAGAGGATCATATTCAACGTGATGCCAGGATTTATCCTCTCAATTGCGACTACGTAGTGCATGGTAGATTCTCCTAAGTTTGTCGCGCTCGTCTCTTGGACAATGATAGCCGTATATTTTCCGCCTTGCATTCGGCCTGTTATTACAACCGCCATGCAGTGTAGCTGCCTGACTTGTGGGCATGAAATTCCAGATTTTGCCCTGCTTTGGATTATACTTCTGACGTGAGACGACATCAACGTGGACTGGCTTCGAGGGTTCGGGCTCCGTGCTGCAAATGTTGTAAACTGGTGAAACAGGACTGCACGAACGGTTCCTGGTTCTTCACCGTCCCATTCAGCCGACTGCCCGACCACGACGCGTAGAATTGCTCGTCTCACAATTCGTCATTTAGATCTTTGCTGGCTCTCCCTTCGCAAGAGTCTCGACGATTCGCAACCATTCTTGAGCACTCACTCTGCCCATATCCGCCTTCAGCAGCGCTCTCTCGAGTAGCTTCTCGACGATGCCACACCTTGGCACCCTTGTTCCTCCTTCCCCGTTTCTTACATGGCTTAGAACCATCCACCCTTGAGTGGCCATCGCTTGCCGCTGAAACACCGAGCCGGAGTAGACAAGCAACTGTCCTGTTGCGGCGACCAGCAAAGTCAGTGCCATGGAAAAGACGTCTGATGCTGTCGTTGCCGTTGATGTTGGATCGCGAAGGACTTTCGAATTCAGCAGTTCGGGCGCGGTGTACTCTCTCGTGACGGCTGATAACGTGTTTGGCGTCGTCTCATCGACGCCCAGTCGCTGGGAGGAGGAAAAGTCGGCAAAGAGCGGTTCGAAAGTAATCTCAGTTCCAGAGCCATGCACCCGGGACAAAAGAATATTGCCGGGTTTGATGTCACCGTGAACAACTTGTGCGCTGTTGTGAAGCCATGCCAGGGCCGAGATGAGTTGCTGTGCAAGCTGGAACCACTTCGCGGTGGTTCCGACCACAGGCTCCATCATGGTCCGCGTCGAGAAGTTTTGCGCCGCTATTGCAGCGCATTTCCGTATGTGGTCTTCGAGACTGAACGGGATGGCTTCCAAAACAATGGTCGCTTCGTCAACAACGCCGTAGAAGGGCACCACATACCTCTCGCTCTCCGGGACGCTTCGCAAATAGGTCAGGATCTTGGCCTCGCTCTTCAAGATAGCCACCGCGTCCCGACGGGCTGGTTTCTTCGCTGCCACTATAACAGGTGTTACGCTTGTTGGCGATAGGGGTGGTGTGAGTGCTGCTGAGACATTTCTCGACCTGGCTTGAGTGCTAGCTTTGTAGACAACACTCCATGCACCGGTCCCGAAAATTGCATCTCGGCCACGCTCATCTTTGAGGATCTCGACATCGAACACACATTCGGCTACACTTGTTTCAACGGGGTCGTTCTGTTGGATGACGCTTGTATCGATTGGGTTGAGGTTTGCGTTTTTCACCCCCAGAAACAGCTGTGGAGGATGAAGGCATGACGGCGAGCTTGGTATCGCAAGGTCCGAAATGTTCGAGGAGGACCGACTCTGTCTGGGTGATGTTGGTGGTGTCAGCATTGAGCCGGCGGGTTGTTTATGCTGACGTTTTGATACCTCATTTGAAGTCGAGCTTGGAGTCGGGGGAGGAGTACTCATGGTTCTGCTAAGCAGTGACGGTCTCCGGGTACTTGTCATCTTGCTCCTCTCAAGGTTGGTCGCGCTCGGATCCGGGCGAACGGAGTCTTGAAATTACGAGTAAACGCAGGGCAGGTGCAGACGTTCTATGCCTTCGCCAGGGTCATAAGAAGTTGTCAACAATAATCTTGATAGGGTTGTCGTTAGAAGCCGGTCTGGCCGCGGACATTGTGCCAGCCGTGAGCAGAGTCAGTCAGGATCAAGACTGTCGGGTGTGCACTAATGGCAATCGAACCATCGGACTGGCAACGAGAGATGCAGCAGATATCCTTGACCTTGCCCACGAGTTCACTGTTTCGTTACGCAGAAGCGGAGATCCGAAACTGTCTCAGCACGTGGCCTGCGCATAGACTGGGATGTTTCTGAGGTCGCCAGTCCGCAAACCGAAAGTCAGCCTGATCAAGAGAGTTGTCCTGTAGATGCGCTTTGCGCTGTTAATCTTTTTCGGCCACGACAAATGCAAAGCCGGCAGGCACTGATCCGTATTTATCCAAGCGTGCTAAATCAAGAGGTGGAGGGGTTGAACAAAGCAAATGTGGAAATCTGTGGAGTGAAGATGAAAGGAACAGACGGAGTGGTGAATACGAAATCTTGACCTCGACGGTATTTTCCAGCCTAGCGAAACCCAGCCACGAACCATACGGATTAAAGTACACAGTAGAAGTACAGTAATCGCAGCGGCAACGTACTCGTAATTTCTCACTGGTAAGGTAGTACTGTTCCTTGTCGGCTTGCTGCAATCTGAGATAACGGAGGGTCAGCGACCCTAGCGCAAAGTCACTTCACTTGCCTTTGACCGTGGATTTGCCATCCAAGCCGTTTGTGACATCAGAGCTTAATTGCTCCGTAACCCTGTCATCGAGAAAGACTCACACAAGCTCCGATTGGACGCAGTTGTCCCTCTCAATATCCCCGGACGGGTCGTAAGCGGCAACGTGGGGCAGCAGCAGGTGTCATTGGCAGCTTGCTCGAACACCGAAACCTGGAGCAGGGACACCTCGGCCAGGAGCGCCAGCACCATTCTACGAGTACGGAGTAACGGACACAGGGAGATTTTCTGGGGAGGTAGGTCGGAGGCCTCTGTCATCGTTCTCTACTCTCGCTTACAATTCGCCTCTAACCTGGATATCACTTTAGGACGGCACAATCTACCCAAACAGGGGCTAATCCTTGGGGCCCTTATCTACTCGCAGTTATATCCCAGCCACCGCAAACATCCCGGTGGCCCGCCCAGTGATAAGATATCGATAATGGCATCTCGGAGCCTCAAGCGGACATTGCCGACGTGATCTGAGAAAAGGTCCTCGCCGAGCAGTACGGAGGACGGAGTACGGAGTATAGTGTGCATGATAAGTTCAAGCGTGTCTGTTCTATGTCTGAAGCACGGGCACAACTCCAGTCCACTCCCCCCTTGCCCGCTCCTCCCAGTACCCTTCCTTTCCCGTCCGGAGCTTCCAGACAACCTCGTCACCGAGTTCCACCCTGGTGAACCATCGAGGTTGCCAGGCCTTATCGTTTGCCTCCATCTCCCTCCTGCGCGCCCGCTGTGCTTCCTCAAGTTGATTCTTCAGATGCTCTGCGGCCTCGTGGTCGCCCTTCTCGAGAGCAATCTGATCGGGACGAAGGCGACTGTCCGTGGGCGCTATCTTTCCCTCCTCAACCTCGGTGATTTCGTTCAGTTGAGCAGCAAAGAGTGTCATGCCGTAATGCTTCGGGGCATTAGGGACTAGCGCGCCAGCCGACCAAATGGTGTTCCTTTGGCCAAGCTTGCCCGGTTCTTTCAATTGCAAGGAATCCGTCCACGTTCCATGAAGCCCGATAGACAGCTCCTGGCCTTGGGAATCGATGGTTTGCACTTCCACTTCTTCACTTCGGCCAGAGAACATGCCTTTAGCCTTGAAGGACACAACTGCCTTGTGCCCGGCACTGTCGTTATAGATGGTCATGGTGCCGGTTGGTTCGACGTACTTCTCTCCTGCGATGATGTTGCGCAGGAAACACGTCGCAGCGGCCCAGCTGTACGTCTCTCCCGTGCTGTGCAGTACCAACCGTGCTTTTCCCTCGTTGATAATTTCAGAGGATTTGCCCCAGAATTTCTGTGACGGCAAGGGCGACTGGGTGAATGTCCAATTTTCAGATTCCGCATGTAGCGCAAGTTGTACAGGGCGATGCGACACCTTTTCGGAGATGAGGCGGAACCCCCGGTCTTCTCGGACCAGTTCAAATGTCTCGCCCAGCATGGGGTTAAAGGGTTTGCGGATCGACCTCTCTTTCACACGATTGTTCGAAAGGGATGAGACGGCAAAAGCAGCGACGTACATCAGCCGCTCAAATGTATCGTGGCACTTGCCTGCGCTGTCCAGCAATTGGCAGTATTCCAGCTGTTCAGCGGCGCGTTGGAGGAGGGAAAGAGGTTCGTTTGCCGACACCGGCATGGATATCGTAGATAGATCCTTGCCCACGTTCTTCCGGAGAAACCCTATCAAACTTGGCGGCATAACTGTTGGAGCTGCTACATTTTGTCGCCTGGTTATCGGTTGTAGGGGCAGCGGCGCCAGACTTTTGGCCCGCGGAGGGAGGTATGAGGATACGCTTCCCGAGCGACGCTTGAACACGTCTATTGAGTCCTCACCAATATCACTGCTGGTTGCTGAGTCTTCATCTCCCTCTGGAAAGTCTTCGAAGCCCTCATGATCGGTATCGCCGCGAATATCGAGCACGTGCATCTTATCTTCGGCGTCAAAATATTCCTGCGAGTCAACTGATTGAATGCTCAGCCGCGACACTGCAGACTTGGGAGGTGTTGTACGTCGAATCTTGCCCTCGGCCATAACCGAAGAGAATTCGCCAACAACTGAGTCCAGATCATGCAACAGCGCTCGGCAGTGGTCATACATGCTTTCTTCACGATGGGAGCGCGGCCGCGCCGCTATGGATCCGGCAGTAGGAGGAGGTGTCCCATTGCGCAAGCTGGGCTCCACGCTCGGAAGTGGTACGGCTAGCTGAGCGGAAACACTGCGCTTGAAAATGTTGGACTGAGTGGCTGTCGTACTGGCTTTGCGTTTCCAAAAGGGCCGCTTGTCATCCTGCCGGAAGTAATCCTCACCAGATGGTCCCTCGGTAGGAGTTGTGCTTGGTGAAGCTGATCCTAGTCGGGGAGAGGGCATGGCGCCAGGCTGCGCAAGGGTGTCTAGACAAAGGCGACGTACAGCGTCTCGGGTCCCCGATATCCGGCTGAGCAGTGTCTCCAACCTCGCCCATTCCTGCTCGTCGAAGGAAGAGGAAGCCGCGCCCTCGAGGTTCCCACCCGGACCCAGATGCAGATTGTCAGTGGGGATTTTGGTTTCCAGCATGAGCTTGGTGGCGGTTTCCAAAGCCTCCTTCCAAGCTACAAAGTCGGCGTCGTTATTTGCCTTCAGGTGCCAAAGCTCAACGCCCGAGTCAATTGAGATCTCACGGGTATTGCTGTTGGCTGATATGGCTGCCAGTGAGAGAGGAATGGCACCACGCAGGGCCGAAGAGTTCCGATCCCGGTAGTATGACAAAGTCGAAGACGTAAAGTCCAAGCAAAAGAATCGCCGGGCATAGCCTTGGTGTTTCTTGCGCCTCAGCTTTTGGAGCACGCCGGTATGGATTGAAGAAGGATCACCTGCAAGGCTTGGGCCTTCTGGGACAGGCGCAATGCTCCCGCCAGCAGACTGCTGGCTGATGGAAGCTTGTCTCAGAGAATCAACAGATTCTTTGTCCTTTGCCTTCAGTTTCGGACTCCTCTTAAACAGTGTAGAGGCGTTGTTCGCAATGGCCATGGCGGAGGCCATTGACTGAGGGTGCTGTAATTGCGCACCAAACTGTATCTGCGCTTGACACGCAGTCGGGTAGGTGAGCAGGAAGATCGTTGCTGTCTTTGAAATGCTCTTGGAAAAGGTATTGTCGAACACCAGAGCATAGTTCCCTGCTTCACCGAGGCGCACGTCATGTTTGCCCTGAGTCACCTTGTCGGCCTCACATTTGCCTATCCATTTGACTTGTTTCAGGCCGATGCCGGTCAGTTTCTCGACTGCGGTCGACTGTGCTTCGAGCTTTTCCTTCTCATCATCGTCTGGTGGGTGGGTAGGTGAGGGTGGGTTCAAGGAGGTCGAGGAGCCATGCAGGGTCGACAGAGGGCCGGGGTGCTTGAACAGGCCGAGATTAAGCGACTTTTTGTGAGGCTGAACAGTCCACGAGATTGTATGCTCTTGCTTGACGTTAACCCAGCGCACGAGGTAGTTCTAAGTCGCCAGTTAGTACGCCTGCTGGTGTAAGATGGAGAGGTCCGCACCCTGGAATGAACCTCGATCTGTTCGAGACCAGCCATGGAACCGACGGTTTGCTTTGGTCTAAGCCCTGAGTCCGTCCTCACGACATGGCAACGTAAGGATAGTTAGCTGAACATCTATCGTCTTGTCGGACCAAGCGGGCAGTGTAATGCTGGGGTCACATCCGAATCCAGGTTTCCTGACAACCGCAACTTGTTTCCCGCAAGACGATGAGGGGTTCTAAAATCCACTCGGTACAAATAGTCGCCGTGAAGATCGGTAATTAGGTGGAGGCACTACCCATACCTGCGGTACTCGCTCTTCGCGGAATCAAGATACGAGGCGTCAATCGGAACTGGGCTCAAGGAGTTGCCAAGAAGGATGAGACGAGGCACTGATCAGCGGCATGTTTGTTGGAGAGTTAATGAACAACATCTGACATAACAACGCATGAATTACAAGGCATTCCAAGGCAGCAGAAGGCTCCAGATACCGGGACTGTATACAGTATAGTCTCAACAATCATCCCCTCGCATTGCCGGCATCAGTCGGCTCCCTGTGGTGATTTCAGCCACTCGTTCCCGGTTGTGCTAAAAGCATTCTTGCTTGCGGCTACTTTCGGAACCCGCGAGGCACGAGAAGAGGCATAGCACTTTCGGCACCCACTACAAGGAGCTGCAAGTCGATCGAATAGTAACGGGCATTCATCGGTAACGTCCTCAAAACATCTGCCTAGAATCGCTCCGTGCTCCCGTCGATGTTGATACAATTGCGCAAAAACCACGAACAGGATCCTCTCCTGGTCTCGCCTTCACTATCTGGCGTCTATTGACGGCTTCTTTGTTCGCTTGCTTCGTGCCGCCTCGTCTTTTCCCTCCTTCTTGCGCTTGATGCTCCTCGGAGCGCCTCCCTTAGGTCGATATCCTCCATCTTCGTCACGTTTTCTCTTGCCTCGGGACGGGGCTGTCTCCGCGGCAAATCCCTCGTCGTCGTAGTCCTTTTCCTGTTTGATCAGCTCCTTCTGGGCGGATTTCCGGGCCGAGATCCGTGATCCTGCCGCCCGAGGTGTCCTGTCTGCGCCAGTCTCGTTGTCCTGGAGGAACACCTGGGGTTGGTGTTTTCGAAGCCAGTTATAAACCGAGACAGGGTTCTTTAGCTGAGTCTCTCGTTCGCGTTCTGCGTTTTTCTCTGCGTTCCGGCTGCCTAGACTGCTCATAGCATGAGGTCGCGGATTCGGCGCCGCACCTTCGAGGAAGGCATCCAGGCCCTGGAGGTACTGCTCTTCTTGCTTGACCGTCAGAACACCGCTTGATCCAACATTGCTTGGATCCGCTTTGTCCACCGAACGATGCACGGGAGGGACAAGGGAAATGAGAGACGCGTAGGAGTGCTTGGGGGCGAATCCGGGCGACCTGAGTATGGTAGCTTCGACCTCCCTATATTCGGCGATGTTGATTTCGCCAGCCTGCAATCGGGCCCTCGCCATATGCAATTCTAGATTTGCATCTTCTTCGGAGATAAACGGGCTTGCATCTCCCTTGTTTGCGCCCATAGAATTGAGGTCGTAGCGGAGCCGCGGCGGCACTTGTGGGCATGCGTTGAGCTCGAGGAGCAGTTCAAGGAGTTGACTAAGGAACATTCAGTGAAATGCACGCAAGATGCAGCCCTGTTGTGTTACTCTGTCTGCTCAGCGAGCCTCTGAGCTATGTCCGTGATTCTCTGCTCTTCCTTGAACAAGGAGTTGCTCTCTCGCATCTTCTCCTCAAATGTAACCATAATTTTGCGATATTTCCGTCTGAGCCACGAGTCAGCAGAGGCGCCAGGAGGATGTACGTTCCCAGGGGAGACATACCGGTAGGACTTTCGGGACGTCGTGTGCTGATCAGATACGTCCGGCTTTGGCTCGCCCACTGAGGGCTCTTCTCCCGGTTCTATTGAAGACATGATGTGGCAAGGTCGCGATGGAACTCAGAAGACCGAGATCAACCAAGAAGTAGTGCGAGAAGTAAAAGAAACTGCAATGATCGAATGATGGGAGGGTGGTGGTGCCAGTGAGTGATTGCAAGTATGTCGCGGATCTAGCATGAATGAGAACGAGCCGCAGCCACGGCGCGTTCTGCAATTGCGGAGACAAGCGGATTGCATTTCCGCACAGAGAAAAAGTCCGACTAGTGGCACAAACTCGTTTTTCAGCCCCTCGACATCATTTGGTCACAACAGTCCTCGTCGTATTAGCAGGCTCTACACTAGGTCGAATATTCAAAATGAGTGTCACAGCGCTGGAGGTCAAAGCACCGCAGACAAAAGGCCGCAAACGAGACCCCACGGAAGCAGAGCTTGAGATAGACGTCGATGCTCCCGAACCTCCATCGAAAAAGGCGCTTCGGAAAGCGAAGAAAGCAAAAGTATCTACCAGCAACACGTCGCCTGTAACCAAAGAGGAGTCTCGAACCCAATCGTCCGGGCAAGACGAGTCTGGAGGAAAGGCCAAGCGCTCTGATCATGGAATCTGGATTGGCAACTTATCATTCGGCACTACTAAGGAGGATCTCCTCAGGTTCTTGACGGCAGGTTCCACCAAGGCCTTACAGCCTGATCAAATCACCAGAGTCCATCTACCCTTGGGACCACCGAAATTTGGGAAGCCGCAGAACAAAGGGTTCGCATATGTCGATTTCTGCGACCAGAAATGCGTGGAGACAGCTCTCGAGTCTAGCGAGTCTATGTTGGCTGGTCGACGTGTGCTGATCAAAGATGCAAAGAACTTTGAGGGGAGACCCGAGCAGAAGAACGACAAAGACGGAAAGCCTGGCCACCCTCCGAGCAGGAGGATATTCGTCGGCAATCTGGATTATGCAACGACGGTTGAGGACCTTGAGGCTCATTTTGCTGCTTGCGGAACCATCACCTCCACACATATGGCTACATTCGAGGACTCTGGGAAGTGTAAAGGATATGCTTGGATCGAGTTCGAACAATTGGCTTCTGCGGAAAAGGCCATTCGAGGCTGGGTTGAACCAGACGGCGGGGCAAAACATGCGGCTCAAAAGTCGAGGTCAGGAAATGGCAGGATTTGGGTGAACAAGATTCAGGGCCGAAAGTTAAGGATGGAGTACGCCGAAGACAAGGCTGTAAGGTACGAGAAGAGGTTCGGAAAGAATGCAAAGAATGCGGCACCAAGGCCAGAACAATCAACAGCTGAGCCTGGTCTGGTAGAAGTGGAGGGTGACGCGCATTTGCACCCAGTCACTGACAGGAAGGCCCAAAAGCCGAAGCCAGCGGGCAAATATTCCGAGGAAACCGTGCAGAAGCTCACGGGTGCCATCGTCGAGAGCAAGGGTCAACGGACCTTGTTGGAGTAGGCGTTCAACCCGACAGTGGGTGTTGATTCACGTTTGTTTAGCGAGACTCGTCGGGACCTGTTAGGGGCGGAAGTCGATTTGGCGTCACAGGCACATTTGGGCTTAGCAATAATCTGGGGCAGCGCGGGCATGGATTGGGGTTAGCTCCTCGTGGCGCCTCAAGGCAGGACCGACTTTCCAACGCCGGTCAAAAGACGGTTTTGTTGGCGAGATGTAATGCATCTTGTGCTTCGCCAAAGTGCACTGATTCCCTTGACGCTGCTTCCCTTTAATTCAGCTCATCAGACTTCGATCGCTACTCATCGCCCCTCTGCGTCCTCCTGTGCCTTGGCTCACGGCGCCATGCTGTCATGATCAAGTAAATCCTCCAACAAACACAACCATCAACGCACCATCACGGCTCGAGACTCGAGTCCTCGACGACCCAGAATGGTCCATTCCTGTCCCCATTAGAGTGTAATCAACCTCGGCGACGCCTGCAACGCCTGCAAATTTTTGCTCCATCCGAGCTTGTCACAATCATGCCTGCCCTTCGAAGGAAAGATCTGCTCGCAAGCAGGCGCCGGCGTCGACAAGATGAAGGAGAGGAAGAGGAATCCGTGCTGGGTGACTTTGAGGATGACTCGCTCAGCGAAGGCTCTGCGGTTAGCAATGGTGAGGATGAAGTAGAATTCGAAGGCAGTGAGTCAAGTGGGGACGAAAGAGATCCGGCACAGACAACCGCAGCAACAACACAGACTTCCGCAGGGCAAGGCCAACAAAAGACGCCCACTGAGCCCGTCAAGGATGCGACAAGGGCCCATGACGACGCCTTCAAGCCGGCGGCGGAGACGCAAGCAATGCAGCACGGTGTAAATCAAGGTCAGCAGGCACAAGAGGCGGAACAACTTCAGTTTGACAATCTGCCTACATCAGCTGAGGCTGCTGCCGCCCCGGCAGAGACTGTGCCTCCTAAAGCTCCCCGGAACGAAACTCCCGCACAGCGGGCTCGCAGAGAGCATCAAGAGTATATCCGCCAGAGGAACGCGGATCCCGCTTTCGTCCCAACGAGAGGCGGTTTCTTCCTTCACGACGACCGGAACTCGTCCTCTATAGCTCCGAATGCCAGGCCGCCGGCAAGGGGCCGGGGTCGCGGTCACGGCCCTCCCATGACCACGGGGTACGTACGAACTACATCAGTGTATACTTCTGCTGACATGCGCAGTCGAGCACCAGGCTTCAATGAGCCCACGGACAAGCCCTGGGCGCATGATCTTCATGACGAGCACGAAAATGAAGCCAAACCGGAGCGGAATCGGAGCAAGCCCACCCATGTGCCAAATGAAGTCGCGAAAGAACCGAGCAAACCCACGTCCAGTACTTCTGCACCAAACAGGTCCTTCTCCTTCACAACAGTCCTGGGGAACGTCAACGTGCAGGTTTCCCTGCCGGGCATGGCTCAGAAGGTAGTCGTGCCGAATGTGGTCAAGAAGCATCATACACTTCTTCCCCAGCATCGACCTCCGTTGAGAAGAGACAAGCCAGTCCGTGTGTCCATTCCAGATGCTGCACCGCGGTATATATTTCCTAGCACCGACCGTTCCTTTATCTTTATTCCACGAGCTTTGCGACCAAATCAACAAGGTTATGCACGGGGACGTGGCAGAGGAAGCTTCAATGCAAGCCGCAGACCGAGCATATATGGTGGTGGCTATACTCCTAGTGTCGCTATGAGCCGGAAATCTTCGCTCGGAGCATCTACTATGCGCGACGGTATCAGGTCACCCACGGACTCAGTCATGTCTCGCCACGTTCCCGCTGTCATCGACGGCACTCGGCCAGTGGTCCGTATGCCCTCAGCTGGGCCTTCACCAGCTCTCATGCATGTTCCCAGGCTCAATGGCCAAAATGCCATGCCTATCAATCACATTCCGGCCGTGCAGTTGCCATTCCCTGCAATGTATGGAGGGCACTCGACAACTATTCCCATGCATCAGCCTCGCCCTCAGAAAGCCGTGTCTTTGGCAGATATTGAGTCGCCAGCGTCTTTTCCATTCAAGGCTCCTCAGCAGCAACAAGAGCAGCCCTTTCATCAGCAGGTCCCTGCACATTATGGCAATCAGTATCCGGACGAGAAGGTTGGTGCTCCGCCAGTCCAGCCCACGGTTTCTGCAATGGCTAGCGCGACACCGTTATCGCAGATCCCGGAAGGTGCGGTTTTCGCACCAGGGTTTCAACCATACCCAGTCATGGGTGGACCAGCCTATTTCGGTGCGCCGTATAATAACGGACCAGTCTTCTACCCGTCAATGGCTGACACCAGCTCATTTGGACCTCCAATGGGTGGACCAGCTCTGGCACCGAACTTCATCCCTGGTTCCCAATCGCACCCGGTGAGCTACCTGCCGCCCGTGGGACCGTCCGAAGGTGCCGTGGCTGGCAGCATGATGGCTCATGAGACGAATGGCATGGTCTACTACTATAACCCAACCATGTTCGCGCCGGGTACTCAATCAGGCATGCAGCAGTTCCCGATGGCGCCGAACGGCAACATGATGCCCCTGGCTGACGGAATGTCTGGTCAAGCTCCTTTCTACTACACTTCTGTCCCTACCGCAATGTTCTATCCGACACAGTCCGGCTGATATTCGGGTTCCGACTTGAATTCTCATTTGTTTTGGCTTTACGTGATCAGCGTGTCATGGAGTTGAGGAGTACTGCTCCAGGTGCTGAGAAAGCAGGGTTTGTGACATTGTACTTGGCTTTCGAAAAGGAAGACCTTTCCTTTCTGTCTTGTCTCACAATCACGACTTCGAGATATCCACCTTACAATTTCCTCATGTACATTATATCTCGTGGGCTGAAAAAGAGAAACGGTCGTTGATTGTTACATTTCTTGGTGAGCATGGCTTGAAGATAGACACCAGGGGTAACCATGATGGTTTCATGTCTGGTCGACCCTGGTGTTGACATGGGCCAGTTGGAGCTGCCACTACCAACTGGCCCCGGGAAGCGTGTTCCTCTCACTAGGACGGAGAAGTCAAGAGACGGAAGTTGCCCAACATGCGTCGGTAGAAGGAGGGCGTGCTCCTCGAGAGTAAGAAAAGTGACTGAAGTCTACACTATCCAACCTTGGCACACGTGAGGACACTCATGAAGCCTGAAGACGCACCGCAACCCGTAACCAGTGCCATCTGTTGCTTTTGGATTCACGAGAAATTGGGCCATTAATTCGTGCTGTATGGCCTTCTCAACCGGTGCTCACATTACTCTCCATGGTTCGGATTCATGCGTCTGTCGGTCCGCGAATCATCGGTTGGAACCAAATGCGGCTTGCCGGTCAGTGCTATTCTGTATTCTGTTTGGTGGTCGCCTATTTCGTCACGTGGGCGTCGAGGCGGGGAAGAAGCAATGAATTATGAATGACCGATTGCCTCAGCCAGGCTGCTGCGTTCAAGCTCGCACCCGTCATCTCTCCACTGCCTCTGCTTGACCACCTCCACGACCTCTTATCCATCCTCATTCCACCACCTGTGCCTCTTCCTTTCTATCTCTGTATCCCCTACACTGACGGGAGACGCCATCCTTTCATGTTCTTGCCCTTGTGAGGTCTTCTTCTCAACCCTGACCTGACCGACTCTTTGCAACCCGTCCGCAGGGTGCAACAACGGTCTAACCCGGTCGACACCGCCTAACCCCATCATGGCTACACCTCATCCTCACACGGGTCCTGTTGGGCCTGACACTCCCATCACGGTCAAAGTCATCATCGACGGCACAAACAGGAGGTTTAAGTTGCCTCTTCGTGACCTCGGTGCCACCGTGCTTCCTCAGAAGGTATGCAGATCTGCCGAGAGTCAGCCTTGACGACACAATCGCTCGGCTATCACTTCGTCCCGCTTCACTAGACCTATTCCACGGCGCCTGAGAGACGAGAAAGCTAACGGTTCTTTTTTTCTGCAGCTTCGAGCCTTGCTTGCCATTCCTCCCGAGCAAGAGGTCCGCTTCGACCGATTTTCCGACTCCGCCGGTACCTACATCACACTTGATAGCAGTAACCCTGCCGTCTACAAGCAACTCTATCGAGCAGCAAAGGCCAAGCTCAAGCTGCGTTTGAGGGCAACCCTCGAAAGAAAGCCTATGAAGGAACAACTGGCGGTCAACGTGGCGATGGACCAGACAAAGCCCGCTGTTCCCCTACCAGAATCGAGAAACACCTTCCTCGAGACTGTCCTGTCTCAACCCGTGGGCAACAGCACGGCACCGTCTTTCAAGTCCTTCCAAAAGACTTGCCAATATTCTCCAATGTGTGCCATACCAGGTGCCTTTGATCTCGACGGCAGCAACAGCGAGCAACCGGCCAAACCCGCTTCTCTGTACAGCAACAAGGACGTCTACAGCCTGCCTACCCTCCCTCAGATGAGCGACTTCCCAACGACTTCATACACCATTGACTGCAACAGCTGTGGCTCGTCCGTTCCAAACGAGCATTACCATTGCGGTATTTGCGAGGGTGGCGACTTCGACCTTTGCAAAGCTTGCATTGACGCCGGAATCACATGCGATGGAGATGAGCACTGGTTGCTCAAGCGAACCATTCTCAACGGAATTGTCGTTCCCAGTACCACCGAGACTCTTCCTCCGAAGAAGCTCTCCAAGAGTCCGACTGCGGAGTTAGTCACTCCCATCAGCCCTGGGCAGGATGGTGAGGATTTGACCTGCAACTCTTGCATCTGTCGTATGTCGCCCCAGAACCAGTCTAGTGTGCTAGCTAACTGAGACAGAAATGTCCGCTCGCGACTTTGTCACCTGCCAGGAATGCCCTGACTATGACCTCTGCCTGTCTTGCTTCCGCGACAATGATCATGGCCACGATCCATCCCACAGTTTCAAGGCACAAGAGTCCGAGGCCGTCAAAGCCGACATGGCTATCAAGGCTCTCTGTGCTCCAGGACGTGGTGTCCGTCATGAAGCTATCTGCGACGGTTGCAACAAAGTAAGCCCCCTGTCAGGCCGTCGGAGATTTCTTAGACTGACTTCGATTAGGACGTCTATGGTGTTCGACACAAATGCCTGTCCTGCCCTGACTTCGACTATTGTGCGACTTGCATTGCTGCTGCTGGCGAGAAGCACCCCGGACATCGGTTTGCACCACTTTATACACCGATAGGTTTCGTACGTGCTGCAAAGCCGACTCACCGAGGTATCTACTGCGACGGGCCCCTGTGCACATCCTACAAGGGGTATATCACTGGCGACAGATACAAGTGTGCTGTCTGCCACGACACCGACTTCTGCGCCAATTGTGAGGCTTTGCCCAACAACGGACACAATGCAACCCACCCATTGATCAAGATGAAGCTGCCAATTCGTCACGTGTCCATTACTACTCAGCACGATAGTGAGAATGGCCAGAAGATCGCGCAGTTGGGAGACCGGCCGACCGCCAAGCATGCGGCCACCGAGACCGCTCGATCAACTTGTACGAACGCCGCGACTCAGGTGCAAACTGTTGCTGAGGTCAGCCCTACTGAGGTTGCCCCTGCGATGGCTCAGATATCCAGAGTGAATGATATCCCACCCATCACGCTAACCCAGAAAGACCTCCAAGCATGGTATGTCAGCGACTCGACTCCCGACGGCACTAAAATTGCGCCCAACCACTTCGTCTCTCAATCCTGGACTTTGCGTAACCCAGGCCCCGACGCTTGGCCAGCGGGCTGTGCTGTGTACTACATTGGTGGCGACGATATGCGTAACCTCGATGTGCTCCACCCATCCAGCGTGAGTACTATGACCGTTGCCAACCGCAGCAATGTCCTGGGTTCTCCTCTTGAACCTGGCAAGACCGCAGTCTTCACAGTCCTCCTCAAATCTCCCGCTCGCGAGGGACGAGCTATCTCCTATTGGCGTCTCAAGACCCCAGGTGGTGTCCCATTCGGCCACAAACTCTGGGTTGACATTGAGGTTCGCTCAACTCCTGTCGAACTGCCAATTCGCTCTCACATCTTGCCATCTGCTCCGGTTATCGTTGAGGCGGTCGACGAGCCAAAAGAGGATGACAAGTCCCAGGACAGCTCAACCATGATCTTCCCTAAGCTTGAGAAGGAATCTCCCATCTCTAGTGTGCACGACGTCCGCGAAGGGCAGGTTGAAGAAGTGCCAGCGGCAGTGATGGAGCCTACGACCAAGACCGAGGAACAAGAACTCCTTGAAGATGTCGAGAGTCTGGAATTGGAGGAGTCCGACAGCGACGATGAGGACTTTTTGACTGATGAGGAATACGATATTTTGGATGCGAGTGACGAAGACTTGGTGTCGGAGGGACATGGATCCGTGGCCAAGTGAACCCGCCATCATGGATTTGCTATCGACAAACGTAAAGGTGCATCGCCTCTAGCTATCAACACCACGCTGTGCATGGTCAACACCACGGCTTCGCCTCTACGGCACACAGTGAGATGAAAACAATGATTGGGGAAATCTGCGGGCAGGGTATGGAGGTCATCTTGGATCAGGCTGAACTGGGCGTGGAAAGCGAAAGCGGAAATGGAATGCGACTGCTCAATGCTCAATGCTCAATGCACAAACTCTTTTCTGTTTAGTGACCAGGTAGTGCTACCTCTCCAAGCTCATTAGCATGATAACATGTCTCGTTTCTCATGCATTCGGACAGGATACATACCGTGGAGCTGATGGAGGCGTAACCTCGCCAGCGGGCCAGCATCGATTTGAAATCCGGTATTTCGCACGGTCATGGAGGGCGGCCCGCGGCTTCTAGCGTCATTGTTAGTGCAGGCACTCCAGGATGCGGCCTTGATCAGCTGCCCACCAGAAGAAGGACAATGCGGGTGACTTCGGGTTTGCAGAGGGTGACTTCTCAGTGACTAGGCCGAGGTGAGCGGTGCAGTGAAGCGGCGCAGAGGAGGCATGTGCTGGCAAGGTCGTCGCTCCCCAGGTTCGGTACATGCCCGCGTTTGTGGGTGGCCCAATCCCGTGTCGAAGTCCCTCCACATTGCTTGGTTGCCTTTCACTGACTGCACTTTGACCGCTTCCTATTGTGCGTTGTGATTTAATGTCTGGTTCTGCCACTCACCACGCTCTACCGTGCCCTTCTGCCCGCTGCTGAGGACCTTGGATCATCCTCTGTTCTGCATTCTCTGCCCCGTGTATATAAGCAGAGCGAATTCTTCCCACATGGAAATTCGACGACTTCCGCCACATCACCTGTCTTACCGCGCCTCGAGACCCAAGGGGTGACTTGACACCCTTCGACCACAGTTGATTCCGGCACAAGCAAGACTGATCAGAACATCTTGGACATCTTTTCCCCGGCGGAAGATAGACTTTCGGACGGCAATCAAAGCCTCACAATGCACGACGACCTGAGACGCAAAGCGCTGGAGAGCGGCAAGACCGTCTCGAAAAAGGCCCAGTCCAAGCAATCCTCACGAGGAAGTTCACGAGGAAACTCGGCTCCAAATTCGCGCGCTGCCTCCCGTGTCCAGAGCCGGGATGTTTCTGACGATGAGGATCTCGACAAGGGAAATCTCAGCGACGAAACTACACAAAGGTACCGCGACCTCCGCACAGCTGGCCTCCCTGCACATGAGACTGACACTATGGCGCACAGTATCAACTCCATAGACGCCCTCCTCGAAACCGACGACATTAACGAGTATACCACCGACCAGGCACGGTTCGCGGTGAACAACGTCATCGACGAAATCCTCGATCGCAAGGGATCCAGCACCCAAGCCCGGGAACATCACTTGACGGTCTATGCAAAATACGTGGCATCTCATTACCTTGCTGACGTACTCTATAACCGAGTCGATGAGTTGCTGCCTGCGTTTCTGCGGAGCATCAAAGCAGAATCGAGCGAGACTGAGACCACGACGGCGCTGCGGGCATTAGCACTTACGGCCATCACGTACGCCGCACCAAGTCTCTACGAGACAGTCTCCCCGGCCCTCAAAAGAACCATCGCCGACTCTCAGTCGGCGCCGGTCAAGGCGGCTGCGATCTATTCTCTTGGTATCTGCACTGTATTCGGTGGTGCTGGAGACGACGAGATCCTGGACGTCATGACCTTCCTCCATGAGGTTGTCGCGAGCGACGGCGCTTTCGTCAACGCTGACGACAGCGCGGAAGTCGTCGCAGCGGCTTTGCACACTTACGGCTTGTTGGCAACCGAAGTGGAAGATCTCGAGCACGAGTCCGAGGATGCGGTAACGACGTTCCTCGATCAGCTCGACGCTGACAATGCGAAGGTGCAGATCGCGGCGGGCGAGAACATTGCGTTGCTGTTCGAGAAGTGCTACACGCCCCGCGAAGAAGATGACGAATCTTCCGAGGAGGAAGACGACTCGCCAGAGGAAGAACTGTCAGACCGACCCCATATTCAGTCTTACCTGATCAAACGATACAACCCCTACCACAACGCCAAGGAGGTCGTTGACAAGGTGAACGCTCTGGCCTCGCTGAGCACAAAGTCGATGAACCGACGGGACAAGAGATCCCTGCATCAAGCGTTTGCCACCATCGCACTGACTGTTGAGGATCCCAGATCGGGGCTCCAGTCCAACAACGCTTCGAAGATGGTGGTGCGTATTCATCGCGAAGGGGAGATGCGCGTCGACAAGTGGTGGAAATTGATGCGACTGAACGCGGTCCGGCGACTGCTGGGCAGCGGCTTCGTCAACCACTACTTCGAGGGCAACAAGCAAGTTCTGGACGCATTGCCCATGATCATGCGCGGCGTCGGGGAGGCAGGCATGCAGAGTCCGAGGAAAATGCCGGCGAACAAGGCTGCGAAAGGGAAATATCGTGACCAGCGGCGATTCATCTCGGCGAACTATTCAGAGAATTGACAATCTGGGGACGAAACTGGTGGCGGCGGCGACGGTGATTATCTCTATGTCTTGCATCTTCCGTTCTTCAGGTATTCAGACACCCGGAAAGACCATTGGGAGCAGGGCACAGATACATTTTTAGCAGACGATATGCACGGATTCTATTCCACCACTTGATACCGCTGCGCAGGTTCTCGGATTTCAAATGCGGTAATAGGTCGAGCCATAAGTCAGCAGCAATCCAGCCTACTCGCTGCACGGTGAGCAAACGAGCTTTTCCCTCCCTCGGCACAGTGATCAGGTGTGCAGCGTCCCATGATTAGGTAGGTACGACGTACCTCGTATTCCCTCCCACCATGCTGCGGCAGGCTAAAGAATGGGCGACTACGTCATAGCATCACCCCCCCTCACGCAGTACGAGTACGGAGTACGGGGCCGCTCCGTCCTTCGCGGCGCTGGATTAGCTTTGATCGCCCCTGAAAGAAGCCTCTCTAGCGATGCACCAACGCCTCGGTAGGCGTTCATGGTGGTCTTGATTCGCAGCTCGAGGCATGCGACACCGCGACTAGAGGTTGCGGGCACGTGCTTAGTGAGAAGCGTCATGGGTCTTCTGAATGGGCTTTTTTTTTGGTGATGCTGCGTCGTCGCACACAGGATGGGATCCGAAGAGATTTTGTTGTTGGTAGATGCCCGAAGTTGCGTGAAGTTGTGCACCGGGCCCGAAAAGCAGCCGCGACGTGGTAGGCGGCCGGAAGGCGAAGGCCTCAATGAACCTCATTAGCACTCCCTAGAGTCCTTTGGCCTCTCATCTTGCGAGCTGCGGGCCTCCCCTATTCCCCGAAAAGCTTCAGGCGCACCCGAGCCTCAGACTCCTGACAGAGCCCAACGGCACGGCCTGGAGTCACCCTTTGATGAACATGACCCATCAGATACTCTGCCTATACGGTCCTGAAGTAATCACCCGTGCATGAGGGCTGTCTCAAGCTGGAGACCGTGGTCGATACGGCCGTTCAGCACCGCAACCGACCTTGGCCCTGCTGACATGATGAGGCGAAGCGATTTCTCGCTGATTATCATGCCCCGAACCGTCATGATTGATACCCCATAAGGCAGGCTAATTCTGGACCAGCCTGAGGCAGGCCAATTCTCAAACGTGCGAGCTGCGGGCGCGGGCCAGTCCCAGGCTTCCTCCTGAGATTTCGCCCCGCCGAGCAGGTGGATTCCTCCTTCAGCTTAAGCCTCTTTCCGCCGCGCAAGACGCTGCGGCAGGCCTTGTCTAATGTGCCTTTTCAGCGTGCGATTCGTTGCTCCTGGATTTTCTCATCCCTCAGCAGTTGCCTGGATCATTCCTGGCTTTACGTGTTGCGTGTTCTTCCATCTTTTTTCACTCACCTTTCATTCACTCAACGTCACTTTTCCCTCATTCACCGGCTCGTGTATTCTTTCTCATCTTAATACTTTCTTCAGCTGTCTTTTTATCCTCCATCCACCCATCTTCTCCTCCACTCACCCCTTCGACCAGGCTTTCGCGGTTCGAGTCTCCCAGGGAAGCACCGGCCGATCGCCCGACTCCTTGACCACTGGGACGCCAATTCTCCCTCTTGTACCGGAGGGGAGTCGCTTAGTGTTGTTGCCTTCAAGCAGGTGCCCGTGCTGTCTTTCCTCTCCGCCGATTCGGACCCCCGGTCACCAGCGCCCTTCCTCATCGTCGCGACCTCGTAGTCTCACGTGACGATACACATTTGGACACGCGACACAACACTTGTTCAACAGCCGTCCCAAATTTTTGTGATAAAACACTTGTCTGCGATACCCTGTCTCGGCTCTCCATCGCCATCAAATAGCTTTCAATCATGGCCTCTACAGGGCCCTTCAACGTCACCGAGGCCGCTGAGGCCTCTACCCCTAACATGGGCGGCGCCCAGTTCGCCTCTCATACTTGGATGGAGCCAATTGTATGTTGAGCCGCAGTCCCCCAGACCCTCGGTCTCCTTCACTTCTAACCAGCGCAGATTGTTATCTCCATCATGGCATCTTCTCTATACTTTAATCGAAGACACAACTTCCGGATATTCGACTCGGCTCGGGGCCGGTCACCCACTCGCTCGGTTCTGCCTCACAACACCTCACAAGGGTCCTCGCCAGATGGGTCGATCGACTCCGACTCCTTCTCATCCGACTCGGATATTTTCAATTCGTCCAAGTACCCGCCGAAGAAACGAAACTGCTGCGGCATGGTCGTTCGCACACCCAATTCGTCTCGCTTCGCCGGCAACTGGCACTCGCGTGTCCTGGCCAAGTGGCCCTTCCTGATCGAAATGTTCTATTGGATTCTGAATCTGGCTTTCTACTCGCTCACCAAGGCGGTTGCGCAAGTCCTTTTCTCCACGGACGATGGTTTATGGCAGCTCGCACAGGATCATGGCGTCCTCGTCCTCGACATCGAGCATAAATCATGGCTGAGATTTTTGTTTCCGATCAAAGAAAGTGACTTCCAGGCTTGGTTTCTGAATGGGCATTTGACCGCCATTACTTTTTTGAACCGATTTTACTCTCTTGTCCATATTCCGGGCACCGTTGCGTATGTTTCTCTCCTCCGCCGAGTGTTGTCGCCGCTAACACTGGTAGTTTTCTGTCGTGGTACTATTATGCCGCTCCCACGCATTCGACCTTTGCCACCGTTCGCCGAACAATGACGCTGGGCAATTTCGCCGCCTTCACCATCTTCACCTTCTTTCCCTGCATGCCTCCTCGTCTCTTGCCGAAGGAGTTCAACTTCCACGATACCGTTCGCCAATCGAATGCCGAGTCCGTCTGGGTCGGGGGAAATTATGTCAACCAACTGGCCGCCATGCCGAGCTTGCACTTCACCTATGCATTTTGTGTAGGATCTACCTTCCTTTACCACTCTGGCATCTTCCGTCGTGCTCAACGGGGCGAGCCACGGAAGCCCTTCTATGCGCAGATCTTCTTCCTGGTCGCCGGTATCTGCTATCCTTTGCTGGTCCTCACGATTATTGTGGCCACGGCAAACCACTACTGGCTCGACGCAGTCGTGGCCATGTGTACGACCACCTTGAGTTTCTGTTGCAACAAAGTTTGGATGTTCTTGTTACCCGCCGAGGATATTCTTTGCTGGATTTTGCGGGTCGACAAGCCGACGCCGACAACAGGAGACCGGCTGAAGAGGAGAGAAGCTCAGTATCAGCTGGTCAAAGATGAGGAGGAGCCATAACTTTGCAATTAGGCACTGCATTCTTCAGGAAAGCTATATTTGTGTTTAGCGACCACCCGTGGCATCAACAAGGGCATCCGGAATGCAATTCTTGCATGGTGGGTATATTGGGAGGCTTGGATGAAAACGAATGCCTTGTGCGGAGTACGGAGTAAAGGAGGAGTCTACATTCAGGTCTTGTACGCGTCGAACAAAGGTAGTTGAGGAACCGCGCCCTGGTCCCATCGAGGCGAGCACATACCGGTCAGCGAAGATGTCACAATGGCCAGCACATATCATTCCCCCAGCGTCGACATTGTGGTCCAAGCAAAACATGGGCACTTCTTGTCTGGATGAAGTCGTGGTCAATCGGCGCTGTACCGATCAACTTGGACCGCCACGTGCTTCGACAAATTTGACCGGCGAGGGTGGTTTCTGAAGCAAAGGAAAACAGCAGAGATCCGACGACGTCAATGTTGCTATATTGTCGACGTTACCGGTCTGGACAAGAACGATGTTGAAGGGGCGAGTCATCTACAAATCTTGCATTCTTTGGACATACAACGAGAGCTAGAGATGCTCTTACGACTTTGAATTGGCCTCACGTTGTTAGGACTGTGGAGCAGGATTCGAAGGACTGAAGGACCGAAGACCATTGGTTTCTGCTGGATAGCATGGCAATTGGACCAAGAACCTCTGGTGTGAGAAGCCTGTACGGCTTTGGCAATCTGGACTCGTTCTCCAGAGGCTCAGGCAACCAAGCCATGTCATCTGCTTCTCTTGACGCCCTACTCGAACGCAGCCCCGAGTGTTTAGTCTTCGCTCAGTGTGATTGAAATATACGCCGTCCAGTCGATACCCCGGCGTCGCGTCACTCGGTGGTTCCCTAGTTTCTCAACTCTCCGCCAGCGCCATGGATCTAACGCAAGTACAATCCTCGGATACTTCTCCCTAGCCCCGCGCATATGCCTACTCGTAGGGACAGAAGGGAGGCTGCTCTACATAGGATACTGTAGCTAGCCCGTGCAGAGCAGTCGCGCTGAGATATGGTTAATCCATTAGCCGATCAGCCATAGAGCAGTCGCATTTACAACTAGCATACCAGGTACGTACCTACTGTGTACAGAGTATTGTACTATCACTGTACGATGGACGATACCGGGTACACTACCTGGTAGTTTGGGCATACATACCTACATGGCACTGTATACAGGGCACGCTACACACTCCGGGAGTACAGTAGAATACTAAAGTAAACCACTAGAGTAGTAGGGATGCAATGCAATACATTGAATCTCCTTCCTATCCCATGTTAAATAAGCTGCCATCTACCTACGTACATAGATAGTAGATTGTCAGGAGTAGCCGACTTACAGACAGGACTGGGCCAGTAATTACCTAGGTATCTACCTGCAGACTACTGTGTACAGTCCAGTTCAGCTGAGCGGACTAGTCTGCCCGGCTGGCTGGCTGGCCGGCACCTGTCCCCGATGAAGTGGCAGTGAGCTGAGGTGACCATCCGTTCTGCTCGTTGCCTCGCGCGTACAGAACATGAGGGGCCATTCGAGGGGCCACGACATTCTCGAGTCGCATCCAGACCGCCAGAGCGGAACCATGGTGTCCATACCGTATGTATGTATCACGGCTCGGGAGCCTCACATCGAGAACGGGATACGGAATACCGAGTACAAAGTACAGCTTTCCGCCCTGATACGGCCTCTTCAGATCAGAGCTGGGCCTTGATGGTGGGAAGTCGCGCAGTGGTACGGAGGATTGTAGAAGAAAGGTGAGCGTCGGCGTCGACGTCTGTGATGAAACGGGACACAGTAATTACTTCGACGCGAGCCAAGTCGAAGTACTGAGAAGAGAATCTCTCTTTCTGACTACGGCACCGCGTGATCATAAATTACTTTACCTCTGCTTCTCATCGGCCAGTACGGGACAAGCGCAGTAAGCTTGATCGAAACGTTCGCTCCGAGTACGAGATTTGGTTCGAACGTCTTCCCCGGCATGAGACTCGACTCGACTCGACTCTCCTTGGTTCGGTCATCTGTCTCGACCATCTCTCTCGGCCATCTCTCTCGGCCATCTGTCTGGTCTAGTCCTGTCAGGTCTGGTCTGGCCGTCGCCATCGTGATGCCTCGCGAGGTGAAGTGTCTGTCTTGGTACCATTGGTTAGGTGAGGCGCTCAACGTATTGATCCCAATTGCCTGCATGGCGGCGAGAATCTCTTTCGCCAGCGTCGATAGCCATCAGTTGTACGAGTATAGGCCTTTTTCCCCCGGTGCTCCGCCAGTCTGGACGCACGCCGCACCTTCACCGTCGAACTCGACCTCCGTAAGGCTCAAGGAATGAATGCCACGACACACACACACAGACAGACAGACAGTGGAGTCGATAATTGCTCGGGTACCCGTGTTCTACCCTTCGTTCCTTCGTTCCATCGGCCTCGTGCTCCGTGCCTCGTGCCTCTGCCCATCCACGCCATATGATCCTGATCTGACCCTGACCCTGACGCCGACCTTGATCATGACACCCATCACGGCACTGGCACCACTAGAGGGCCACCACAGTACGTACCTACCTGACCCGTCGACCCGACAGAAATCCTCGTGCAGCGGATTCGCCGACTCAGGGGGGGCGCACCCATCGCGGGGTCGGACGAAACACCGGGTGCCATATTCCAGGAAGGGAAATTTAGTCATGTATCTCCTAATTACCAGCTACCACCACTACTGTCAGTATGCTTACGTACATGCAAAGTACTACGGTTAGTTCGGGAACACTCACTCGCTCGCTCACTCCTTTCCTCCCTCACTAAGTTAATTACGCGTACTCGTTAAAGCCGCGTGCGTGCGTGCGCGTGTGCGTGCGTGTGGAGACCGAAGATGAAGAGGCAATTTACAAGTACACAGTAGTTGGCACCACTACTCCGTACCTTGTAGAACTAAATACTGTAAATGCGAGAAAGTACGGAGTACTCCTTTCTGCGGTACCATTCTCCAACCTCCATTCTCCGTATTCCGGATTCCGAGGAGCGAAGGTGAGGGTGAGGGCGAGGGTGAGGGCGAGGGTGAGAACCGGAGATACAGTACCCCCCCAGTCAAGCCGCACTGAGTTCGTCCGTGGGCAGGCGATACGTACTATGTACGGAGTACCTTGGTCCCAGGTATGTACCGGGAATGTTGGTCCTTGATTGGCCGCCTCGTCCGCCTCGTCCGCCTCGCCGCCTACACGGTATGTACATCTAGAATAAGTAAGTCCGGAGTAAGGAAGGAGTACGGAGTACATTCTCACTAAGTACTGGGTACGGAGTCCATCCTCAGCAAGTTACCTTTGCCGATCTTCCCATGCGGGTGCTTAATTACCTCCATAGTACTGTACGCCGTGGGGGTACACAGTAAGTGAGGACCTGGACGCACGCCCATATGTACTGTAGTACATACGCGGCACTCCGTTCCGAGCCAGGCATCCCGAGTGAGTGACGGAGCCGCGGGCGTGAGATGGACGGATGACACTGCACTGCAATGCAGTGCAGTGCATTGCGCACAGGGACAGTCCTGTCTAACCAGTAACCGTGATAGAATCGGTAATACCAACATCGGTACCTAGGTATGTACTCAATGAGCGTGTATGGAGTACTGCGTATATTGTACTCGACGGAGGAGGCGGGAGCAATTCGACGGGTGGCCGCGTGGTTTGGCACCTATTAGCGGTGAATTGGACGGACGAAATCTCTGGTACGTACGGAGTTATCGCACGAATAACTGGAAAATATTCCGCTCGTTCCAGAGTCTGCATACCAGAAACTGTCTCCGTACTGTGCCTGAATGTGTTGGATTGCGCGAGGTACACGACCCTACACAGTAACAGTAATTCGGCAATGTATACTCCGTACGACGGTCTCTGTTGTGTGCTTCCGGAAAGGCACCAAGTGGGCGAACTTGTCTGCTACATTACTCGCTCGCCGGTGCTTGTTCAACCCGCGGATTCAAGCAATGCCATTGATTCCTCCCTCGACATGCGCATGCGCATGAGGCATGACAGGGTACGTCTCCAGAGCTACATGCTGTATCCGAGCATAAGTGACTACTGTGTTCCACGTACAACAATACGAGCAGAGCCTTGTGGAAATCTCCCTACAGAGTCTCAGCCGAGGCAGACCTCTCGAGCCTCACCCCTCCCCTGGTACTTCCCGTTTCTCTTTCCGATGGCGAAAAGTTTCATCACTTGCGTACTCCGTACTTCTCAAGGCTTATCTGCTAGCTAAAAAGGCTTGCGCACATTATTTTCGTCCGTAATCCGTCCCGGAACCCACAGACCCCACTGGGATCATGTTTCCGGATCCGAGAGACATACTGGGTACTACTGTATTCTCTAGCGTCGATGGCTCCGTGGGTGTGGTCCGCGCTGCGTTTCGTCGGTCGCATTGGACTTAGCCGTTTTGATGGACTTTTTGCTGTGAAGGGTAAGGCGTGGGAGTCGGTGTGGTTGCCCAGGCCTCCCAGGCTGCCTCCCACGGGCTCGGTACGGAGAACGGAGTAATTGCTCGCGGGCTGCTTGTGCGACATCCTCTTCGCCTAATGGCATTACGGTCCGCCTACATAACGATGCTGTGGTACTGTGGTACTGTGGTACTGTGGTAGCCTTGTAGGCTAGCCTGCTCTTGCTTGATCATTGCCCGTGCTCGGCAAAGCCACGCAACGGTGAGGCCTATTCACACAGTACAAGGTCGAGCGGCGGTATCAATGCGACACTGGTGAATCTTTCGACCGCGCGGAAACATCATGTCCCGATTGTGAGACGATTGTGCCCCCTGCTACCGCAGGTGGATTAGTGTTTGCTGATTTGTGTCTCTGCTTTTCGTTTCATAAATCCTGAGTGGGGATGTATAAGGTTGCCACTTGTACTCCGTACACAAGCAGTGGAAATGGTGTGAGAGAAGTGACTGAGACTCTGGGAGACGCCGTCGAGCCCCACCGTGAGCACTGAAATGTGACCTGTTGAAGGTGGGCCTTGTCTGCGTGAGTCTTTCCTTCAAAGAAGGGGCGACCAGATCCAATAATCTGGGCTGCGTATGCTTTCTGCCTTGAGTGAAGGTGCGGCCTCAACGGTATGATGCAGAGGCAGTATAACGCCCCCATGGTGGGAGTTGTTCTACATTATCGTCACCTGTGGTGCTCGTCATCGTGCTTTTGACTGTCGGTGCATGCCCTTCCGCCAACATTGCTTCCAGTGTTTCCCAAGAAGGTCGTTCCATAGGAATTTCTTCAGGATCTTCTCCAGCGTCTCCCAGTCACTGGTCTCGTCCGGATATTGCTCCAGTGTCTGGTCGAGCACCATGCTCATCGCCGAGAGTAACTCTGACTGGTCGAGTGCGCCTGCCGCAGCCACAGAGATCCAAATCAGACACTCTCGGTGCGCGTTGAGGCGGTTCTCCTCCTGCGGCTCCGGCTTGCCGTTGCCGACCAAGGAGTCCTCAAGCTCTTGTAATGTTTCGTGCATGTCGTCGCTGATCTTCTCACTGCCGTAGTGTAGAGTGAAGCAAGTGCCCATGATGCCGAAGCAGAGCTTGTGCTCGATAGGTGTAGTGGCCATCACCGACAGACATCGCAGGTCCGCCATCGTATTAAGCAAGTTGCGTCCACCTGGCGAGCTAGGCGGGGAATTCGGTGGCGTGGCACTCCCGTCGCCTCGGGCATGAGTGGACAGATTGGCGAGTATGTCAATCATCTGGATCGAGAGTTCACCAGCCATGGCCATGTCGTTGAACGAGGTAGACACTTTCGACAGCGCCTCGCAGACCTTGATGTTGAACGGTAGCGACGGATAGATTGGGAGCTCGCTGCGCATCGGCGACTCGATGGACAGCTGGGCCATGCTCGTCGTGGCTTCGTTCCGGTCCTTGACAAATTGCCAGAGCGCTTCATAGCTGCTGCTGTCAGATACGGTCACCAGCAAAGCGGGCGAACTTACGCTCTCATGACTGAAAGGAGAAAATATTGCCATGGCGTGTCTCCTTTGAGGTCAAGTCTAATCTTCCGGATCTGCTGCATTGCGTTGACGTGGTTTTCTGCGCCTTCGTGGACACCCAGCATGTACTGTCGCTTGTCAGCCCCGAGCTCCCTTCCTCAGTGGTTCACCTACATCAATTGTCGTGAGAGCCGCGATGGTCAGGATGGTGGTGTCGTCCGCGCACGTCGTCTCAGACGTCATCCTCAGCTTCAGGCCGGCAAATGCATTGGCACGATGGCGTGTCAGTGCCGCATCCTTCTGCCACGGAAGGCGTTCCTGCAGAAGCCACGACACCCGTGCGAGAGCGACCATGGCCTCGAACAACACACCGTTTTGCAGAGCATGCGGAAACACCAGGGACTGATATGGCTTGGGATGGCCTTCGAAGGCGAGCGCCCGACCGTGTTGCGGCGCCCAAACTTGCAGGTCTGTAGGCATGGTTAGATAACGTAGGTGAAATCTTGGTCAAGATGATGCTGCTCACAATACTTGACCATCCGCGGGACGACGCCCTCATTTGGTATGGGAAAGACATTCACAGGTTCCGTGTGGAAGATGTTGACGGAAAATCGAGGCAGCCTGGTCGGTTTGTGGCATATTGGCAATCCTTCTTCGTCCACGGGCGACTTGCGCTTCCGATGATGTCGGACGGCCGACAATTCTGCCTTGTCCAGCTCCCACGAGAACCGGTCACGGTCTGGAGAGCTCGCCGACACAGGACTGCTGGGTGAAGTCTTCACCAAGATCGTTGGACGAGGGGCCGGCTGACGCTTTAGTAGCGCATTCTTTCTCGAGACTGGTGTGCGCGGTCTCGTTCTGTCGTGCTCCGGTGGTGATGTTGAATTATGGACCAGCAGTTGCTCTATCCTGATTGCCCGTGCCATGCCTCCGGAAACGACTGTATGATCATAGTGATCCTCTCGCGGGAAGGTGTCGGCGAGGCTCAACTTGGTGGTCAGGCTGTACTTTTGAGACGGTAATATGACTCCCGTGAGACAAGAGGCACCGGAAGCCACAAGAACGGGCAAGGCTAACAGCGAAGTTAAACCTGGGCCAGGCGGGGGCTCATCGCAGGCTTACGGCTTTGTCAGCCGCTTCGAGGTGTGATTCGTCTCTTTGCAATTGGCACTCATCCGAAGGATGGACCATGAGCACGAGTAAAGCAGCGCGGCGTGCGGCCTTTGCCAGATCAGGCGCGCGCGATCGCAACCAACAGCGACTCGCTATACCGCATACACCGTTCGCTGGGTTTGCTTCAATCGGGTTAGGCGACAGAGGAGTCGCTCAGAGGTAAGATGGAGTAGGGCAGGATGGGAGGATGGGGACTCGGACGGAGCAAGGGTCGTTGATGATGCCAAGTTCGTGTCGGTCAACTCGCTGCCTCGCTTAAATCGTGCTGCTCACTGGTCGGGTAAGAAGGAGACTTGATTCGCTCGAGGCCGCGTCGGAAAGTTGGATACTCGATTGAGGGTTGAGGCAAAACAGAGCTATCGAAGACAGTGCTGACACCCGCCTCTTCGGGTCCGTCCAAGAGCGACCGTCTGCTAACGCGGGGCAGTCCAGGCGCCTGCGGAAGCATCAACCGTCTTTTCCATTCGTCGTTTCACAGATGCTGCGGTTGGGTGTTTCACGTCGCCTGTCAGGGCAAGGATGCACGGATGCAGAGGAACCACAGCTGACTTTGCTTTCTCTCCCGCCACTACGAGCTACGACTAGCCTGTCGGGCACTTGCAGGATTACTTATCCTGTAATGAGATTCGACCCAGTAGAGATCAAAGATCGAACAGGAAGGTGTGGGCACTTGTCGTGGTCCACTTGTCCAGGCTCCAATGTGCGACGATCAACCACGACCTATAGTTCCCCGTCGGTTGTCCTCGTGCCTTTTGAGAGATACCCCATACTGTATAGTCGGCTGGTTCTGATCCTGGAGCCCGGCTTCGAGCCGGCTTGCCGGTGGTACCTTCGGTTTGGCAATGAGCCTCAGCCGGCACGTACACGGTTCTTCGTGGGATCTCGCCCGACGAAAGCGCTGTCTCAAGATGCCAACCTCTTGTCCAGTTTCCCTGGCACCACCTTCTCCTCCTGAACAACCCGGTGTATGCCTTCACCGCCTTTGGCGCCACCAATATCCAGCAATCCTGGTCGTCCCAATCTTACGTTGCTGGTGCTTGTAGCCTCTACACATCCCGGAAGCGACACGGACACCGAGCACGGCCTGAGCAGAATGCAGTAGCTGTGGGCCTGTTGTAGCGAGCGCAGTTGCCGGTTGCCATTTTTTGTGGACGTGTAGGCCGGTGGGCAGTTTGTTTGTTGCCTGTCATCTCAATCACTTCTTCTTTCGCGTAACGTGAAGCTGGGCGAAGAGGTCAAAGCTGCTGAGCACCAACATGAGAGTTACTGTAAAGGAGAATAGGATGATTGGGATTGACCGAGAAGCGACTGGCGCTGCCACACAGACCATAGCCTAGCATTTGTCAACAACGACGGATCACAAGCAGGGCATCATGTTCTGTACATGAGACCCTCTACTGCCATCAGCTTCCGAGCACAGACTGAGCAGAGTAAAAGCAGCAGGCCGGAGAATGGAAGGGCAGTGAAACCTGGAAGTGGTCGAGGTGCGGAGCATCAAATCTTGATAATTGAAAACAAGATCTAAGCATTTGAGTTCTGTGTCAAGCTTGCGCGAGGTGTTCTAATGCCGCCATGCTGAAATCATTTCCTTGCCTCAGTTGATGGTGTTGCTGCTGCTGCTGCTGCTGCTTCGGTGTCCTTTGTCGGTTTCTGCTCCGGCTCGTCTTCTTTCTTCAATTCTTTGGTTTCGAGAATCTTTGGTTGATTTCAGCATACTTTTACGCGGTGACTGTTTGCCGATCGACCTACATTGTTGCCTTTGATTCAGTCAGCCTCTGAAGTCTGGTCAAGCTCAAATAAGAATCCGCTTACAGTCGGCACAGTGCCCATAGTCGCCGTCGCTCGTCAAGTCTACCCTCCCACCACAGTTCGGACACTTGTATTTGGGCATATCTCAGATGGTCTACACTGCATGTCAGTACTTGCTGCTCACGCCATCGCTGAGATGATACCGAGTGAGTGAACTCTAGGCGAGTGCGTGACGCGGGAGACAGATTGATGGATGGGAAATGGAAATGAGAAATGCTACATGACGTAAGCACATCAGCTGAGATTAGCGGGAGCCAACGACGAGGAGCATTATTTCCATTGCTTTCCTATAGCGCTGCCATGTGCTCCCAGATAAGACTTGGAACCGCGCGTATCCGCCATACCATCGCTTGCAGCTACGGCCTCGGTCTCATTCAAGCTCTTCCACACCTCAGCCACAGTCGCACGTTCTCTGGGAAGCACTGAATACTGCAGTCCGTACATTTCACTTCGCCCCAGAGGCGGCACAAATCGACCCGTGAGAAGCCGGAAGACAACCTTAGGCGACAGATAATGTTGGTGGATGCGCGCCCAAAGCTGGAAATATTGCTCAAAGATCTGGCGCAATGCCAGCGGGGTCGAGGTAAGTCGGATATATGCCACACTGGTCGCGAAGTCCTCTCCTTCTCCCTCTTCATCAGAATCGTCATCAGCCGTGTCATCCTGGCTCTCTTGATGCCCCTTCTCGTCGGAGTAGGGTACTTTGGACTGCTCTGTATCCAGCAGCTGAAAATGAATGCCACCCGGCAATCTCTGGCTGTCCTTGATCCTGAGCATCAATGCAAACAACGGAAAATGGTTCAGGCACGCTAAACATGTATCCAGCGTGGCTTTGAGAGCAATGATGGCCATCCGAGCCGAGGCGAAGGTGAGGTAGAAAACCACCACAGTAGGCAGGAGGAAGAATAGCAAGGTGAACAGGATCGTTCCAAGAAGAAGCTGATCAAGATCGTAGTCGCAATTATCGATTCGGTTCCGCAACACATTCCGTTTCTTGCCACGGAACAAGTGGAAAAGGCTCACGATGATGGTCAATTGCCAATTGAAGATGCGTGCGCTCGCCACATAGAAGGAGTAGATGTGAATCGTCAACAGGCTGAGAAGGTCGGAGAAGATCGCGATTGGCATGCTCGCACCGGCAAAAGAAGAGCATCCAATGACATAGACGATAGTCGGCAGCCTGGGCAAGATGAGCAAGAAGATTGTCGAAGACCAGTACTCGATGACCCACAGAAAGAGGTCACCTAAGAATGCCGCAAGTTCGGTGTTCAGCTTCAAGCCGCCGGGGTAGGACATGAGCCACCTGATCATGCGCTTGAGCCCTTTAATGGTGTACTCATTGAGCACGCCACCGATAAGCTGTGATGTAGCTTGCGAATTGTCACTGATGAAGCTACCGAGAGCGATCCCGATAATGACATCGTTTGCCACCAGCCAGAGAGAGTTGTAAAATCGTATGTAGTCGCTGTTGGTCGTGGGAAATGACGACCAAGTGGCTTTGCGGCGTCGCAGAAGGGAATACTGTGTTGGATAGTAAGAGAACTGCTGCAGTCTCAGATGCACTTGTTGGCAACAGGCTGATATGTCCTTGAGCGCAACGGCGCCCCTGACGGGCCGGCGGCTTTCTGGCAGCCGAATCTTCTTGATAGGCAGAGGCCATTCGAGGATCTGTAAGAGGCCTTCGGCGACAATGCGGTGTCCGATAATCGCAATCTTGAAAATGTACAACAAGAAAGGGAAGGCATATGCCATGAACAGCGTCCAAAGCGACCAGGCAGCAAAGGCGTAGAGTGACTGCGCGGATTCCACAACTCGCTCACTGACTGATAGACTCCGTTTTCTTCTCGGGCCTACGAGCGGTGTGTTCTTCTGCAACAAGTCGGCAACTTCCTGAGCGCAATTGATCTGACGGACTATTGCCGGCAGTGCCAACTCCTTTTTTGTGGGCGCATGCCTAACCACAGTGTGAAAGCGCAGCTTGGCCACCAACTCGGCAGTGCGCTGCCGCTCCTTTTCCTCCTGGACCTCCACCTCGTCTGGCATATAATCGGTCTCGCTTGGTGGCCAATAATCCTTGCCCAAGGCAAGTGAAATCGGCTCGAGAGACATGTATTGCATTTGCGTCGGGTTCGGCGGATCGAACAGGACGATCTGGACAGCCAGCTCTGCGTCCGGCGGACAGTAGATGTAGGGTCGCCTAGAGCCCGAGAGTGTGTAGGCGCAAACCCTCTTAGGGTCAAAGACCTCTGTAGGGCTCGGATGATTCAGGGTACCCAAGACATGCATATTGGGCTGATCACACAACTGGAAGATTCGTGCAACTGGGTAGGGGCTGTTGCGAAACAGAGTGCCCACGCGAAGAGCGGATTCCACACTGCGAACCTGGTCAAGTCAGAATGTTTCTACCAGTCCCACAGCACTGCGTCTTACCTCGACATCTTCGAGGACCGTGATGACAAACAGGTCAAAGCTGGAGTTTCTCCATCCCACGATTACACCGGGTGATGTTGTCCGAGAAAGGTTGTTCGGCCAGAATACCCGTAGCATGCCATCGCTGTTCTCGACCATGATATCATATTGTCAACAATCAGAACGACCCTCTTCGCCGCAGTTGTTCCTGAGCAGAAATCCCGTGAACGAGGAATCGAGGATGGACCGAGGCTTCGTGGGCAGCGAGGCGATCAAGGGGAATCGCGAGACAGGCGTAGATGAGTGAGATGACGGCGAAAGCCTTTGCTGCTCGGGCAAACACACCGTGGTCCCAAGCGAAGATTGCCAATTCGTAGAGTCTGGTAACAAGGTCCCAGCGCGCAGTAATGTATCCCGCAACGAAGATGAATATCGTCAACGAGGAGAAAGGGTGCATCCAAGCGCCTTGGTCGGCTCTCATTCGCGCAAGAGGGGTCGCCCCAATGACGACTCGAGGAGGCTGACAGCCTTCCAAAATTACAGCGGGTATGGGGGTTAGTCAAAGTAAATGTATCTCGAACGAAGCAAGCAAAGATACTGGAGTTTCGCGATTTGCTGCTACGGGCACGCACATAAGCCTGAGTGGAAAAAGCACAAGCGAGCAAGCCAGGCACAGGCGAGCACAGCCCCAGCGACACCAAACCACAGGCACTGTTTGATGAGAACGGGATCACTGTGCTACATCAAACACATTCTACGATCCTAGCTGAAGAGAAGAAAAGGGAAGAATTGTTCATGACTCAAAGCTCATTTCGTTGTCAACTAGCTATGGTTCATGGATCTTCTGATCATGGTGCCAACTGTTGTGAGTGGAATCAACAATTAGAGTGCAATAGCGAATTAGGTCTGATTCCTTTGCCAATCCAAGGACGATGTGGTCATTCCAATTGACTCAGTTGAAAACCTCTGCTCATTGACACACATTGTGGCGTTCCATCTGAAAGCTTGTGTTGACTTTGTCGTATTTTGTACATGGATCTCAGCATCGAGATGTGGAAGGACTGTCATCTTTGCATATGCTCTGGTGTGTGTCATGTTGAAGTACATGGCAGACATGGGCTGCAGAGAGCGTCGGGGTATCGTTTGTGATTGGGGATTTGTGCTCAGGCCATAGCCAGGACGGCAAACACACCAAGGACACCAAGATTGACTGCGGCACTGTTGGCACCATTGCTAGGAGCAGGTGGAATGCCAGTGGACGTGGAGGCTGTCATGGTGGTGTGAGTAGAAGTTGCAGTCGAGATGCTCGTATGAGTGAGTGCCGAGGAGGTCGTAGTCTGGACAACGGAGCTGCTATCGGTGGCTGGACTCGGGGTAGTTGGAACTGGTGTGACTGAAACACTGGTTTCAACTGGAGTGCTAGCGGGCGGGACACCTGGAGTCTCGACGTTTGGAGTGGTTGGTGGGGGCACGACTGGAGCAGATGGCGGCTCGAGAGAAGTCGCGGGAGTGATGGGGGTGGTTGAAGGGGTAATGACGGTAGAAGTCATAGTAAAGGAGGAAGTGATCGTGACCTGAGATGCGGTGGCAGGTGGGGGAGGAGCAGGCTCAGAGACCGGTGGAACACCATACGGGGCGCAAGTGGTAGGGTAGACAGTGACTGTAGCAGCGGCATCTTCTGAGGACAAGGTTAGTATCGAAAAATTTTCAAGGGCAAATTTGCACTTACGACGAGGCAAGAGATTCATGAGATCGGTGATTTCTTCATGAGAGAAGCCTCGAGCTGTCAATTCATCAGCGCCTTGCACTCAAAATCTCTTGAGCTCGAAGCTTACCGGCCAAGGAGCCGATAGCTTCGTCACGGGCAGCAAGGTTGGGAGCAGTCGCTATTTCTCAGTCAGCAAGTGAGGAGGCACAGCTCTAGAACTGTTTGAACTCACCAATGGTCATGGCTGCATAGGCAGCGACCGCAACGCCGAAGAGCTTGGTGATCTTCATGGTGAAAGATGCAAGATGGGAGTTGTTGATGGATGAATGTGATGTGTAAGAGTATGAGGTATCCAAGTGTTGAAGGTAAGTCTCCAAGCGAAGGACACAATGTTGTTGAGGTTATCAGGTAGAGAGGGTAAGAGGGGAATCGAGGTCGACGTTGGGCAGAGGGAGGGAAGATATTTGTAGTCGTGAAGGGGCCGATGGGACCGTGGATCGTTTGCCGATTTTCGCCAAGAGTTTGAATATGATGTGCAAGCAGTCACGGCGTGCGATCAGATCAGACAGGGTCGATCCAGCATCAGGTCACTGCTGCGGACCGCAAGAAGGCAGTGGCGATATGATGCACCGATCCGTCACCTTCCACGCTTTCAACTGTCCACGTCGGGAACCTGGATGTCAATTTAATCGTGCGCAGCCAACGAGATTTAGAACTCAGTCCAAAGACTCTTCTGCGGATGTTGCCCCTCTCCACCAATATGCAACCTCCCGTCCGAGATGAGGCGCAACAAAAGGTTCCCGACTAGCCTCGACAGCAACAAGCTGCAGACTGAAACCAAAGATGCAGTTGCTGGCCAAAGTCGCTGCAGAGTCAGACAGGCTTACCTCCGGTGGTGCTGTGGGTTGACAGCTTTCTCACGTTGCCAACTCTTTTCAGACCTCAGGTCACTGAACAAAATGGGGAGGCTGGACAGCAGCTTCGGCTACCTGCAATGTCTCAATCTCCCACACGAAACGGGGACGCCACTATCTGTCATACTCTTCGCCATGCCTCTGCAGCTTTCTTGTTGATAGATTTACACAGCGCCAGGACGACTTTGTCAAATCTTGCTTCATGCTGTGATACAGAAGAAAGAGAGGTCAACGAAATCACACTGAGGTGTGCGAAGGAGACCTCTTTACCCGGCGCTAAATGCGGGAGAGCAGCCGCTAGCTGCATTAGCGTAATCTAGCGTGTCTTTCTCCGGCATGGAACAATATATGTCCGATGCAATACCTGGGAATGGACCCTTGATGTGACAGTCTGCGAGGCTGAAGAATACAGGGCATGTCAGGGGAAGTAATGCCAGAGGCTGTCGGCTGGGCATTTTCGACGAAATAAGAAGACAGGGCTTGACGATTCAAGAGCAGCTACAGGTATGGTTCCAATTGGAACAGAATACTGCGAGTTATGGCCGGCAGATATGCACTGTGAGTATTGTGAAAGGACATGGAAGTGTTGCAGCAGACGGGAGCAAAAGATACGGTTCCATTTGGGGGCACCATGTAGATCTTATTGTTTTCGTGCAAAGTCTTACTCCTAGTACTACCAAAGCAACAGCACAATGCCTCCCGCTCGCCTCAGGACATTCAGTGTAAGCTAACTTGCCTCTCCACGGCTTCGTACTGTCAAGCGCAGTGTCAGTTACCGTTGCCGTCACTCCTGGATCGCGCATATAGACATGGGATCATTCTTCTTTCTCCATCGGCCAATGACGCGGCAGGATCGCTCACAGTGTGATCAACTCATTCATCGGCCAATCAATAAATAGGATCAATGGATCTAGATCGACCTTCTTCTGGACCAATCGTCCGACAGGCTGGCGAGCTGTGTGATTGCTGCATAGCGGTGCTGGGTTGATCTGATCTGTGCAGTTTCTCTGACGCTTGGTGAATCTGAACTGAGTCATTCTGGTACTGTACCTGTTCATTGCTCATTTCATTCTCACTATTGTCCACCAAAGGATCAATGGGACAGAGGCTTGTCATTGTGAAAGGAGAGGAGGCGGTCTTGAGAACTGTCTGACGAAGTACTGTGTACACAAGGCTCAAGACCTGCAAGGGGCGGCTGATCTTCGGCTTATCGTGCTCTCACTTTCCTGTCAATGAGCTGCGAAGTCGTTGTCGTAGTCAACGTAGAGGTACACCAAACAACAAGATGTCATATACTCCTCTGTTGGTCTGTTTCGCCTGCTCATCAACTGAACAGTCACTCTTCCCATATCTCTTCATATAGTTGACAAGGGCACTATCTAATATATTGTCCATCTAGGTACTCTCGCCCTTCACCTCACCAACTCTCCCTTCCCAGACCTCGGCCCAGAACCCTTCCTTCCATAATCTGAGAACCTCGAAGCCAACCTCCACGGCAATGAGCACGATGATCGTCCACTCCAAGAATAAGCCGTGTTTTTCACTCAGCCTCTCTCTCAGCACTGTTGCAATTTCTGCGGCGTAGTCCATCTTCTCATTTAGCACCTTGATGCGGATCCCCACGTCGAGTGCCCGGCCAACTTGGTCATAGTAGTTTTCCAGGTTGAGCTCATGGCGGCTGTCCCAAAAAAGATCAGGCAGGCTGTCGGTGAGTTCTGAGTAAAGGTTGAGTTGGGCGCGCAGGAGCAGCAACTGGCCTGTCTTGCGTAGGATGAAATCTCTGCTGAGCTTGAAGGGAAGACGAGATCCTTTGGATAGCAGAGCTGGTATGTCCGCTGTGGAAGCCAGGTACGTGGAGAGGTTGGTTTCAAGAACCGCCAATTTCGTGGAACGCGCAAAGCCACTTGAAAAAGCAATCTTGGTGAGCACGGTGTCCACAGTCTGAAACTGTGACTTGGTCTGATCCGCTGGCTGATCGTCGTGATGCTCGGGTCGCTTGGTGCCGAGGATGATGGTGTCACCCCGGATCAAGCTGTGCTCCCGGGTAGGGTCTTCGATATAATCCAAGTCTTCGGTCTCAATAGGCTCTTTGTGAGGATTGTCTGCTGCGGGCAGCAGGGTACGAGTTGCGAAGTAAGAAGTGAAGCCGTCAGGGAGCGCCCATGTCACTAGCGTACCAGACGGGAAGACGAATACATCGCCGACCTCTGTTGACGATAAATGCGCGGCGGCGGGATTCGTGGAACGGTAAATGGACGATATGGGTATTTGAACGTGGACCACCTGTGGAAAGAGACCTGTCTCTAGGGGATCAGGTTCGTAGCCTTTACTGCGAAGAATCTCTACGACCTTCGTCAGGTCGAATTGATCTGCGACAGCATATGCGGTCACTAGCTTAAGTGTTTGGTCTGCCCCTTCCGTTGTCTTCAGGCCCGGTCTCGTCAATCCGGCCTTCGATCTTTGGGCTTCCAGCCCAACACGCCTTAGCGATGTTTTTGTGCCCGGAGAACGTGCAGTCTTGCGTTTCTGAATCGACGCGGCCGCCGAAGAATCCATGCCGGTATCTGCTTTGTCTTTGTTTCCATCCTTTCTTGTCGCGGTCTGACTCAGTAGCAAATGGTTCGAAGAGAAGAAACCTCGCCGGCGGGTTCGCTGGAAGATGGGAGAGGCATGAAGCGGCCGGAAACCGGGTTGTCGTAGTCCATCATGTCCATACCCGTGTCCAGCTCTCCGACTGCTGATACATACAAATTGAACACCAAGGCCAGTCACCGGGCGAGCAGCCGCCTGGCGCATTGCGAGCAGACTGCGACTTTGACCACGGAGCATTTCAGCTCAGGAAAGTTCGATTTCTAGCGCAAGCGGCGCACAGCGTGTCGGCGACCTTAGCCTCCACCGTACAGAGTACGGGCAAGGCTGCGGGGGTTCACGAGGCTGAGTATTAGGTTTGGACTTGGCGCTCGTCATTAGAAAGTCGCGGTGCTGTAGCATGAAGAGTCCCCATGTGTTCTTTCATACAGATGACGCGCTATTGACGCTGTTCCTCTTCGTATGGCGGTGGGAGGTGGCTCAACTGAGCCAGATGACCATGACAAGCTTCAAAGTCCGACCAAAAGCCCACCGAAGTCATTGAAGCCCGAGCCGACAGCAGACGAGTCCGGAGACGACGAAAGCGAAGACGGAGAAGAAGAGGAGGAGGAGCCACGCCTCAAGTATGCCACGTTGACCAGGAACGTCAGCTCGATATATCGCAATGGAGACGCGACCAGCGCTTTCCACGTTGCAGGAGATAAGATGATCGTAGGCACACATAGCGGGAACATCCATGTCTTTGCTCTACCTTCCTTCAGTTCAGTACGCGTCTATCATGCGCATACGGCGAGCATATCTGCCATCTCGATATCCCCTTACAACCCCCAAATCGCGCCATTCCGCTATGACTCAGGAAGCAAGGTAGCCGCCGAATCAGCGCCAATTAGAGACAGATCGCCAGCTAGCTCACCAGCACCCAAAGGGAAGCAGCAGCAACCTGCCGTCCCAGATATACCTGCGAACCGAATCTACATCGCTACCTCTTCGATCGATGGCAACGTCTGCATTGCTTCGCTGGTCGACCCTCGAGATGTTCAACTGCGGAATTTTGGGAGGCCTGTACAGACAGTGGCGTTGTCACCGGAGTACAAGTCGGACAAAACTTATTTGTCTGGCGGACAAGCTGGCACTTTGGTGTTGACTACGGGCGGACAAGCCGGAAAGAGTGCCAATGCAACCACGACGGGAGCTGCAGCAGCCGCTTCTGGCTGGTTGGGTTCCATTGGTCTCGGAGCAAACACTGGATCAGACAAGATTTTGCACAGTGGTGAGGGCATCATCAGTACCATCAAATGGTCACTCTCGGGCAAATATGTCCTATGGGTGAATGAACATGGGATCAAGATCATGCGATCAAACCTAAAGCTTGAGAGCAACGAATCGGGCCATGAATGGAAACGCATGAGCCACATTGACAGGCCGAATCGGCCTGACTGGGAAGACATGGCTGGAGTGTGGAAAGCTCGCGCTGAGTGGATCAATCGAGACAATCTTGAGGCCGAAGACGATTCGAATGTTGTGGCTCCTGCTGCTGCGAATGGCGATGGCGCGGCTCCCAAGCCAGAAGTCGAGAAGACTAAAGTTGAAGAAATATTGATAGGATGGGGCGACTCAGCATGGCTCATCAAAGTCTACCCTGGTTCACCCGATGGCGGAAACGACAATAAGATTGGGCGCGCTGAAGTTGCTACGATGTGAGTTTCCTCCTACTCTTCTGTGAGAAAGCATTCGCTGACCACCAATCAGTATACGATTTGACGACTGTACAATATCTGGAATTTCGCTTTATACCCCCAGTTTACTTTTAGTCCTTGCATATATGCAGAACAAGGGAAATCGTTCAACATCACAAGAACCTGAAGGCGGCAAACGAGGCCGCCGAGCGCGACACAATGCATTAGAGCCAGAGCTACGTCTTATTGACATTAATACCAAGGAAGAGGTCGACACCGATACTCTAACCGTGAGCAGGTTCGAGACCCTGTCTGCTTCAGACTATCACCTCGGAATCCTTCCTCCTGTCCGCATCCCAGCTGCTCTTGTACAGAAAGGATACCTTGGCGCTATTGGATCCGGCATGACGACGGTTGGCTCTAGCCTCGTCACAGGCGTTGAGACTGTAGGACAAGGCGTGTGGGATGCAACCATGTATGGGCCACGCATGTTAGGGGCTAATCGCATTTTCAGCGGAGCGGAGAGCATTCGAAGTGGTATCAGTGGCCCTGACAGGACTGGCAGCACCAGAGAGCGCAACTATCTCACAGGCTGGATCCCTGGATTCGGCTCGAGCGATGCAAATGCTAAGGATGAGATGAATACTATCGCCACGGCACAAAGCATGAAGATATTCATCTACAGCCCGTACGACTGCATCGTTGCGATTAAACGCCATCTCAACGACCGAGTGCAATGGCTGGTACAGAAAGAGAAGTACCGGGAAGCGTGGGAACTGGTTGACCAGCACCCCGAAGCTGCAGGGACGCTCGCCGGATCGTCCGAATCGTCGGCGCCTCCCAGTCCATCCAAAGCGAGTTCCGTTACCAGGTCTGGATCTGCCGTTCCCTCAAGCCCCACTCAAGCACGTCAACAAGCCACACTTGCAGAGTTCTTCGCCGATTCCGCATCAAGGACAAGCTCAGCGCAAAACAAGCCGAAGGCAAGATTCTCTGGTGCAGAGAAGGAGAAGCGTCGGATCGGCGAGCTCTGGCTCAAACAGCTGGTGGACGCCGCGAAATGGGCCGAGGCTGGTGAAGTTGCTGCGAAAGTGCTCAATACTACAACTCGGTGGGAGCATTGGGCTTGGGTCTTCATCAAAAGCAAGAAGTTCGACGAGATTTCGCCTCACATCCCGACGCTGGACCTAACCCCTCCACTTCCATCCTCCATTTTTGAGATCATTTTGGGACACTACATTGAAATTGACCGACTGCGGTTCAAGGAGCTTCTCGATGAGTGGCCTTCCGATCTTTTTGAAATTAGCAGTATCACGACAGCAATCCAGGACCAGTTCCGCGGTGGCGGTGCACCCAAAGGCTCACAGGACTGGAGGCTTTTACAAGAGAGTCTGGCCAAATTGTACCTCGCGGACGGACATTACGACGATGCTCTCCGATGCTACATTGCTCTGCAAGATGCGGATACTGCTCTATCCCTGATCAAGGACAATCATCTCATCGACGCAATCGCAGACGATATTCCGAGCTTTGTGACACTCCGAGTCTCTCCAAGCCAACTCAAATCGGCCTCACGCGAAGAATTGGAGGAATTAGCCTCTGACCCAATAAGAGTACTGGTCGATGAGGCCGCTGCGGGAGTAGTTGAGCCTGATGAGGTCGTTGCGCAGCTCGATCAACCTACACTGAGGCCGTTCCTCTTCTTCTATCTTCGAGCTCTTTGGCGGGGAGAAGGCACACAGGAAGAGCCTATCCTGCCTCGTGTTGGCCACTCTGCTGTTGCAACATCGCTGGCAGCTGACACTGGCAAGCAGCATGTTGAGCAGTTCGCCGATACTGCAGTCGATCTCTTCGCGGAGTACGATCGCAAACTGCTCATGGAGCTTTTGCAAGCTTCTACGGCATACACGTTCGAAATTGCTGTGCAAGTATGCGAAAAGAAGCACTATGTGGAGGAACTGGTGTATCTTCTGAGCAAGACCGGTCAAACGAAGAAAGCATTGTTCCTTATCATTGATGAGCTCAAAGACGTCTCATCAGCCATCACTTTTGCCAAAGAGCAAGATGATCAAAGTCTTTGGGACGACTTCCTCGAGTACAGCATGTCCAGACCAAGGTTTATCTCAGGTCTACTGGCAGAAGTGGGCACGGCCATCGATCCGATCACTCTTGTGAAAAGAATACCCTCCGGGCTGGAAGTAGAGGGCCTGAAAGACGGGCTCAAGAAGATGATCCGAGAGTACGATCTGCAGGACAGCATCAGTTCCGGGGTGGCACGAGTGCTGAGCAGCGAGGTTGCTGTCGGTATGGAGACATTGAGAAGGGGCCGGAGGAAGGGCATCAAATTCGAGGTTGTGCCTCCGGCTCCCAGAATCAGGCGACCACTCGAACAAAACTCCATTGGTACGGATGAGAAACGGACTGGCGACGAGCAAATCGAGGTTGAAGCTCAGATCAAGCCCGGACATTGTGCCTCTTGCCACAAGACCTTCCACGAAAATGAAACCGAAACACTAGTCGGTTTTGCCTGCGGCCACGTCTACCACGTCTCACACCTTCTCCATGGGCCGGATGCGGAGGGAGATGAAGTGCTTTTGCCCCGCAGTGCCACACGTCAGGACGAGGAAGACGACCCCGATGTGGCCCGGTTCTCAAGATCAATAGGCTCCAAGGTCACAAACGCGCGTCTATTGAAGGATAAAATCCAGAATGTCGGAGGTTGCACCCTCTGCAAGGGAGCGAGGGAAAAGGTGGAGGAGGTTGGTGGGTGAGAAATCGACCTCTCGACCACGTTGGCTGACCACAACCACCCACCACCATGAGCTCGATCGAACACTCTTCGCATGTCAAGGTCTTCCTGCTGCGGAACCGAAGAATATCCTTCGAGCGGTTCTTCCGAGACAGGTGGGCCAGACTCGATACAGAGAAACAATAGTCCTGGATAAGCGATGCGAGGGATCTCTGCAGCATGCAAGGTGTTTGTTCACCGTGCAGCCCAGTTCGATCGCACACGTTATTGTCCTAACTTTCCCAGTACATGCCATACTATCCACAGAAAAATTAGGCGAGCATAACCTTCGGCCCCAGGTATTGCGAAATTGGCCTTGAAACAGTTTGCCATCCATCTGGTCTAAGCACTACGAGTACTGTGTACGGAGTGATTGGCCATCGAATCCATCGCCGTGCCGCCTAACAAGCCACAGGCCCCCCAGACCTCCAAGACCAGCTAGAAGATGCTGGGTGACGATCATCCGCGGCCTGATCGCGAGGTCGATGACCGAGCCGATGGGCCGTTCACATTATTGTCCCAATGTGGCAGATCTGTCTGCGTTTCATGAAGGCGCTTCTGTGCCCACTCGGAACCCCCGTACATGTACCTCGTAAATTCCGAACTGAAACTCCAGGTTGTTTTGACTCCACCATTTTTAAGTGCTTACTCTTCGACCTGGACCACATCAGGCTACTTGAAGGGTCAGATATCCCGTTCTCTTCGGCGACCTCTTGAAGCCCGAATGTCTTCTGATTCGAAGATGAAGGACGTTGCATGCTTGAGTGAAGCCCGAGCCGTGGAAAAGCAGCAAGATTCAGCTGGGACCTGTTGCAAGGATATTCACACCGTGAGATCGAATCCCGCGGCGCTTTCGTCCGTAGGCGGCCGTTGAGACGAAGGAGGCACCGAACACCTGCCTATGCGGCTCCGTCTATCGTTGTCGAAAGGCGCTGGGGCAAATGAGCTACTGAACGAGCAAGGACGAAGGACCGGGGGGCACTAGGGAAGTCAACTGATTGATTGGGCTACTGAGTCGACAGCCCGTCCGGGAATGACATGAGAGACTTGCATGGTTCTCGCCACAATGAATTTTGTACACAACCAGTATCCCGGAGAGATTCATGGCCCATGCATTGAGCATCAGGAGAGGGCAGTCCCCGACCATTCACATCTTCCTGTGAGCCTGGCAGCAACAGGCGGCCTGGAAAGCCATATGCGCATTCAAAGATAGCTCTTCTTCACACAAGGGTCGCCTGATTGATGCGGGCAGCAGCGATATGAGCGTCAAAGCGCATCGAAGCGCAGCGTGCATCCACTTGCCAAACATTGTCCAACTGCAGCATCCATACCACCTGTCTCGGTCCCGATTTCCCAGAGCACGTACACGTTCCCATCGTCTTCATTGTGGCACGACTGGCCAAGGGGTCAACTGCGAGGCAAGAGCAAGTTGGTTCAACCGGTCGTGGCCTGCAACGACACTGGCTTTGTGACCTCCTCCTCCCAGCAACCGTCGTGGTCGGCGGTCATCGACCACAAGGCCCCCAACGTGGCAGATGTCGAGTTGTCCATGGTTGTGTCCACCATGATTGAGGTCGTATGAGGCAGGCCTTCACTGCGAAGGGCAGCCGCAAAGACCTTCACGATGCAGGGCGATTGCGTCCAGAATCCCGTCATGAGGACCTGCAGCCTGGTGTCTTGACGTTTGGAGGCAGCCAGTGCGCGCTCCAGGCCCAGAAGGTGCTCCCTGGCAAGGCCGACGATGGGTGCCAGCCATTCCCTCACCACGGCTTCCACGCTGCCTCTCGACAGCACGATCTTGCGCGCAGCGGCGGTGTTGTGGCCATGCGATCTGGTGTGAGAGATGCCCTCGCGGAACAAGAGTGCCATCTCGCTGCGGTTGAGCTCGAAGAAGTCAAGAGCCATCCCAAAGTCATCGACCAGGCCCCGAAGTACCTCGTCGTACGCCTGGTTGGACTCGAACGCCGCCGCGCTGATCGCCTGCCCGTGTGTCCGTCCCAGCATGTCTCTCACGGCCTTCTTCAGCCCGATCCGGCCTTGAACGCTGTTGACCGACTTGTTGCTGGCCTTGACCGAGCAGCGACCGTCCTGCGCCTGGACCAACGTGGTGCACACGCCGGTAAAGCAGGCGTCGACATCCAAGACGACAATGGCCGTGCGATGGAAGTTTGTGGCGAAGGTCTGCACCGGCTTGTCGGTCTTGCACGCCCAGGCCAGCTGTGCTCGCAAGTGGGTTGACCCGTGATAGCGTGCGCAGGCTTCAGCTCGGTTCAAAAAACGCACCTTCTGCTTAGGGAACTGGATCTGTTCGATCCATTTGCCATGCAAGTTCTCCTCAAAGTCTCGAGTGGCCTTGTCCGTGCGTGAATTGCCAGTGGGACAGCACGAGACGATCAGGATCTTGGTTCTCTTGAAGAATATGTCTTGCACCTCCGCCAGCGACAGGCTGGATTTCCTCTTGAAGTCGTCCTTGATCATCTCTAGAAGAATTCTCACCCGTTGTGCTTCCAGGTCCATGACCGTCGGGATAGAGAACTCATGCTGCGATTTGTCGAAAGGGTTTCTGATCAAAAGCGTGGGCTCCGAGTTTCGTCCCCGTGTCTTGGTGAGCGCAAAGTACCAGTCTACCGTTGACGACTCTTCTCCTAGGAAATCCAGCGATTGATATCTTTCCTTGTGCTTCAGGGCGTCTTCCATGTCTGTACCAAAAAGCATCAGGTGTGTCTTCAGGTCATCTACCTCTGTTCGTGTGACGACTGCGGCTCTGTGCGGGAGCTGGAGACATACAACGGTGTCGCATATCCATGGAGGGAGGTGGCTCCCATTGGCTGATTGGGGGGCATAGGAGACGATATCAGACTCGTTCTCGTGCGCATTGATGGCGATTTTCAGTGAGATCTGTCCCGGCTTCTCGAACGGTAGGTGCTTCCATTGAGGATGAACGATGTGGTGGAGTATAATGCTGGGTCTGGTGGAGGGCGTCTCTCGCTGTGGCTTTGGTGATACCTCTTGGGGAAGAGCTTGGTAGCGGAGGAGGAGACGGATTGCGCGCTGCCGTGCTGCTTCTCTCTCGCTCTGCTGAAGTCTGGCCCTACGAGCGGGCTGAACACGTGTAGGCTGGGCCGAAGGACTTGAAATACGCTGTCGCTTTCTCGGTGGTTCGGAAGAAGGAGTATTCGTCACTGCTGAGTAAGATCTCTTGGTGTCGTTGTTGCTGTTGAGCTCCATTGTCGGCTTGAAAAACAGTGAACCTCAAGGATGGAGACCTCAATGTCGCCTCTTTGTCTTTCGATGCTTGTGGCAATTGTCCAAGCACAAGGTGAAGCGCAGGATGACAAGAGATCTTCACACGATATCAACACGGACAAAGCGGACGATTTCTGATCCTTCAGGACCTGATATTGACTCGCTGTTGTTCCTCAAGACAATGTTTCCTCCGCAGATAGCCTCTATCAAGAAGAGAAAGACAGACACTGGCTTGACAAGGGAATGTTCACGAGACTGATGGACAAATGTGACGACGAGAAAGAAAAAGAACTTCCAGGCGTATGAAGAAGTGACTGTTCAGCATCAAGCAGTTCAGTTCAGTTCAGTTCAGTTCAGTGAAGGAAAGAAAACAACAACAACAATAACAACAAGCGACTAAGCGACCAAGCGACCAAGCGACCGCTCTGAGAAGGTTATACCACGTCGGGTCGCTTAGTCGTCGACGTTCATCGCGGCGGCGAGGTTCCTGATCGCCTGGGTGCCGGACAGAGCCTGCGAACCATTTTCTGACGGTACGGAGGCAGCCACCTGCTCGACGAACAGTCTCTGCCATGGCACGACACATCAACGCCTTTGAAAGGGACGCACTGTTCAAGCGAGCCGATTGAGTACACAGCGTCTCAACCACCATCTATGGGACTGGACAAGGACTACCATTTCAGCGCTGTCGACATCAGTCAACACTTCCCCAGTCGGCCACCTGACCAGCGAAGCAGCTCCCAAACTCCCTTGTTACCACAGGTCCCTATACCTGCAGGAATCAGGATTGTGCCCCGGCCATACATGTCGAAACCTCAAGATACAGAGTACCGCCAAAGCACAACTCCATATCCAGCACGAAGCACACTGCTTTTGTCGACTCGACCCACGACCGTTGTCGAAGCTGACGCCGACGCCGACGCCGATGTCAGGACAATTGCGTTGAGGACATAAGGCTCTCCCCTCAGCAGAGCCCAGCGCAGCATCTCCTACCTGTAACATATACCATGTGCGCGTCCAAACCCACCATCGAAATTAAGAACAGCATGAATACAAGGAGGGACAAAAGATGAGGAATGTCGAAAATGCACAGTGAAGAGATCGAGCACTTGGAATTGAATACGAAGGAGTTGGAGGAGACCGAGAGGGACTTGGGGCCTTTGGCGTTTGATCGAAACGAGCTGAAGTAAGCTGAATTGCTCGAGCTGAAGTACTCTCGCTACGAGGCGAGGAGGCTACAGACTTGTGCGTGGGTGCATGGGAGAGTGGTTCACGGGCCCTGCTAGATGCGCGTAGGAGCGGACAAGATGGGGTGGATTCGGCTGGGCTGGGCGGCACGGGCGATGGTGATGGCAATGGTATTAGCGATGGCGTGGTAATGATGAAGACGATGGTGATGCACTGGCGATGGCGATAGTAATGGCGATGACGGAGGCGATGGGGCTGGTAATGATATTAGCGATGGTGCGACAATGATGAAGGCGATAGTAACGGCAATGATAAAAGCGATGGCGTGGTAATGATATTAGCGATGGTGTGGCAATGATAACAGCGATGGTGCGGCAATGATATATGCGATGATGAAGGAGATAGTGATAGTAATGATGACGGCGGTGCCGAATGCGCACGCCCAACGTAAACTCACTCACCTTCATTACGTCTTATGATCTCCAGGTCCAACAAGCATCCCTAATAGAGACCAGCGCGTAACAATGCAAAAGATAAGGGTACAGTATTATGAGTATGACGTTCGCGCCACCATAGAAGGAGGATATAGGTATGAACAACATGATTAACGACAACGAAGAATATGTAGTTCGTGACATTGTGCTTGTGCATCGTGGCTATTAACCCTACCTAGGTACTATTTTTTACATATATGCATGGTTGAGGATTTTGTTGAAGGTAAAGTCCTTGTATTCTGTCTTGTACATAATGTGGGAAGCTGAGTTATGTTGTGGCTGACTTGTGTGCCTTGACTACGATATAGTATGATGTGATGCGATATACTGTAATAGTGTAGGAAGCGATAGTAAGCGTGATAGCAAGGGCGATAAAAAGGGCGATATGCAAGGGCGTACCGTCAACTAGGAAGGGAGTGAGCTAGACGCATCACCATTGAACCATAGTATCTGATGATGTTCTGTCCCGTCCTGCCCCATCCCAGTGAATCGTATTGTAATATTTCCCTTTGTACGCCAGGTCTTTCAGGTCCCAGTGTGCTGGCCACATTGATAATGGAAGAGCAGGATACTGCAAGGGACACTACACACTAGCATGGCGAACTTCCGTGCATTGCATTGCACAGCGTCCACATCACGGCATGGCACGGCACAGCACAGCACAGCACAGCACAGCACAGCACAGCACAGCACATTGTCTTGGTTGAAGGTAACAGTCGTGGGAGACGGACTGGGGGCCAACAGCAGAGCATGTCTGATGGTATTCCAGCTAATCAATAACTGTGGGATGTCGATGTGTATGGTATCTAGCACCTCCACGTGCACCGCCCAGGTAACAAACCCCTCTTCCCTAGTTTCTTCTCGCTTGTGAGAATGCATTCACCACACCCTGCGCCTGCGACCTCTGTATCCCAAGCCATTTCGCACCCAGACCGCAGCCACAGACACGTCATCATAACGAACGCGTACCTATCCATTTGCGGCGTTCCTCCGTTCCGCAAGATAACCCCTTACACCCTCCAATCTCGTGACGAAGAACAACCTCTTCCCGTCGTCCTTCCACACCAACACGCCCGTCTCGTCCGCGTACCTCACCACCCCTTCATACTCGGCGTGCGTGCTAAAGTCGCGGAACAAGAAGCCCGGCGTGGTCGTCATTCGGTCGCGCTCAAGCTGCCAAAGGTGGATCTGGTCGAGGATGGTGGCCGGCAAGATCGGCACGGCTCGCGCGATTTGTTCCGATGTCTGGATCCCCCTGGCCTGGAGGGCGGCTTGTTCCGCGGCGGCGTGGCGACGCATCTGGGGATGGGCGTGCGAAGTCAGGTAGGAGATGATCTGCTCGGCGGTGATGCCGGCTTGGACGGCGCGCTGAACGCTGGATTTGGACATTTTGCCCGTGACAAGGTTGGGGTGCCGGGAGCGAAGGTTGATGAATAGGCTGAGCAGTGCGATTTGGAGCGGCGATGACGTATACGCGTAGACGCGGTAGTTTGTTTCCACAATAATAAACCCCTTTTGGGTTCCTGTGGAGTTGGCCGTAGAGGTATTTGTACTGGGCTGAGAGAGCGACGTGCCGACCTGGGTGTTGGTGGCAGAGAGGGTTGTTGCCGAGTCGGAGGTCAGGGTGGTGGCTAGGCGAGTCGGGTAGAAGTAGTTCGCCGGTGTGCCTTCGTCGTCGATGGCCGGTTGGTAGACGAGACCCAGAGAGACCAGGTCAGACAGAATTCGATGCTGGGTGTCGTCGAGCGTGGAGGTAGAATACGTGACGCCCAGCTCGAGGGAAGAGACGAGGAACAGGAATGACAGAACGTCGACTTTGTCCATCTCCAGCAGCTCTGCGTTGTCAACGTAGAGGAACAGCAGTGCCCACACCTGCGTGTTGATATCTTGCAGCACAAATGCAAATCCTTCCTTGGTGATCTTGGCGGTGCCGCCTCGACTGTAGGTACCGGACACCTCGATTAGGTGCCCTGCCTTCAGAAGTTCAATGACGCCGGGAGCCGGATCGATGGCTGCCGACTGTTCGTTCTCCAGAAGCGGAATCGCCGATGAACCGACCATGTAGCCCAATATGCCTTCCCATCTTTGGCGCGAGTATTCGTCTAGCTCTGAAATGCTGACTCTGTCTCGCTCAGGCACCTTCGCCAGCTGTCCAAACGACCGGTTATCCCCGGCGCCAGTCAGAGCCCGTCGCAGTGACTTTGCAAAGTCTGGAGTCAGAGCATATGCCTTCGTCGAGTCAAACGTGACGTCTCGAAAAATGTGGTACCGGTGCAATAAATCCAAGGCATATTCACGTTCACCACGGCTGCCTTCCTTGACGAAAAGTTCGAGCTGCTTCACCGACATAGGTCGAGGCATGTACAGCAGCATCATGACAAACGACTTTGCTAGTGCCGACAACCGCTTTCTGAATATTGCAAGAGCGGACGATGGCGACCTGTACAGCCGGTAGAACTGGGTGCCTGGGAGGGTTTCGAGGTATTCCCACGACTGGAGAGTCGTGTCTGCCATCGTGATAGACGTCGCGTAGAAAGGGTACACCAATTGCGAGACCCCCGTAACATAGACTCGTTATCGGTCTATCATCATGTCGCCCAGTTCCGATGACTAGAATGACTGCCAGGTGAAGCGAAGGGAGTGAGAGTGATGTCTGATCAAGCAGATTCGAGGTGGGAAAACCGGGCAAAAATGCCAAGACATGAGACAGCCTTGCGACGAGCCACGAGGCTGAGTGACAATTGTGATTCACTTTTCCCAAACTACAATATTGGCTTCATTGATTGTGATGGTGGCATGTGATAAGGTGTGTGGTGATGATATGTGCATTGAGTTCAATGGGGACACTACGTCCACTGCTGGACGCCTGCCGAATGCGGCCTACTTATACCAGAAGAAATACCACCCCAGCCATCCGCCTGCGCAGCTTCAAACTCCATTCTCGGCCGTCTCAGTCCCGCCCGAATGGTAGCATCCGTCGAATGATAGCGCTCGAGATACAGACAAATCGCTTGGCCCTGTAGGATACAGCGTGAGGATATCCACCAAGCGCCTCTGCACACTTTCATATACCAATAGCACAGGATAAGCAGGGCCCAAGGATCCCGTTGCTGAAGCAGGAGCTTGTAAGGAGGATCCGTGTGGCAGAGGAACTCGAGGAATTGGAGCCAGGTGGAGTCATTGCACTCAAGATCAAGTAAAGCCACAAGAGCCCGGGATGTCCTATAATATGGGTTGGCAGCAGCAGACAGTGAGGATGAGTGGTTGCTGAACAGATGATCAAAGATCGAAGGGGCGTGTTCGGGAAGCTTAGCCGCTAGCACGGGATCTCGATCGTAGATGTGAGCAACCTGTTGCCAGAGGCTTCCAGGCCGTAAGGGTTTGGCCAATCTCCAGACCGTCCGTTTGCCGTCGCTCAGATTGAGCCACGACATGTCCGAATCTGCCAGCGGCCATACTTCCTCGATGGTGGACGCTTCGAGGTTGAAGAAGCTTGCGACGGCAAGGAGAGAAGATGCCAGCATCAAAGCGTCACGGTCGTCATGGTGGATCGGTCGAGATAGGATTGTTTGAAAGGTTGCTAGAGCTTGGCTCATATGATAGGTCTCGGCTCGACTTGGCCTGGCAGTGGCAAGTCCGCACAAATAACGGTCGTGGCAAGCTGTCACCACTTGCACAAGGTGCATAAGGAACCGATGCGTACAGGCGAGAGGGATGACTTCTTTCTGCAAAAGTCGAGCCACTCGTTTGATACCGATTGTCAGAACTGTACGCGATTGAAATTTGTCCAATCGCGCCAGGTCGTCGTTGTCGAATCGCATTACCCCTGATTTCCAGCCCGGGCCAAGACCTTCTTCCTGCAAGGCAGCGCTCACTATATCCAGAACAGGCCGCGTCGTCACAAGCGGAGACTTTTCGATCACGGTCTCAATTTGGACGACGTTAGAAGTTGCCGAACAAGGCTGGAGATCCGGGATGCTAGGGTCAAAGTTGCATAAGACTCCGAAGCCCAGGCATTGTTCGCAGTTCGGCCGAGCCTCATTGCATTTGATTCTTCTGAGCTTGCAGTTGCGGCAGCCGAGCCGACTCTTCTTATGAGCCTTGCGTTTACGAATGGTTGAGGTCCCGGCTACAGGCTCCGTAGGCCCTGATATGGCCTTCACTGTCATGGTTGTCTGGATCTTGCTCACAATCGTACTGTCTGATCACTGGCGCAAAGTGAGTAAGTCCTTGATAAAGGCAACGGTTAATCCTAGTCTGAAATTGCAGAGGTTACTGCTGTGGGCCGAAGATAAATCCAGGCTGCTTCCCAGGAGACTCGGCCTGGTCATGGACTTTGTCGGACTTTAGCTGCATGGAGCCGATGGACGCGTTTGCCTGATAGGCTCATTTTCATGTTCGATGAATGCTGGGGATGAAGACGATTCCTCACTGGCTGAGCTGTCGAAGTCAACTTACCGTTTGCAGCCCACGCTAGCCTCCTGTCGTATTTGTAGGCACAGCTCGGGTCGGAGAGCGGACATTGTGCTGTGACGCTGCACAAAGTCAGTGAATGTAATTCACCCTATCCACAATGGATTTAAGACGATGCTGTGGAGAGTTTGACGCTCAACATATAAATGCAAAACACCTTGAGGAAAGGTAAGAAAGAAGACCGGCGTTAAACGCAGCTTGAAAATGGCTGACGCCCGGTACGGTGAAGCACCAGGGTCCCAGAACGGTGAAGCACCGGGGTCCCGGAACCGCAATCCGGCTCCCGCCAAGGAGATCTCAAGCCGTGCTCTCATGTCGGATGTCGAGACCTACAGTACGACGTCAATTGAGTAGATCCAGTTGAGCTTGCTCCCCTTGTACAATTGAGTACCAGCCATCGATACGAGTTCTCTTTGCTTCAGCCACCTTGCACCTTTGGATCTGATCGGGCTTTGTCGAGGTCGTTTTCCGGAGCTCGGCGTGAACATGTCGGCGGTGAAGTTTGTGCGGTCGGTAAGCTTTCGGGACACGCCCGGACCTGGTATAGGAATGGCTGACGAGGGCTAGGTCTGGGAGTCATTTCGCGCGACCTCGGGCGTTGAACCACGGTAAGAAGTCTGAGACGGGGAACGCAAGAACTTCGCACTAAGCGTGGCTACAGGTTGATAGACGGCGTGAGTATCCGAGCTCTATCGTGCGCAGAACCAGCAGCTTCCTACGTGAAATGCCTGTGGAGGAGCCCTTGACAAATTCTAAGCTGAGGCGTCTGTGCATAGTTGCGAATTGTATCTGCTGAACCCGGCAAAGTCAACTTCGAGCTGCCCATCGAAAAGCACCATACAAACCGACTTGGCATACTCCATGGCGCTACGCTCGCCACCATGGTCGACACCAGTGGCTCCCTGGCCCTGGCATCCCGTGGGCTATATTCCACTGGCGTGTCGACCGATTTGAGTGTAACCTACCTGAACGCCGGCGGGAAAATAGGCGACCTGGTCAAAGGTGAAGTCATCTGTGATAAATGTACTGGACACTACCATCTGCCTCTGTTCCAGAATTACAATGTTACTAATCGGGGTGATCTTAGTTGGTAAAACCTTGGCATACACCTCGGTGAAATTCATGAACAAGAACGACGAGATCGTGGCGCGAGGGAGCCATACAAAGTTTGTCGCTCTCGCCTGGAAGGACGAGAAAAACATCACGAGCGAGTTGAAACCACAGGTCAACGAGTCGCAGGCTAGTGAAGTCACCAGGACCAGTTTTAGTCATCAAGTCAAGTCATAGCTTTCGCAAGGACCATCAGCTACTCGGTCTCCTCTGCGTGAGAAGGGAAGCGTCACAAGCAGACGCCTCTTCCCCACAGATCATACTGAAGACTCACCATCCAGAGACCTCCCAACACCGACCGCAGGCATCCTCTAGCTTCATTCCGCCTGTGAGAATGAGATTTGGAGCGGAATGAGTCTCCAACTTTCTGCTACGCCCGTCTCACTCTCCCATTGAACAGGATGGTCTGGGTTCATTAGTGATATTTAGACAGATGCGCGCCAGGTACTTGGCCACGCATTCTGGGGTGCACCGGCCCATATGTCCGCTAAAATCCTTGCAACGCTCGTGTCCTCTATGTGGTATCGTGGCAAAGCATGTACATTCGGCTGAGACACTTGTTCATTCGGTGGCTCGCACCGGCTACAAAATGCCTCTTCCAAACACACATAGCATCCTCTCCAACTTTTTGAGTCTGTACAGCTTCATTACTTTAGAATAGTCCCTTTGTTACCGTGGATATGTCTCGTCGCCATCATCGTATGTGTGGCTCATTGTGCGCCTCTCAAAGGCTCGAGTTCGTACAGGTGTGAAATAACATTAATGTCGATGTAGTGTTGAGCCTGACCAATATCGATATGTACCATGCCAACTGAAAGTATTATCGCCGGCTGAAGATGATAACATGTTGGTTCCCCGAAGTGGAAAATGCGGCCGCGAAGGGTATCGTATGCGTACGGTCGTCGTCGAAGTGTAGTCATTTCCGGGGGTGTATTATCGTGTGATGATGATCTGGAAACCATCTACCCATGAGCCACAACTGCCAGAAATTCCTGCGAGGCTGTAGCCTCGAGGGGCCATCAACGTGTGCCTATAACGTGGTTAGGTAATCCGGAACAGCCGAGCGCGAAAACACATACCCTGAGCCACCGGTCGCATTACCAAAGACACCTGATCTTCGACCGGTACTGGTCAAGATCTCGATTCCGTCGATCCACAGGCCAGCGCGCACGTAGAAACCCAGGATCGTTTCCCCACGCCGAGTATCTAAGAATGTGAGGACGGAACATGCCATGTACGACGGAAGTTGAGCTTACCCAGGAAGAACTCGTCCCCGCCAGCGTTACCTCCCCTTTTGCCGAACAGCTGGCTGTGACCATCTTCATAGCAGAACTCTATCCCGTCAAGAGCATATCCAGAATACACTTTGACGGAAGTCAAAAGTTTCGTCTGCAGATGAGTGCTCTCCAGAATCAACTCGGCCGCTTGAGAAGCCTCTAGCTGAGAGTGGCCCAACTTTTTGCTTCTGAAGCCAAACCGTGTATCGAAGGACTTGCCTAACCCGACAACATTGTTGAAGGCATTCATCGTCAGGCCTTCGTCACGTTTCGGTGCTTGCCTCACCTGAGGTAGTGCGACGATATTCTTTTTCGATAAGAGATCCTCCAAGTCTTCGATCTGCTCACTCCTGGAACTGCCACAGAAGATGGTAAGAGACAGCTTGGCTTTCTTCTTGTCCTCAGGGAGACGTGCTCGAATATCGGCTTCTGCGAGGGTGATTTGTCGAGGCATGACGCTGCGGCGAGTATCGGTTGTGGTGAAATCAAGCCACTGCCGGCACAATTCATCATCAGGCGTCCGGATCTCGACGAATGCTATACCTGATGCCGCGGAACAGATTACGCTGCCGTTACCGACCGGAAAATACTGGATGCTGTCGTCTTGTGGCAAAGATTCGTCGCTGGGTATTCTGAAGCAGGGGTGGTGCCGAAACCGGAGAGCGTCAAGTCGGTGCCAGGTGCATTCGTCTTCTGGCCGACAGATTGGGAGCCCTTGTGATTTGGTTCTGGTTGAGAACGGCTCCCTGACTAGGAAGGTCCGATTTAGTCGGACGTAGTCCCTCAACATGACTCCATTCTCTTGGTGTGGACAGCCGAGCAGGTGGCCGACTTCATGCAGATGAGCCCCGATGCCGATATTTGCCGCTTCCCAACTGCTTCCAGACTCATTGCAATCGTTTGCGACGTATTTGGTATCTGTCCGTGTGCAGTCACTGAAAGCTGGAACTACCTCTTCAATGGAGGATGGGTAGCTCTGTAGAGCGTGAGAACCGAAAATGGCAAGGCCCAGGTCATCACCGGTACCACCTAGAGCAGCATGTCCTCGGATAGTGCCGGCCTCTGGATCCCAATGCGAGTCGAGAAGCAGACAAGCGACATATTGCTTCTGTCCAGGGCGGATGTTGAAATGTTTCTTGACCGCATCTGCAGCAATCGAGTACAGGTCTCCTTTCTTCGCCGCCGGCCCATATTGCTGTGCGTACTCAAGACTCTGCAGCTCTGCGGTCGTCTTGTCCGAACGTACAACATGAATCCTAGTTTCGTTTTTCATGGCCCCCGTCTCCCAGTCGCGCATGGACAGAGTGCCAGTCTGCCACTCTTCTTCGAATCTGAAACATCTGCGACCGAACTTGTGTCGATACATCTGTTCGGCCGTAAATGTCTGCCACAGATGAGCCGCCATTCGGAATTTTCTAATGGCCATCGACAGGTCATTTCCTTCATTCTGTATTCTTTGCGGTACCGCATCATATGTGCAGGGTGAATCTCTCCCAACAAGGATCACCAGCTGTAAAGGCGGTGCGCTATTCAATGGAAGGTAGTTTAGCATGATGTAGGAGGAATGCATCGTCGGCGTGACACCGTTGCTGTGGCGGCTCAATGCTGGTGAGGTAAAGTCGAAGCGTATTCGATTCCAGCCAGGTGACAGATAGATCAGAGCCTTGAAATATGAGTCTGAGACTGGCCAGTTGGTAGGTGGAAACGCCTGTCCGTCCTTGTCGTGGTGAACCGTCAAATTGCCATCCATGGGCTTCTGATTGGGATCGCCTATTTCTCCATTCACCAACAGCAGCTTGTGATGGACCTGTTTTCCGCATGTGAGCTTGCCATCCCGTGTCCGTCGTGTTTCGACCTACCACTGAGTTGTCCAAGATGGAAGTCACCCGGGGCGCGTAGGCGGAGGTCGGTGGAGGTACTCGTATTGTGCCATTAGAGCCAGATGGAGACAGAGCCTGTACCCGGTCAGCTTCGGTAATCTCTCTTGTCATCGGTGTAGCCATTCTTCGTACTATCATGCTATTTCGGTTTGAGCTTGGCACCATGACGCTTGGTCTCTGAGGGATCGGAGGCGGGGTGTCGCCATTGCTCTTGACGCTGCCCAATACGTTATGAGCCGATCCATTGGCATAATAGGTGGACGGCGGCGTTGTGCTTCCCGGCGTGGAGTTGAGGGTGGATGAGGATTTGGCAGTTGGCACTGTTCCATTCGACTCTGTTGAGGAATCGGAAGTTCGGAAACTAGCTTTTGATCGTCGGCGCAGCTCTTTAAAGAACGGCATGACTGTGTACGATGAGCTGGCAGCGAGGGCGTTATAAGCCGCTCATGGATAGTACGGTGATGCGGGGGTTGAGCTCAGTGCCGCGACCAGGATGGCACAGATCCAAGACCGGTTGTAGACAGAAGGTGTAATGATCGCAGGCACATGCATGTGCAATGGAGGTCTTTCGAAATGATGATTGGCTCCCGAGGAGCCGAAACGGATGGAGATGTGGGAGGTGTCACCGCAGAAAAAAGGACAAACTCAATCTGTAGACTATCCAGGACAAACGAGCGACAGTGAGGACGTCGATGGACGTGTCGTACCTATGTGAATGTGAAGGTGAGACGAGCAGCACGGGAAATCTTCAATCCAACACCAGCGACTTAGTAACCGCAGTAGTAGGAGCGACGGCAAGGTGTCATTATCTGCCCGGCCTGCGACCTTTGAGGTTCCTCGAGAGCCAACTGGCCAATCCTCTCAGCAGGACTCGATTCGGGTAGCACCGGACGGACAAGCAGCTCTCCAGCAAATACGGAGCAGGAAACGGCAAGCTCGAACAAGAGACATGCGTCGCAAGGAGCAGGTGCGATTCGCCAGCATCAGAGGCACATACGAGTTACAAGGCACGCAGTGGAGTGCGGGAAAACGCAATCTGCAACCAGAATTTGTGATGGCAGGCGGGTAGGCAAGCGGCTTGATAACAGGTGGGGAAGCAATACGCAAATGCGCATGCTGAGCATCCAACTCCAGGGCGATATGCCTGCACCTGCCCCTTTGCCAACCGCTTGAACCACTGCATTTAAGCTTCTTTGGGACTGGTGCCCGGAGAATCGATGACTTGGGCTTGCACCTTGGGCGGGCCATGACGTCGAGGTCCAGCGTGGAGAACATGCGGTTGGCGCCCACCATGCGGATTAAGCTTATCGCTGCCAGCGCCGAGAGATTGTCGGTGGTTGGCAAGCCCTTTCCTCCGTGGTGTCGACGACTGATCATACTCGGTTTTGCGAGTTGTTCCAACTGTCGAAGGAATGGTAAGAGGGAAGAAGAAATAGTCTACGTCGGCCTTGACACTTCGGGAGCCAGCGCAAGTAGGCTCACAGGTCAGAAAAGAAAACAGCAACAGAAATGTGAGCCATAGGCTGGTCAGGCCTCCTACGTTGCACAAGGCACATTCAGCATTGCACAATACGGTGGACCACAGACTCGGTCCACTCTCTTTCGCCAGGAGAAGGGACAGCGGTTTAACATCTTGCAGTGAACGGAGTTCGGGAAGATCCTGCTTCACGATAGCATCTGGTACTAGACTCATGGGTGACGCCTGAGCACGCCAGTACGTATCGTCCATGCCTCAGGGACCGGTCAAGAGATTTAACTCGACATGTATGGGACGACAGCGCAGCTTCGTTCATCGAAGCACGATCAATTCCATGATTGGGGCTCTCTTCAGTGCACTATGTCTGTGTGAAGCATCCGACGCAAAGGCTTGACATGAAAAGAGCAGCTGTTCTTGTGTAGAAACGGGAATCCGTCGCATGCCCTCCGGGGGATGTGGCGCCTCGAGATAAATTCTGAGCCGCTTCGTTGATAAGCCACCCGAAGATGTTCCTTTGTATGATCCTTTACAGGTCGCAATAAC